TGTGCTGCAGGGGCCGGCCACGAGAAAATTGTCAACCTCTTGCTTGCTAAAGGTGCAAATGTTGATACAGCTCACGAGTTTAGCAGACGGACACCATTATCTCACGCCGCGGAGATGGGACACGGCATCATCATAAAGCAACTAATTCATTGGGGAGCCCGGATTGATACCGAATGCCGCACTGGTTGGACTCCTCTGATTTTTGCCGCGCATGAGGGACATGAAGCAGCTCTAGCAGTGCTACTTAAAAACGGCGCAAAGACCGTGGCTAGCAGCACTGGGAAGCTAGCATTAGCCTGCGCCGCTAGACGGGGGCATGTAGAGACTGTAAAGCTATTGCTAGATCACGAAGCTGATGCCAATTTATACAATAAATGGGGCCTCACGCCTTTATTAGAAGCCGCCGAATCCGGAAACCTAGAAATAGTCAATATACTATTAGAGAGAGGCGCTGATCTGGAGTTTAGGAGTATCAGCACTTTTTACAGCAGGGATACCGCGGGTCGAACCCCTCTATCATTTGCAGCACAAAGCGGAAATAAGCTGCTGATAGAGTTTTTACTCGGAAAAGGCGAAGAATTAGATTCTCGGGACGACAAAGGTCGGACACCGCTCATACATGCTATTAGGAACCATAAGCAGGAAGCCGTAATTCAGTTACTCGAAGGTGGTGCTAATCCACTCATAAAGGATAATAATAGTAGAACAGCGCTATCGTATGCAGAGGATCTACAGCAGCGTTCCTGGTATTATGGGGAAAAGAAAACGAAGCAGATAGCAAAAATACTATCGGAATATTTAAATAAGTGATATGACTACACTCATGGCAAGATAGTACAGTAGAGCATGCTACGTTACTTCCTGTACATATATATTTATAGTATCATCGATTCAGCATATATAAGATTTATAATATTCAATTATAGACCAATGCTGCAATGTATGGTTAACCTGTTGCTCGAACCCAAATCACGAGTGTATAACTACATCTCATGGCACCTATGGAATCAATGCATCCAACAACTTTCGGGCTTTAATTTATCTGGTGGAGCTTAAGACTATTATCATTCATCTGAGCACATACTTGCTAGATCCGTAATAAATGCGCGAAATATCTAGTGAGAATTGAAGATATAAAGTACTAAGGTTCCAGACGAGATAAAGCGGTAATCTATAGATTGGCACCGCTTTTTCATCAAAGGATCAAGCGAAACATCAACATGTTTCTGTTGTTAGCTATCTGGTGCTAGAATAAATTCGGGGATTGTAAAGTCTCTGAGTCGTATTATGTAACTCAGAATCCGAGGGAAAACATTGAAACAATAAGTTTGCACTGCGTTGTTGCTATTAGTTTATTGATGTGTGGTGTATCACAGATACCATACGATTGCAATACGAGACTACCATACGATATGAGTTTCATTCAACTACCCTGGCGGTCGATCTGATCATTTGTGTGATGAACCGTCGTTAAATTATAAAACATCCAATTTCCGCTGTTCCCCACAAGACTTTTATACGGACAAAACATACTTCATTAAACCCTTCGCTCTCATAATTCATTAGTTCCCAACCCATCCCTACAAGTGCCAGAAGGCAGCCTTATTCTCCACTATAAATTCCTCCAAGCTTTGTGGCTTCTTCCCATCAGGATAATACTCCTTAATACTCTCCTCAAGCCCCTCGATTGACTTCTCAACCGTTGGTCCAAAGTAACCATAATCCGACACCAACAACATATTCTCCAAAAGTTCTTGTCCCAACTCTCGAGTCGACATGAATCCAATATAAGTCTCTTGTTCCAACTGCACAAAATTTGTCTTCTTCCCCGTAACTTTCTCGAAAATCTCACAAACTTCCGTTCCACTCCAAAATCCACCGGCCTGTGAGATACTAACCGGAGCACCAGTAGTAGCCTTCTCAAAGATCTCAGGGTGAAGTAATGCACCAGCTACAAAGGCTCCAGTGTCCTTCACAGGGTTAAACCACGGGTATTTAACCTCTTTGGAAAGAGGCATTGCGAAGTTATATGTTTCGCCGTCCCCAGATTTGCTGATACCACTTCTGAGGTTCTGCATAAACATTCCTGGGACGACGTTTACATGCGGAATGCGGAGAGAGGCGATATACTCCCCGATCTCGGCTTTTCCGTCGAAGTGGTGGACGTTGGGGTACTTGCCGCCGGAAACTATATATTCCCAAAAGTGTATGATTAGTGGTCCGCTCTAAAAGGCTTGGTATTTTGACTAAATATATACGGAAGGGTCTTGGAGGTTTTGTGAAAAATTAAGACATACGTTTTCCGACGTGGGGTAGGTTACTCCAGATCAATTGCTTCACCCCATGGGCTTTGCAGGCGTCTGCGATACGTTTTCCTTGGTTGACTTCTCGTTCTTTGGATGGATTTTCCCAGTCTGTGGTATATTGTTAGCTAGAGTTGTGTTGGTTATGCTGGATTGGAGATACTAACAATTGGTGACGCCAAAAACAGCGTAAGATCCTTCAATCGCCTTTGAAACGGATTCCGAGATTTCCATATCGCCCTATATAAATCTCATAAGCTTAACATACTTCAAAGGTTCTGTATAATATGCATTGACTTACGGCAACCATTTCTACACCTTGCGCTGTCAAAGCCTTAGCCCTATCACTGTCGGGATTCCTTGTCACACCACGAAGCTTATACTCCTTTGAAAGCGTGGGATGGGCAAGAATATTCTTGATAATAGAACCACCTTGGTTTCCGGTAGAACCAAAGACAGTAAAGACCTTTGAGCCAGACATTGTGGTTATTGTACGGAGGTTTAGAAACCTAGAATACGTTCTAGATAGAAGGTTTAAGGGTGGAATTTTGGCGGGTTTCGTTTGTTAACGAAATATCAGATGGTGTTGGAATTTGCGTTGTGTGTGTGGTGATGTCACTAGAGATATCGAGATATCGAGATTGATGAAAGAAGATTCAAGGAGACAATCGACGGGTTCTTATACTTCGACGACTTCAAGAGCCATTGATGCCTAGCGGCGACGGATAGAGCCTAGCTATCACGGGTTTCTGGGTACTTGGATTAGATTTCTCGATTACTATTCCTTCCTTGACTGTTTAGTTCGAAAATGAAGATCCCCGCCAAGTCGCATTTTAGACTTTGAAGCTGAGAAGCTTCCTGCGGGAACTAGCCGTTGTCGGCCGAATAAAGTGGGGAGATTGAAAGCTCCGTCATAAGTATCTACGCCCATTTCATCAAATTTTCTAGCACTTTTCGCAGAGAGTGGTCGTGGATGGTTTCAAAATATCTTGAATCGGAACGTAAATTTCAAAAGACATGCTTCGTCAGCGCTGCTTAGAAGTGATTTGGATGAGTACGTAACATCGCTAGTATTATTTCGGCTTTTGTGACAGGGATAGCCCCGGTTAGATCGGAGACTACAAAGACCGAGTAAGTGAAGAATCGTGCCGCATTTGCCAAGCCGGCCTCTCATGAAGCCTTTACTAGTTACTCGGCAGCTTCATATGCGGCTAATTGATATCACTTGGACCGGATGACATATTGACTTGAAACCGGGGTTTAGTATTGAATATTCCTTATAAAGCGAGCTTCTATCTGAATTGGTAATACAATTGCAACTGCACCGGCCGGCCGTCAGAAATCAAAAAGGCCGAATCATCGCTTCCCCGACGCGGGACCGTATAGATGTCATGGAAGCTAAGCAATTGGTGAGCATCCATTAAGAATGCACTATATATGGCACTCGAGCTACTAAGAGCGCTAGACAGGATATATATTTTATTTACACTTAAAACTTTAGTTACTTAGTATTTAAGTATGGTTTCAAACTCTCGAAACCACTGCTAAACGAGAAAGCTTCCTCACAACTGGACAGCATATACTATGCTATCATACGTATTCAAGAAACCTTTATTCAAGCCAAGGGGAACTGGTAATATGTAGAATATATTGTTTCTACGGTCGGTACTTCATGACATTGGGAGTTGCGGCACGGCATGCGCAACCAATCTCGTAATTAACTATGCAGACTCGTGTACATCAGGTTGTTTTGTTCAAGCCGCCTCTTTTGCGTTGAGATGTGGTCTATAATTCCACAAAAGGGTTCAACGCTGCCTATCGACGGTCGAACTGAGTTACTGACCTCGTGTCCTACTTTAAATTTAAATCCTTAACGCGGGAACGGGACTATAGTACAGAGTACTTATTCCACAATACTATAATGTGACGAAGAGCCCGCCTCATAGTGCTACAATCATACAACCGTCAGTCAGATATGGCTCGTGAGACAATATATACGTCTACGGTACTGCAAGTACTTATACGTATATATATACCAGGTTAGACTAGTTGAGACCTACAGCCTCAAGTACATGTACAAGCGTAGCAACATTACAAAGTGCTTCTCCCAAGAATTCCAAGTCTTATAGGCTCTCGGTTCGACTGACTTGTTCACATGCTATTTGTCAGATTCAATAGATAGCTCCACTAGAGATAGCACAACTTTAAATTAGTAACTATCCATTGCCCGAAGGTATGTTATATAAAGCCAAGGGTACAAAGGATATGCAAGTCAGCAAAAATATACTGTGTTGTGTACGATATAATGTATAACTGAGACTTTTGGTCCTTTCTTTGTCTCTGGCTGTCTATTTCCTGTTGGGTCAAAATCCGTTGGCCGGCGGTAAGGATGATAGTGAGAAAGAGGTACATTCGTATACATGTACTCCGCGGTACCTTCCCACATGACAAGGATATATATACGGGTAAGTTTTAAAAAGCTGCTGCTGATATTAAAAAGGAGCTTGAGAGGTCTTGCACAGGAATTCAGCATCAAATGGCATAGCCAGTCAGCTGATTTGTTGGAATGTTTTATTATCTCCGTTTATCGGTTCAAGTTTCTCCTCAGATTCAGACAATCCAACTTCCTCACTGAAGTCAATTGTTTGTGATCATGATATCGCAGAATATCCAAAATGAGCAAAGGGGGGGTCGGATTAAGGTTACCTGTCTCCGTCCAAATCTTACAGCAGATACTCGGAAGCTCTCCAGACCAATAGCTTCAAAATCTCGACCTTCCTGCCAAGCTTCGCCTGGTCGGTACCTTAACCCTATTCGCAGATTTTCCAAAACCATCCCTTTCTCAGAGTTCTTAAGGAAAACCTCGTAATCTAATATCATGTCTCGAGAAGTATATCCCGCAAACGATATCGATCCTACAAGCCGGTTTCCGGCAAAGGCGAGTCAGCCTAAGCGGTGCGCAGTCACGACCATGTACACCCGTCTACATACGCAATGCACGGCATGCAGTTCGAAGCTCCAGAAACCACCCCTTGTATCTTACCACATTCTCCAATCAGCTCGTGAAGACGGACTGAAATAGTACACCAACTTGGGCGTTTCAAGTTTTGCCGGGGTTAACGAAGTAGTTCTTTTGCTCCCCCTGCCCAGCCCCAACTATGCCCCGAATGGGCATGTCTTTGCCAACAGCGCGCGGCTTTTTGTTTCCCACATGCCACACAGCACAACGCAAAAATAGGGCAATCCTCTGTTCACATTCCAGCTTGGCCAGAAGAGGTCTCTGAGAAGTAACCCCACCGAGGTAGCTTTTCGCTAGGATAATAATCCGGGATGGGCAATGCTGGGTATCTGCTACCCGCTCGTCTGATAGTCACCCGGTAGCACACAAGGTAGCATCTACAATGTCAATTCCACAAAAAATTTTCTGTTTAGGTACCCAGACTAACCAACATCGAGCCTGGACTTTACGGATTCGGGTGCCCACTTCATGCCTCCCCAACGCAAAAAGGGGGTTCGACTCACCATAGCCATTGACCTTACTTCTTGAGATCTTTGCTCTTGACCAAGCTGCTTGACTTATGCTCGTTTTTTGCTTATGGTTACTATTACTTGATTTCCAAGAGTACGGTACTTTGGCAGCTTACCTCCCCGGCGTCAATGTGCATGGGGGCTAAGCTAAAAGGTAGCTTTGTAGCTCTCGGTACTTCTTCCTGCAGGGAGGCGTGTGCAAAAAAAAATCTGAAACGAAACGGGCGGTCCCATTTCCACATGGCCAGAGCTTTTTCTCTCTCTTTTCCTTCAGGAACGGAGGATAAGGGCGGGTACCTTAACCAGGATGGACAAAAAATGGGGGCGATGTTGGGATGTTGCCTTGAAAGGGATATGTTGTTCAAAGTGTATAAAGTGTCTTTCAGCACCCCCCAATCCTTTACGCTCTCTTTTTTTTCCCCTTCTACTCCTTAAGACGCTTTTTCTTCTTCATTTCTTCCTCTTTTTGTTTTTCAATTTTTTATATTTTCGTGCTTGCCACGAAAATTCACATTCCTTTTTTGATATCTGAACAAAAAGATCCATTCTCAGGGAGAAGGATTTGAAAATTACAAAAACTGTATTTCTTTGTCTTGACTTTTGGTAGCTTAGTATATTCTCTCGGATTGATACCGATAACGAAGTACAAGCCCTATCCATTCCTTAAACCTAAGTTTCAGATTTGATATCACCGGAAATTTATTTGTTTCTTTGTAAGAAATTAATATTATTCTCCGACAACGTTTTATATTCCAACTACAACAAGGATAAGATCGTATATTCCGAATCGGGGTGGATCACAACATTGCAACATTCTCAACACTCGATCTTACTCTTTCTTGATCGATAATCTATCTTATCCAACAGTTATATTTCCTCTATCTACCCTATCTATCCAAATAAATATACACAACATACAATCACAATGCGTCCAACAACATTCCTCACAACTTTCGTCCTCCCAGCCCTCTCTTCTCTCCCCTTCACATCAGCCTGGCTCCCCACCAAAGACGCCTCCACAATCCGTGGCGTAAACCTCGGTGGTCTCTTCGTAATCGAACCATGGCTCCAACACGTAACCTGGCAAAACATGAAATGCGGTTCTCAAAAGTCCGAATTCGACTGTGTCATGTCTCTAGGTCAATCCCAAGCCGACAAAACCTTTGCCAACCACTGGAAAACCTGGATCACAGAAGCCGATCTTAAGGAAATGGTATCATACGGTATTAACACCGTTCGTATCCCCGTCGGTTACTGGATGCTTGAGGATCTCGTGTACCGAGATTCTGAGTATTTTCCCAAGGGTGGTTATCCGTACCTTGAAAAGATTTGTAAGGCGGCGAAGAAGTTGGGGCTTTATGTGATTTTGGATTTACACGGTGCCCCCGGTGCTCAGATCGATAAGAATGCGTTTACGGGACAGTTTGCTCCTACTCCTGGGTTTTATCAGGATTATCAGTACACTCGCGCCGTTACCTTCTTGGGATGGATTACAAGGAAAATTCACAGCAAGCCTGAGGTTTTTGGATCAGTTGGAATGTTGCAGGTTTTGAACGAACCTCTGGCGTGGCATCCGGATGTCACCGCGACATTGGTATCTGAGTTTTATCCAAAGGCGTGGAAGAGGATTCGATACGTCGAGCGCGAATTGAAAGTTAAGAAGTCAAAGCAACTCCACGTTATGTTCATGGATGAGATGTGGGGTTCTGGAAATCCAAATCAAGCTATCAAGGAAGGTTCCGAACTTATGAGTTACGATTATCATAAGTATGTCAAGTGGGATACCTCCGTTACTCCTACTCGCGAAAGTTATATGACTTATAGCTGTACCGCCGATTTGGGTTGCAAGAAGCCTTTGATTGTTGGAGAGTGGAGTTTGAGTGTTCCCGACAACATGCAGGAGAGCGAGATGTTTAAGACTTCTGGTGCCGATGCGGTAGAGTGGTTTGGCAAGTGGTTCGTGGCTCAGCAGCAGATGTACGAGAGGAGTGGACTTGGTTGGGTGTTCTGGAACTGGAAGACTGAGTTGGGTGATTGGAGATGGGGATACAGGGATGCAGTTAGGGCAGGAGTTATTCCAAAGAACCTTAGGGAGTCTGTCAAATGGAACGTCTGCGGGGCCTACAAGAAGGATAAGAGGGAGACCGTCGAGACCGTCGAAGCTGTCGAGGTTAAGGCTGAGGTGAAGAGGGGAGTTGAAGAAGTTGTCAAGGTACCAGCTGTCGAGGAGGTACATGTACAAGCTGAGGAGCCAAAGCCTAGCGGTGTGAGGAAGAGCCACTTGGCAAGGCACAAGTCGTTGAGGAGGACGCATGCGCATTTGGTCGGACCGTCTTCTTAATTCATTTCTTGTTTGAGATTTCGTTGAGATTTCTTTCTTTTTTGATCATTTTTATATTTTTTATATATTCACACACTTTCGTTCATGTATATACTTCTGATACCAGATACCACGATCGCTATGATACCAATTAGAATGCACACGGCCTTTGACGCCGTCCTTATTATTTCTCATAATGCACCTTGTTCACCAAAGTACCTACTTCTATTAGTTTTCTGCTCATATTATTGAGATTAAGGGGGCGATTACTCACCAATACCATCAATCCAAACACGTATATCATCCCCGTCCCCAAGTATAATCTTCGGCTCCCTCATAGCCCCAATACCAGGCGGTGTCCCTGTCATAATCACAGTCCCAGCCTCCAATGTTGTCCCCCTGGACAGGAAAGAAACAGTATGCTGCACACTAAATATCATTTCCTTCGTATTGCTATCCTGCACCGTCTGTCCGTTATATATCGCCTTAATACCCAGGTTATGCGGATCCACAGTGCCTTCTCGCACGATCACTGGTCCGATTGGAGCAGAAGCGTCGAATCCTTTGCTATAACTCCATTGGCTATTCTCAAACTGTGACCTCCTAGAACTAACATCGTTGCCAGCTGTATAACCGAGTACGTATTCTAAAGCCTTGTCTTCTGGTATATCCTTCCCGGTTTTGGAGATTACGATGGTTAGTTCGGCTTCGTAGTCGCTGGTACCGTCTTGAACTGCTTTCGGAACTACAATTTTAGACGGGTGTGGACCGGTTAGGGCGGTACGAGGTTTAATAAATAGGATTGGAACGTCAGGAATCGGCATTTTGGTTTCTTTCGCATGGTCGCGGTAGTTCAAGCCCAAACAACGAATTATCGGTACCGCAGACATTGGGAGAGGACAAAGTAGCTATAGTATCGTCCGTTAGACTTTAAACCCGCTCAATGCCGGAGATATTCCAGGAAATTAGTGAAATACGGACTCGAGAAACAGTAAGGACTTTATCGGTTACGATCCCATCGAATACAGAACCATTGACTACACGAGCGGTAACGGATTCGCCATCGTGAATTGCAAGGCCGACGTCGGGATATTGAGAGCGATCGATATCTCCAAGGTGTTCCTGACCGTCTTCTTCGGCGATGAAACGGATGAGATTCTTCCACGTGGCCATTGTCCGACTATTTGAGAGATGTCTGGCGTAATTCTGGTGATAGTGGGGTTTGGAGAGGGGTACCGGTCGTGTGAATGATGTAACTGGTCGGACAAGTAGTTTCAACGGATGTCGAAACATGTATTCCCGATACAACAGAACTGTGAGTGATAGGAGGTGAAAATATGAGGAAGTGAAGTTGACATGATGAACGATGAAGCCGTCTCGAAGTTTGATGGATGGAAGTGGCGATGGGACGGGCCGGCAAGTGGCTTCGGGGAGGACAGCCCCGTTCCGACGGAGCCTTTGTGTTGTTCGAGCCGACACTTCGAGGAACCTCAACTACAGCAGTCTTGTAGCCACAGTCTTGCACCAAAATTCCACCCATCGCATTGATCGTGTATCAACATACTAACTACAAACTCCAGAAAAATAGTATCTATATCATACTCGAACTTGGGCCGACGGTAGCTTACGAACGATACCAAAAGTATAGTCGGCCAATTGACTCGTCCATCCATATTTAAACGTTCTAAACTACCTTTGGGGCTCAAGCTAGTAACTCCGAGGATCCTATGGGCGCGCCTCTTTATAATATATTTACGAATAGATTGATGTGCCTGGATTCACAATTCACTCTTTGGTCGTAAGTGAATGAACAGAAACCAAGTGGTAACTTCAAAGAGATATAGATGATTGATTGTGACTTGCTATAAGGTAGTAGCTCATACCAAATGTATTGATGCATGTTGACGGAGTATCGTCGCACGCATAGCAATGAACTCGAGATGGGTTTATAATTAGAAAGCTGCGGTCGACAAAAGCTCGAAGTCTCTGGCACAGCACAGGATCCACGAATGGCCGGCGCTAAAGATGCCATTCCACTCGAGTATTTATACTTTGGTATGTGTGCTTCATGGTTGATACGTCCTTAGGCATAGAGATACTCTCTTGAGTCGCTACAATATACTGTCGACCTCTATATATACACGAGAATGCTGTCTCTGCTTTTGGCCTGCCCGGCAGAAATTTGCCAGGAGATCTTTTCTTACTTGGATGGAGGGAAAAACGGTGACCTCGCGCAGCTCTCTCGAGTATCGAAGGATTTCCGAGAGTTAGTTCTTCCTACCCTCTTTCGTTATATAAAACTCCGCCCAGGCCATGAACTTGTTTTTGGGGATGGAGGGCCATTGTCCTCAGTTCGACCCTATGTCCGGTAGGCTTGAACAATTCATTCAACATTGGGATGCCACCAATTAATCACCTTTCGTAGTCACTTCTTTCTGGATAGGTCAGCGGGGGAATATGGCGACGAAACAAATGCAGGCCATGTCGAGAGCATCCGTCGCTCTACAGAGCACTTCGACTTATACCCTTCTATTACACATATAGATGTTTCCTGGGGCTTCATGGTGGCTTGGAACGCGAGAAACAACCTCTATAAGGCATTATGGGCAAGAATTTCAACCCTTTCCAACCTAAAGAGTCTGAGGCTGGTGGGATACAGCCCTTCACCAAACTGGAGACCTGGTTACACGCGGGACTATAATTCCTTGTATCGTTGTTGCACTTCGAAAAGCAAAGATTTTCTCGGGAAGGAGTTCATCGATGACGCAGAACTCACCAACGAACATATTTCGTACCCGCGACATCTCCAGGAGGTCCACTTCTCTGCGTTCTTGGAACTCCCGTGGAACTCAAACATCTCTTCTCGATATTTCGTAATTGGGAATTCAGCCGAGACTTTGAAGAAGATAGTGTTTTCCGGACAACATCTGCGATTAATAGGTCAAAGGGGCGGCCCTATTACGCTGATATTTCCTAATGTTGTCGAACTCTGCATCGGAATTTGGGGCGGTAGTAGGTATTCTGAATTGCATGCGCTCGCGTGGTTCGCCAAGAGTTGTCCGAATGTCCAGAAGCTATTGTTTAGGACGCTTCATAGCACATGGTCCTTTGAAGGCCCTCTAGATAATGGCGACCTTGTGTATGATGAATTGATTTCAATGCGGAAACTCAAAGAAGTTATCGTGCCATGGCCGGTAAAATTTAGTCTGGGGGACGCGCACCTCTACCTTGGGATAAAAACAGCGACGCGATACAAAAGACGGGAACTAGCTGGAGTTATCCGCTGCCTGGCGAGAGCAGGGTTGAACGATTTAGAAAAAGTAACGTTTGAAAGGAGGTTACGTTGGCCGGTAGATGAATACAAGAAAATTACGAAGACGTGCAAGATAACGAGAGGTACAGAGACGGGACTGAAGCTTTCTTGGACAAAGCTTCATCAAAGTATTCTAAGACCGGATCTATTTCGGTGTCGGGAGGGTGAAGTTAGGGTTGTGGCTTCAACGAATGGAGAAGAGAACGGCGCGGATAGCGGGGACGACATTGACGAAAACCCAGCAAATATTCGGTTTTATGAACCAGATATCGATACGGGAAATATATAGTATCTACAGTACGATAATACTTCGATATATTCCAATGAAGTTTGTAATTTTATGGCCATCTTTCGCAGCATCGATGCGGGCTGGAGCTAGTTATAACATCGAATCCAGTGTTGCAGCTCGCTAGTTAGCTAGTCAGCGCGACAGGCTAACTAACTGGTGGACCAATTGCAATCTAACGAGCACCCCAGCGGGCCATGCACCAATTGTTGGGCGCACATGGGTTATTGGTTAACAGGCAGCTGCTTGAAGAGGTAGGCAGCACTCGACCATGCTTTACCTTTGCTATTCCAATGATATTTAACTTTCGGTCGTTGCAAGTTAGATCCATGGAGGTTGTGCTGATAATATACTAAGCACAGTACAGGATATTTACGCACCTTAATCGAACCCCGGCGACGTTCGCTGCAGGCCACGGAATAGGAACGTGGAGATGTTTTGCGCCCTGATTCGAGGAACTGATCAATCCCGGCCGGATTGCGTCGTGGTATTTGCATTTTGTCGTATCCTGCGGGGGGCCTCAAAGGCGAAGTCCGATTTCTGACATGACATGACAATCAATCATAACATTGTATTCTTTCTAATATATCGGTATGTGAGAATTCGAACATGCAAGTTGGATTTGATTCGAAAATCGGGTGTATGACAATAAAAAAAATACTGAAATACAATCCAACCGTCGTGAAGCCACAGCCATTTAGTTCACATGATGAATTTATCGATGCATCGGGTTTCCTTCAAGGGTTCGTGTGAATAAGCGAAGAATCAACATTCGAATTCGTGATCGAATTCCTGAACGGTCTCGAACGAGAAGCTGTAGAGGGCTCCAGAACCAGATTTGATGGCTATACCGAAGATCTTGAACTATATAACCCAAGAGTTTATACCCAAACCAGCGGGTACTGCTCACAAACCCGGTCCGGATGACAAGAAAACTCAAAAAAGAGCCAAGTTTCCAGTTCAAGGCCCTGGCATGATGTCTCACCATGCAATGTCACCGCCTTCCCGATTCTACTGCAAATCCCGGGTTTAAATCCACCACCCCATATATTCTTCGTCATACACCTTGTATCCAACGATAAAGAAACAAAACAAAACAAAAAGGATTCGTTCTGGGAGAAGCTGGAAGTAGCGAATCAGATCGATTATTTGTCGCACGATAACGATGATCCGGTTGAATAGGGTGCGCAACGTCGTCGATTCGGCAGGCACGGATCACACACGTTTTTTGGGGTTTATCGATTCTTGATATCATGGATTGGAAGGACAGGAACCTCGCATACCAAACTTCTACATTCAGTAGGTGAATATTAGAAATATACAGGTCGTACCTAGGTACTCCCAGGCGCACATGGGAAGGATATAAAATCCTCCCTAGCCCTCCCAAATACTCCTGTCTTTCAAATCCACGGATCTCCCTTCTCCTCATCCGCCATACTCTCCATATAGAATACTGGGAATATATATATCAATATATTAAAGATGTATACCAAAACTCTCATTCTCTCATTCGCTGCCATTGCGGCCGCCACACCTTTGTCGATCCGATCGGATTACACTGTCGGGCCGTTCAATACCTGTTCCGCCTCTGATAAGGCGCAGACCAGCTGCCGTAACACCACTTTAATCCAAGACGATTGCTGTATCGAGACTCGTGGTGGACAGCTTCTGCTCACCCAATTTTGGGACTGGAATCCAGCAAAGGGTCCTTCTGCTTCATGGACCATTCACGGACTATGGCCCGATCGATGCGATGGTGTGTATCTTCCTAGATCCCTAAGACAATTAATTTAGAATTAGGAGTTAATAAATATATAAAATGCAATAGGCACCTACGAAGGTTACTGTGACCCATCGCGCGAAGTAACCGGCGACGAAATCACCGAAATCATCCAAAAGAACGGCGGCCACAACCTCCTCCGCTACATGCGTCGTTACTGGAAAGATAATGCCAGCGTTGACGGAAACCTCTGGTCGCACGAGTATAACAAACATGCTACATGTTTCTCCTCCGGAAGGCCTGAATGTTACGCCTCAAACAATAACGCCACTCATCCACAGAAGGATGTATTCGATTATTTCTACAGAACCGTAGAGTTGTTTAAGGGTCTTGATACCTATAAGGTGTTGAAGGCTGGCGGAATTGTGCCAAGCAAGACGAAGACCTACACTTTGGAGGAGATCCAAGCGGCTATTAAGAAGGCCTTTGGGGTTACCGCTACAATTGGGTGCACTAAGGGAACCGGGGAGATTGCGGAAGTTTGGTATCATTTCCACGTTAAGGGTGGTAATGTCTACAATGGAGAGTACTTGCACATTGGTGAGTCTAAGAAGAGAAATCTATACCCGAATCGTAGTGCTTTAGAATAGCTACTAACATTGGATGATAGACGGAGGCAAGTCCTTCTGCCCCGACACCGGAATTAAGTATCCACCAAAGGAGAAGTCAGAGGAGAACTAAATCGTACGAATTGTATTGTATACATGCATGTAATGTGACGAATTGTATCATACCCCGGGTATAGTATATCATATGCCCTTCATTGCTTTAAAGCTGTACATATATACCCCCCAAGATATAGCATCAATTGAATTGAATCATGAGAGTAATGCAAAGCGAAGAAGCGACCCTCCAACGAATAAATGAGTAATCAAGTGTATCCCAGGCCCTCCCATACCCTTGACCTTCCCCCCTGTCCCAAAAAATGGGATTACGACCGCCTTTTCACCCCCCTGTATTCTTTTCAACGCCCTGTAAATTGGGAAAACGTGGTAGAAAGCTAGGGATACTGCAGATAGCTTGTGTAGGGTCCAACCCTCCGCATTGGAAGTTACAAATATATCGTCCGGCGTAATTGATAGGAAGAACGAGACTAAAGACGACGAGAGTAGAATGGCACCATATTGGCGAAGAACCGGGGATATAGAGTTTGCATCCCGCGGCGGGCAGTGGGGAACGAAAGAGAGGGGCGAAAAGAGGAGTAATAGCGAGGGTGGAATTTCGAGGAGAGAGTGGAATATGAAGGGGAAATATAACTGCATCTATGCGGCACGGGAACGATAAGATGCCGAATGAGTCGACTCCAGTATGCAGTATCGTAGACTCTTTGATTCTGAGAAGTCGATATCTACCCGATTTATCGGCTGCGTGACTCACGGCTGTGCCACATCAAGATGTTGGATGCAACACGAATTCGTGATTTTAATTACCTCGCGAAGTCATGCTTCGTTGACGTTCCTCAACTACACTACTAGCTACAGACGCGAAATTTCTGTATAAAGTGTCGCCCCGACGTCGCGTCGTGTCAGAATAGTTTGTGTAAATTAAGCAATTCTAGATTTCAAAATCATTGCACAATCTCAAGATATCATAATCTTATAAATTCCTAAATAATCTTGCTATTATATCTAAGATATTATAATATTAGCAGAAATGGCGTCAATAATGGCTATCTACCCTGATATCGTCTACGAAATCCTCAACTACCTCGACCGCAAAGATATCTTTTCCCTCCTCCAAACTTGTAAACATTTTTATCTGCCTTGTTACCATTACCTCTGGAAGGTCTTGGTTTTTAACAACGACTATAACCCCGGCAACTGGTATCCCGGTTATGAAATATGTGTCAGTAAAATCGTACTTCGAAACCTTTTGAAGCTCATCCGTGAGGGGAATCCCTTGGGCTTTCAGCATACGAGGGTACTATGGCTAGGACGCCCCATATTCAATAAACAGTTAAGATCTATTTCATGGGATCTCAGAAGATATTTGAAAAAGTTGTTGGAGAATGGAGAACTTGACTTGAGGGAGGCAATTGTCTGTTACTCGAATGAAGGTATGATTCCCCACCGTCGCTTCGAGAATAGATATACGCCAAATATTTATGTGTTCAAACTATGAAGTATCTTCTTACTAACGGAACGATCTGAAGCCCTGGCCGCAAGTGAGGACCCACAAAGGGCACGAGATGGTGACTGCATGGTACCCCTTCATGCTCTCCACAAATACACACAATCAAAATCGATCCACGACTTTTCCTTGAGAGTTGAAGCTTCGACCATCAAATCCTTCCTAACTTACTTCAATCCGGAGTTATTAACACATTTTGAAGTTTCACTTAACTTCGACAAACCGGGGGACCCAAACTTCCCAACAACATTCACAAGTATTAACGGACCGATGGAAGTTCATATCGTAGAGTTTAGGACTGTCATCCGTGGGATGGTTAACCTTGAGTGGTTCAGCTGGAAGACACTGACTCAAGCTTTCTCGCCGGAGTATGCAACGGTACAGAAGGAATTAGAGGAACTTCAAGCTGTATTTTCAACTTTCAAGAAGCTACGAGAAATGGAGCTCGAGGGATACGTATTTCATCCATCATTCTTCTTAGTTCCGCCAGAGGGTGTGAAGAAACTCTCGATCTCAGGCGTGATGTCACCAGTCTGGTGGAAAGAATTTGCGGCAGCTCCCTTAACGAATGTCGAAGTTTTAGATCTCAAGACTGAGTCCGGCAATCCGAGTTCAAACCATCCATCCGTGCCAGGGGAACCTAGTCCCGAGAACACAGATTTCGACTTCTTAATCAAAGAGGTTGCCTGTCGTGGATTGAAAAGAATAACGATTCGGAATCACATATGGATGCCCCACGACTTAGAAGTTTGTATCGCACGAAGGAATCCCGACTTGGACAGAACTTTAGTAAGAGAGGCTGCATTACAGAAAGCAGTTGCTATTTTGGACAAAAGCATCTTTATTTTACGGAGTAGATCGAGGCGAGCCGCGTCGACTTTCCGGGGCAGAATACCCCGAAGCATTCTCGAAGGTTCTGGAGGCGCTAGTGAGAATACGGTCAAAGGAGATATGGCGCAAGCTTTCTCCGAACTCTTCAGTACAGACAACTACGAAGGCACCTCGGTGGAAAATATAGGTGATTCAATTCGCTCCTGGGAGGAATTTGGAGGTATTAGGGGAGGTGAACGTGAGCATGGAACATTGCGCCAATTGAGAGATTATCTGGATAATTGCATGGGAATGGTACTTGATAAATATATCCATCAGTATGGGAATTTTCCACCGCCGGGAAGATCACAGCTTGACTTCATAGCCGATTGTATCAAAACTTTTGGAAATAGAGATGAGATACAAGAGTGGGCTAAAAGAAAACAAGAAGCTACATGGTTTTTACGGAACTGTGAGAATAAAGTGGTGGCGGACACTGACCAACTGCTTAAACCAATGGCTGAGGAATTGGCGGACAGGATTTTGGCGGGGGAAATTCTGAATCGAGAGCATATTACGGATAAATTGAAGGGGTTGTTGGTGGAAAGGTTCGAAGGTTTTGGGCTAGAAGGCTATATAAGCTAGCGGTCCTATATATGTTCGAAACCTGCTTTGGAATTCGAGTGTGCGTACCAATGACACCGTTATGGAATCTATTGTTACCCGAAATACTTGAAGTATTTATTCTATATGTAACGTACATGCAAGCTGATGCTAAAGTTGCAGTTCTCATCAGTACTATATATGGTACTAGCATTTTGCAATGAGACGCCCTTGCCCCAAAATCTCAAGTGCAATTACTTGGAAACATATTAACTAAACGCTCAACGATAATCTAGTAGGAAACCCATTAGGCCACCGGATATTACTTCATTATATGTACCTACTGGGTTTTCTATTAAGGAGATGAATCTAAAAAGTAATCTTAAAGACTGTTGATATCAGAGGTTTCTTGTCATTGGGCTCGACAAAGCTGCAGCATTTACGCTAAACTACTGTTAAAGGGGCCATTATTATCATTGGAAGTGGTCCTACTCAACGAGACCAGTCCTACTGTTTTATATACTTAATCGATATATATAACTAGAAGATAAGGTGCTTGGCTTCATGATAACCGGGGGCCTGGTGAACATTATTATACTCTGGCTCCAGCTATATTTCTGAATAGATATGATTAGCCATCATATATATGCACATGGTTATAAAATTCCGTCGCTAGATCCACAAAGTCATTTCAAATATTTCTTGGGGTGTACTTATATCCGTTTAGTGCTATAGTAGACATATGAAACTGCTGTAGATCCCCTTATAATCATCCGAGTGAGAACGGTTAGTTGATATTATTAGTTATAGGTCTGTCTCTTGTTGAATAGACCTACCAATTGCTAGATTCCTCCTCCAACTTCCTCTCAGGAGGCTTAAAAAAAAGTGCAAAAAAGTCAAAAAAAAGGAGGAAGGCCGAGAGAGGTGTTTGAGGATCGAAATGCTGCCCCCGCCAGAACAGCCCTCGCACCCGTATCTAGTACTGTACTGGTGATAGTTTTAGATCAACCCCAAATTCCCAGTTGCTTGTTACCAACCAACTGAGCCAACTCTCGGCTGAAACAACATTCAACCTTTGCTGTATATATACCCATCTACAAACTAAAGCTCCGTGGAACGGGTTATGGGTAAGGGAGGAAGAGACGTCAGAGGAACCTAGCTTGGCGGGCCAGCTCGGCGGTATGTAGACCCAACAGGATGTAGTATATATATCTCTCACAACATAAAGCCTGGTTATGTGAAGTTGTTCTCGTAAGTCAGTTAAGCTAATTGCCTTCTTTTAGATCTTTAATTAGATTGGATAAAATATATTAAAAAAAGCTTAGGGACTTAAGTACTATTTAGATACATAAACGAGAAAATAAATAAGTAAATTGAGAATGGTATGGTACTATAGTACGAAGTAAACTCGCCGCTCGAGACTATCTCCGTATATGTGTATTGACCCAAATCAAACCCCCGCAGGCTAAGCACTGAGCTCAGCCAACCTAGCTCCTCTTCTTCCAGACCACTCCTCTTCTAGAGTCGAATGATACGCGTCATATAACACGACATTTCAACCGGCATGATTTGGATATATTCTCGAAAATCAAACACATAATACGCAAAATAATGAGTTCTACAATTGATAATCAACTAACTGGAATGCATTATGCATACATGCTATGTATTACTGGACACTATCATATGATACCTGGGCATCCCGTATACGTATATCCTACCGTTACCATTTCCCCAGATCCCAGATCTAATATAACGATACCTGCCTACCTACGAGGTGGGCATAACTTAGACTTTGACCTGAAACTCCTTAGACAACCGGCCCAGCGCAACCTTCAGATGCGCAGTTCCAGATTCTCCTAACTCTAGGTCTCCTACCAGACCCCAGTTAGTGAACAATCTGGCAACATAACGCCACAGTCTATAGCGGTATAGGAATAGGTACACAGCCGACAATGCACTATCAAGGGCCCCAACAATCCAAGCATGGTGTACACTTGACGCTTCGCCCACAATATGGAATTTACTATCGGCAGCCGGCCGTGAGAGGTATGGGTACAGTTCGACGAATTGACCTGGCCCGAATAAAGCGAAGGCAGCGGTCATGAATGGATCATGGGACCACGCGTATGCGTGGTGTGTTATTAGAGCTTCTTCGATACGTTCGTAGGTTATGTGCTCGGAATGCAATATGGCTAGGTCTCGTAAAATCAATTTGACGAGTTCTTCTTCACCCTTGGGCGATGTTGGTTTAATATATTCGCCCATTTTTTCAGCATCTTTCGCCCAGGTATAAGAAGCCAGTAGCACGGCAGGCTCATCAAGAGGAGTATCAATATTGTAGGACGGGTATACGCAGGTGCGTAGAGGCAGATCGGTCTTAGCAACGCCACCTTCTGTGATGCCACAATCTTTGACCCACCAAGGGTACTTGAATTTGAGCGCTACTTTAGCCGAGTCGTCATAGTGTAGAGTGTGAATTGCTTTTAGTTGGGTTGGGTGAAGGTCGAGGCCACTTAAGTCCATGCGATCCAAACACCCTAGAGTCGTTGTATTGAAGACAGTACTGTAGCCCGTGCGCCAGTTACTTTCACCGGCACACTTCACGGACATGTTACCGTCTTTCTTTAAGCTGTGGTCAATAGAAATAGCTTCCACTTTTGTATTCGTCTGGACCTCTGTGCTCAGCCCCTTCCGCATAGCATCAGTGAGGACCGAGGTGCCTCCATCGATGCAGAACCACTTGGCTTTTTCGTCGAAGTCGAAAGAGTCGATAACACTCTCAGAGAAGGCTTGGTCAAAGAGACCGGTCGATGAGGTTTGGGTTTCCATCCATTTAATAGAAGGAGCGTCGTACTTTTGTTCATCGTCACCTTTCGGTCCACCTTTCTCCAGAAACTCTCGGGTGCTGAAGTGATCGACCTTCCTGAGTTTCTCGAACCCTTTTTTGAAGTTTTCTGTCAATGCCGCCTTGTATGGACCGAAAGCTTTCTCGAGAATGTCATCAACTTTATCGACGACACTGTCGGCAACCTCGCCGCCATTCTTAACACCAACATGGTGGGGGTCAGGCCCCGGTGTAAAGAAACGGCCGTTGAAAAGTTTGGGAGTGTTAGAACCTTTGAGATAATAAGGAAGTGTCGGTGTCTTGGTGCGTTTGATCAACTTAAAGGTGCGGTTCATTGTTTTCATATCAGGAAACCGCATCGCGCCGATATCATAATAATCATGTAATTTGTCGCTGAAGTGATGAGTGTAGGCGCGGCCGCCGACCCTAGAATTGGCCTCCAAAATCTCATATGTGAGATTAGGGATTTTTAGATCATCGAGGATCATTGCAATATAGAGACCTGCAACACCAGCTCCGACGATGCACACCTTGCGGGGCGGTAGTTGAGGTGCAGTTTGATCACTGACTTCCTCAACAAGCTTGCCGTCTTTGTAGTTTTGGTCGCGCGGTAAGTCGTCAGGACTACATTGGGGAAGGCCGGAAAATGGGTTCCCAGGCATCTGTCGAAGAATCTCGATTTCGGCTGCGATCTTCTCGCGGACCACCTGTTGGGCATAGCGCCCTTTGATAGGATGAAGGCCAAAGGTATTCATGATAATAGAGGTTTGTAAAATTATAAAGTGCAAAGTGTAAGAGTATAGTATATTTTAAATTTATAAAGCGAGTATAGATCTATAGACGTCGACGCCCGACGGGGATCTGCAAAGCTAAACTGGTGCTGGCTAGCGCTTGCCTTTTTATAAATATTGATAAATTGCAATCGAAAAACCCAGATGCAGTTGTTAAAATCCAGAATTCTTTGTCTTTATATATACGCACCCTTGGATAGTCTGTATGCATATACACAGATCTGTTCTACTACTCGAGCTCTACTATACAGCTGATATCATAATATCGCCGTGGGACTGGCACTGCATACACTCGATAACCCGCAGCTGAGCTGAAGATAGATGAGGGCTGGTGTGCAGCGCACCCCGAACCCCGAAGATATCGGATATGCATATCGTCAGCTCAGTCGTATCTTTTTGCTGTAGAATACCGCAGCGGGGAGGTCAGAGGGGTTATTTAGTGGAAGTCTCCTGATGAATGATTCTTCGCAAACTTTGATTATATTATCATATTATTGGTTTCGCATACAGGAATGGCGAGGTAGAAAATGGTGGCGTATACGGTGGCGATTATGCATTGATGATTGGGTGCGCACATAGTGGTGGCGCCATGGGCACGAACTGATTGGTTGCGCACACAGTGATAACGATGTATCTATTGGCTGCGCACACAGCAATGGCGCCATGCATGGCAATGGATTAACATTTGTAATATTTGGCTGCAGCAAAGCGATGAACGACGACGCATATGCGCATATATGCTTCAATGGACGGCTGATGCTGAATTTGCGACGTTAGCTGGAAATGAATATTTTATTATCAGCCCCAAGAGTAGATGATGTGGTACTTAAACACCTACAGTTTTGATTTTTAGAAAAATTGCAAAATAGGTACTATAGCTAGATAGGAACCCGATAAGGAAAAGTTATTTGATATCATTTGAATTCAACAAGAAAAGAATCATACTACACCAATACGATATGAAAGAAAGCAAAGTCTTCGACGTTATTGTCGTTGGAGGCGGCCCCGTCGGACTTGCGACTGCCTACGAAGTCGCAAAGACCGGCTCCAAGGTTATTGTACTCGAGCAAAACAACTTCTTCAACCATGCGGGGAGCTCTGGTGATCTGGCTAGGATGTTTCGGACGATGTAAGTTAAGTGTTTCTGTCAAGAGTTTCGGTGAAGAACCACTAATATCTTTGAAAGGTATACGGAAAGCTTCATGGCTGATCTCGCCAAGGAATCCATGGGTCTATGGGATGATCTCGAGAGAGAATCGAGCACGTCCCTTCGCTGGATGAGCGGCCTTCTCAATTTTGGCGATAAGGATTTAGGTGAAAATAGTCCTGAAGGTACTCTATCTATAATATTAATATTAGTCCGAGATATATTGATAAGTTCGCTGACATCGGATAGGAACATTACTGGATCCAATTAAACACCTCACAAGACTTCAAATGGCATATAAGAAATGTATGTGGTCGAAATGATGTACATATGTGGGAGCTTCCCAATTGTAATCATGGTCTTGCACTAACCGACAATTAACCGTTTCGAACTTTCCAGTAACCGTAGAAGAAATTCAGAAACGCTACCCCTTCAAGGACTTGCCGTCGGACTGGGTTGGTGTATACGCACCCGATAACGGCGTCATTAACGTGCAGCTTCTTTTACGGACTCTACTCAGCTTAGCAAAAGACTATGGTGCCGAGACCAAACAAAATACGCAAGTCAAAGAAATCCGTCTTTCCGAGAGTGACAGCAATATCTGGGAAGTTCACACCATCCGCCATGAAAAGGATCTTGTCGTCTTCAAAGCGAAGAAGATTGTTATAGCATCTGGCGCTTATGTCAATCATGTGCTGAAGCCTAGCTACGGCATCTCCCTTGATCTTTGTATCTGGGAGATGGTTGCTAATTACTTTAACTGCAATGCCGGGCCGAACGGGACAATATTTCCTAGTATGTAAACTCCCACCCTACAAGCAAGCAGCTTCTTTATATATTATTCATATAGCCCTTACTACGACAACCAAGACTGACTCGGCATCTGAAATAGGCATGTGGTTCCAATTTGCCCCTCCGGATGAGAATAAAAGGTCGCAGCTGTTCTACGGATTTCCGACTTTACCTTGGGGACCCCCCAATGTTGTCCGTATTGCTGTCGACGCTGCCAGTAATCGAATCAAAGACCCTAAGGATCGAAAGACTAGCGTCGTTAATCCAGATGATATTCATGACACACAAGAATTCATCAAGAAGCACATCGTCGGTGTCGATTCCACCGTCCCCGCGTTCACTTTATCGTGTCTACAGACTAATGTTTTTGGTACGTACGCTTTTAACAGTAATTTTGAACCTTGTGCCAGTTTCGCTAATCTTACTCTTGTAATCTAGACAATATGTTCGTTCTGGATTACATTCCGGAAGAATACCTTCGTGGTGGTCCGAAGGACAGTGTGGTGGTCTTCACAGCCGGCTGGGCTATGAAGTTTGTGCCGTTGCTTGGTAAGGCTCTGGCGGATATGGCTCTTCACGGGAAGTCCGAGTATGCCCGTGGAGAATTCTCTATTACTCGTAAAGGTGTCAAAGGTGAGACTATTATTGTCGATCATAGCAAACCGCAAAATATGGCGGAGTCGTTTCCCTGTTTAAATTTAGAAGAAGGTGAAGTACAGAGTTTTAGTGCAAGGCCTCAGCAAGCCTCGGGGTCATCTATGAGATCTCGAAGGTCTCACACGACGTCGACTGAGCAATAGATCCAAATAGTATCTCTTGTATGTATTTCAGATTCAAATTTGAATATATATACGATTAAGCCTTAAGTATCTGTATATATACGTATACTAACTCTAACCATCACTATACTTGATATTATGGTGTCGATTTTTCACAAGAATCAAAGAGTTTGGGGAATAAGATGGGCCCAATGCTTTAAATTCTTCAGCATGCTAGCACGGTACTTATCTCATAAGGAACCTAAGAAGTTTATGAATCTCATGATCTTCTTAGTATACTATTGCGTATTAACACTATGAACTAACTACTTTTTCTTTCTCTTCCCCTGGTCCATCTAACCGATATTTTATAATATATCCTGAGCCATACTGCAGCCTTTGTATTCTATATTTGTTAGAAATTTATATCACCCGCATATACTTCATGCATTATGATTACTCTTGTCATCAATAACATACGTAACCAGCCGTCAAGAAACGACCGGACAGACAAATCCCAGAATCTTCCAAATAAACCAAACACCATACAACTTTCTTTTTAAAATATCAAATCGGCGTTGTTTTTGTGGCAGGTCCACGATAATGCATGTCAGCCGGGTGCATTAGTTTCCTTCGGCCCACTCCATCTTGGCTTAGCTAAGTTCTCTTCCAAGTCGACATCCCCGTCGACGACGATTCCTCCGTTAACCAGCCTTAGTCAATGTCACAGGCGCAGCAGAATTGCCCCTGCCTTAGCTCTTTCCCACTGATGTTAAGTAGCTATAATCCGGCAAGCGAAATCCCAGACATTAGTTACTGATATGCGACGACATATCGACGCTATATTGTATCAAACAGTTTTGCATGGCCATGGATCTAGGAGGCAATTTTAAGGTTACTGTACCTTGCTGACTCCATAGGATCATGATGTAATACATTTCATCAGCCAATTACATGCCGTCGGTGACCTCTATGGATCATTAATTCATTATCCTATGATTGGTGGGATTGGGAATTTAAAAGACTTATGATATCTGCGCCCCCGTAACGCGTAAAAGACGGAACTATGACATGGTTTATAGGTAGGTAGCTCAAGCTTAAGCTTCTAGCTTCTGATCATGACTGACTCGACCGGCGGGCCGAGGCGATAGCGAATTAACGAATTCATCCCTAGGTCCCATCAAAAACAAGCCGTAAAGTTTGCGCGTGCTGTTTTTTTATGAAGGAAAGAAAAAGGAAAAGAGAAACGAAGCCCCCTGTAGCGTATATGTATTATCCCCTGTGGGTAGGTTCAAAGTGTCAAGGATAGATGTCATACAAGGCACACGATGCAGCATGTACAGTAGCAGCAGTCTCCGTATCAGGTTCGAGGAAGAGAAGAAAAAAAAGAAAGAGTACTTAAGCGCCCAAACTTCCTTCCTTCAATTGATCACTTAGTATCTTCCTATTTATTGCTATTCAATAAACCCCTTCCTTTCCCTTTCTCTCGAAGCCAGTTAGTTACCCAGAAGTTCTTAAAAATCACCCATCCTCGACGTGAACAGCCTGGTACAGACCAGAATTTGTTGTTTCTGTTGAGGTTGCCGCCTCTTCCCAACACAAAAACCCACCCCGCCCCCACAAACCGAACTAAGCTCCGTCGCAGAACGGCTCATTCTACACTACGTCACGCTACCATTCTCACATAAGAAACCCAGAACCGCCACCGACCGACCGTCATGGCACCGTATGAGGCTATCGGAGTAGCCAATGGCTCTGTAAATGGTGTTTTAGACGTCAATGGAGTAGATACGAACGGTAACTCCGGTGTCAATGGTACTGCCAATGGCCATACGAATGGCGATACCAATGGTCACGCTAATGGCCAGACTAACGGACACCACCATCACCACAATCACGCTAACGGAAATCAGCATATCAATGATGCTGTTGATGATAATGAGGAAGTAGAAGGAGAAGAGGAAGAGGAAGAGGAAATGTTTCCAGAAGACCTCGGCCTACGAATCATGGGCATTGGTGTTCAATACCCTCAATATAGAGTCCAACCAAAGGATCTAGATACCATAGCTCAAAAGTTCTATCCTCAGACAGATGCGTAAGTTCGCTGTTTCTCTCTGCAATCTAATCCAAAAAGATCTCCAAATCTTCAATACCCAGAAGGTCTAAGAGATCTGAATCTGAAGTATCTTACTTATCTTTCTTATAATATGATTTTAGTCTAAAGAAAGTGCTCTCAATAAACCGCTACACAGGCATAACTGCCCGCCCCTCAATAGGCGAACATCTCCACCCCCTCGCAAACCAGCCCGCCGCCCCAACAATAACAGACCTCCACTCCCTCTTCCTGACCGAAGGTGTCCCGTTATCCGTCTTAGCCTGCCAACAGGCATTAAAAGAATCAACTTACAAACCCTCGCAAATAACCCACACGGTCTTTACAACCTGCACGGATTCTTCAAACCCAGGTTACGATACATTCGTACTAAAATCTCTGGGTATAAAAAACACTGTCGAAAAGGTGTTATTATCAGGAGTAGGATGTTCAGGTGGTCTTGCTGGGTTAAGAACGGCGTGTAATATTGCGTTAGGTGCTAAGGCGCGTGGTAGGAAGGCTAGGATATTGGTTTGTGCGACGGAGATATGCACCGTTTTGGTCAGAAGTGAGCTGGATAGCATTGTCAAGGAAAACAATGTTAGGATTGGGATCACATTGTTTAGCGATTGCAGTAGTGCTGTGGTTATTAGTAATGGTATTGGAGAGGACGTTGATAAGAAGGGGGTATACGAAATACTTGGTTGGAAGCATAAGACTCTTGATGAGACAGAAGCAGAATTGGGATTTGACGTTGATCCATTAGGTATTCCCCCCAACTCTTCTCGTCAATCTTATATGAAAATTTCAATACTTCGGATTCCATACTAATGGTGTATAAAATATAGGCTGGAAAGTAATCCTAACCCCCAAAGTTCCAACCATAACCTCAGGCGCCACTCCCAGCCTCTATAAGTCTCTACTCTCCTCAATCCCACCATCAACTCTCTCCTCTCTCTCCCCAACGTCCACACCATCTATTTCTCCAACGGACTTAGACTGGGCACTCCACCCAGGCGGCAGCCTAATCCTGACATCAATTGAATCAACAATGTCCCTCACCCCTTCTCAACTAAGAGCATCATTCGAAGTATACACAAACTACGGGAACTCGAGTTCTGCAACTGTATTCAGCGTTATGGATAGATTACGAAGCGATGGAGAAGCTGGTGTTGGTGGTGAAGGAAAGGAGTATGGACCTGGTGTTGGGATCAAAGGTGGGAGAAAGGGTGTGGTAGGGTGTGCTTTTGGACCTGGTGTAAGCGTGGAGATGGTCTTAATGAGGAGAGTAGAGAAAGATGACAACAATAGTGATAAGGGGATTGTTGAAGTTACCAATGGGATTGGTAACGTCAGTGTAGGTGGGGAGGAACTGGATTGATGTATTATATACATACTTTGTTTCGTTCTGTTATGGGCTTTTGTTCTATGGGTGGGTTTATTACTAAGTATTGGTTGTTTCCTTTCTGTTTATAGGTTTGCGGTATTAATAGTGGTTTAGAGTCCGGAGATACCCCGAATATAATTATAATAGACGGCTGGTATGTTCTGCTTCCTTGCTATCTTCTCTTATATAAATATAAAGATAATTCTTATACTCCACGTTCAAAAGATTCGAGAGAAATAGCTAGCAAAGAGAGACGAAAGCGAAGAGAAACAAAAAGGAATAAGAAGAGGAAGCGTCAAGATGGTATCCGTAAAAAAAAGAAAAATCTCCAATCAGACGAAAAAGTCGATATATGCCGCTCCAAAAAGTAAAGGAAACCAAGATATCCCGCCCCAAATAATCCAATATACTCCAAACTTTTTGATAAAAAAAAATATTCCAATAGAGCGAGAGAGAGAGAAAGAGAAAGAGAAAAAGAGAGAAAATAAAGGCTACTTCCGTTTCGCCAAAAACTCCTTCAAATGTTGTCCACTCTCATCGATATCACTTCTCGCACATAAACCCCTCCGTCTTCCTTCTTTGATATCCTTCTCAAACGCCAAAAATACTGCTTTAACGAGAACCCAATATCTATCGCTTGTTCTTTCCAATCCTAATGATTTCCAATCGCTTTCTTGGTATCGATGGCGTGCTGCGTTCCAGGATTTTATCCAGAAATCTATTCCTTGTCGCATTGCGGCGAGTGATGTGGGTGTTGGAGTTATTTGTGAGGAAAGATCAAGGGTTAGAAGAACGTAGAGGACTATTTCATCGTTAGTCTTTTGTAGTTGATATAAGAGGGGTATTACTTGAGGGATGGAATACCGTGGACTGTAACAAATAAATCCATTGTCGTCAAAACTGGCATTGTCGGCCAAGGTGTCACAAAACTCATCCTCAAGGTCTTCATGACCTTAACGCCCCTAACTGGCGGGCTAGGTATCGCCATCAACTGTGCGAATGATGCTGCCGAAAAACTTGCGGAAGCGCAGGGAAGGTCTAGTTGTTCTATTTCCGTGCCAGAAATCCGTGGTGTGCAATTATTAAAAATCACAAACGCGCAGTCCATAGTCAACATGATGTTCTGTAAACGAATAGCCGTTTCGGTGCGGACCCAGGCCCGAAAGTCGGCTGGAGAAGCTGGTGGATGGGTATGATGAGCGGACGGAAGTCTGAGTTGCCGTGCTAACTATATCTTCTGTTAGATATCATTCTTTATCATGCGCCTGGATTCGAGGCTACTTTGTCATAACGAAGAAAGGGAGGTATACCTCGAGCACTCGTGCAAACCGCTGTTGCCGTATCCGCCGCTTTGCAATCTTATGCCCCGCCCATGTCTGTACCACAATCATCAGGTATGCTGCCTGCAACTTTTCAAAATCTTCCCAATCAACATCTTTATATGTCTTTCCAGGGCTATTCCCGGTGCTATATGCACAAAACTCATACTCGTTTTTTAAGTAGTCTCTTCCAAATATATATACTTCTGCGATATCTAGCAGCCCTCTACACCGTCTTATTTCCCCTGCATCCTTGACGTATAAACCCCCAATACAACACATCGCCAGTATCAAAACCGTAGCACATGTGCTGGGCGAATAGCTCGGTATATGTATAATCGGACCATGTTTGTGCCAATGTCGAAAAAAAGAGTTTGTAAATCTTTGTAATAAGTCCCCTGTTACGGATTCTACTGTCTCAACTGCACGTCTATATTCCGGTGAACCCTCGGGAAGTTGGAAGGATTGTACGACTTTGAAGAGTTCAGGGCGAAGGAATGAGGCGTGGGCATCATAAACGTCCAAGTCAGTTGTCGTAGCCGGGGAAGAGTGTTCAGAGAATAAATGAGGGTCCCAAAGCGCGTTTGGTTCAAGACCTATGTTCATTAAATAACCCATCTCGCCAAACAACATGTTTAGATCGATGTCTGGGAGTATACTAGCGTCGTAATTGAGGCTGAAGTCCATGTCGAAGGGTGTTGGCTGTGGAACGGATGATATAGTGATTGGAATTGCAGTTGCGGTAGTCGGAACCGATATACCATTAGTTATAGGGCTATCGGAATCTTCTTCATCAGGAGTAGCAGAGAGAGGAAAGACCTGGACGAAGCCAAGGCTTCCTTGCGACTGTCCATTCAAGAGGTACTCAATCGATCCTCGGAGGTCAGGTGGATCCGATCCATTGCCGTCATCGTCGATGTTTTCGGCCTCATCATCGCTTTCTTCCTCTGGAACAGAGCTGTCGAGTTCGGATCCACGGGGTGTTCCTTGACTTCCAGCCGTGCCAGTGCTGGATGTCGTGAGAGTAGTTTGCCACGAGAGGGATAATTGCTGCTGAGAAGTGTCGATGCCGCTACCACCACCATTACTATTACCACTACCACCAATCACACTAATACCACCAGCAGGAGGAGAGGTCTTTTCGCAGACAACACCAGCAGTGATGCAGCGGTCGCAAGGAATTTGACCAGTACACGAAATCTTCCGCTGAGAACAACGGTCGCAGGCACGACGTTTACGGCCGACGATTCCGACGGGAATAGGACGGTCGCCACGGAATTCACAACGGATATGGTGTTCTTTGAGCAGGTCGCTGTATCGACAAGAATTAGCCAGGTTAACCAACCACTTAGTAGAAGATTAGAAGAATATTATCTAGAAAGGAAAGCAAGAAAGTAAGCAGGCAAGTAAGTAAGTACCTTCGACGGAACTCCTTGGAGCAGAAGTGACAGTTGAGCGGGCTGCCGACGGAGTCTAGATAGTCGAATCAAATCAGGCCACTATCAGTATATGTAATAATACACTCTGTAAATGCTGGATATTCTCCGATAGAACACTATATCTGCCACCGATATAGCTAGATCTAATGCACAACATAGCCAGATCTATAGCATGCACGGCATGGATACATCTAAGGAAGACGCGAAGTCGAAGAGAAAGAACATACGATGCGTTCGGATGTGGCGTTCAAGATGGGCCTTCCGGGTGAAGGACTTGGAGGTCGGACATAACGAACAGAGGAACGGCGTGGCGGTCGAAGTGTTGTTGTTACTGCTGCTACTCATCATTTGGGCGGGTCCCATTGTGCGTCCGGCCACATTCTTCCTATCGGATAACTACAGCTGGCATCGACGGAACTGTTTAGACACGGTGAAGCTGGTGAGAATGGGAATCCTGGAGATGGTGATAGTTATTAGGTACTAAGTAAGTACTTAGTTAGTGTCGTGCGGCGAGGGAAAGAAAGGTCTTTTCTTCGGAACGCAGCCATCGAAAGGCTGCTGATTCAAGTGCCCGGCCGGAAGCGAACTGGAACTGGAACTGGAACTGGCTCGGGCCCACCGGTTTGCTCGGGCTGGTCTAGCCTGGCCTGCCCCGACTGTGCTTGAGCTTATTCTACTAGTATACTTTTGGCTGAATAATACGCCTCTGCTATATGATACTATTATAATACAGTAATATACCTTCCAAGTTCTCAGGAAATATTATCAAATGGGAAAGAGACATAGCTGAATTAATATTACTGTTCGGATTGGATATGAATTCATGACAGTGGAATGCAGTCGACGGTCTCGGAACATGAATATCCGGCGGGTGTATGCAATCTATATGCGCTCACCTGCATACGAATGAACTGGACTTCTGCATTCTCCCGCCCGTTACATATGCAGCTGCAGTCTGCAGTATCTTATTTAATTATTATGTGCATGAAAGTATGACTTCGGCCTCGAGTAGTTGATTACTATAACTATCGCTATCTCATTAGATACAATTGACAAATCAGATCATTCTCAAGTACTCCTAATGTAATAATATAATAAGGTATGTATAGCGAATAATAAGCACGAAGGGTACAATCCATGTATGAACGTTCCATTGCATGCCGACCGAGTGGTACAGAAGCTAGATCGGTCTGGTATATTCTATTAATGCGCCGCGACGGGCTGTTGCTTCTTGGGAATATACTTTGACTCCTCCTTTCTATTGCCAAAGGCGTCGTAGAGCTCCAGGTCACGGGTAGGCCCTGTTTGGTCGTCGAACAGCGGTGTGATCTGGCCTTCCTCGAGCTCCTTCTTGACTAGCTCGGACACCTTGTCCCATTTCTCCAAAGTATCGGCTTCTGCGTCAAATACATAGAGCCAGCGATTCTATGATCATTGATAGTGTTAGTAGATCAGATGTATAGAAGGGTTATATATTATTCATGGAAAGTATAATAATATATTCTTATAAAGGTTGTGGAAACGAACCTTCATTTTCACATCATCAGGATCGACTTCTTTGCCCTCCTCCAAATCCTTTAGACAGTTATGCCACCTATCCCTCACATCCTCTCCATTCAATTGTGCCTGTCTGACCCTCTCGAATCTGAGTTTCTCATAAACTCTCGTCTACCAAGAAAGGAAAAAGAAAACTTCCGCATTAGCATCGCTTAGTATACGTCATATGGCGTAAAATCTTACCGCAAGCGGCACATTCCCTTTCCCTGCCAGCTTCAAACATAGCGCAAGCACCGCTGCACTCTCCGTCGCTTGACTGGCCCCCTGTGCACTAGTCGGCAAGTGCGCGTGGCAGCTATCTCCCAACAATGCGATCTTATGGCTCTGGCTGACCCACGTTGGGATTGGATCTCTATAACAGATCTTCCAATCCAAACATTCCCTCGTTTCGTTGACTGCGGAGATTACCATTGGATCCCAGTCTTTAACTAGTTCCCTCACTTTGTCCATGTCGCCGGGTTGGAACCAGGATTCTTTGATGTCCTCGTCGTCTTTGTGGGTAAGAATCCAGTTGAACTCTTCACCGTCCCTAAGAGTGTTTTGGACAAGATGCATATCTGGTCCGATCCAGATGTTGACACAGTCTTTCACCAGAATTGGTTGGCATTCTGGGACCGAACGGAGAATGTCGCCTTTGAAGTAGGCGCGGTAACAGGCGTAACCCGAAGATTTGGGTTTATCTGCGAAGCCGAGGACCAATTCACGGGTTTGCGATTTGATACCTAATATCCCACGATTGTTAGCTACATTTGTACGGTTTGATGTTTCCCAAATGCTAGATCGTAAGTAAATAGAAAATTAACTGTAATAATGCTTACCATCTGCTCCAATCACAATATCCGCCTCAATCCACTCCCCACTCTCCAACTTGACTGCCGGTCTGTCCTCGTCAAACTCCACAACATTATGGCCCATCTTAATATCAATCCCCAATTCCGCGACTCTATCCAAAAATGCCTGATGATAATCCCCTCTATGACCGATATACCCAGCCATATCCATCAAAGGCTGTGTAGCCAAAATCTTACCATCGCTCCACCGTCTAATATGCATATCAGGACTTCTATTCCCAATATTTATAAGCTGTTCATGAAGACCCCATCTCTTCAAGAGTTTTAACGCGTTCTCTCCGAGACCTAGGGAATCCCCTAGACGTAAGAATTTCTTGATCTTTTCGAAAACGGTGACATGGAAGCCTTGGTGGTGCATTGCCATTGCGGCGGCACAGCCACCGAGGCCGGCGCCGATTATTATGACTTTGTTTTTGAGGCGATTATGTTAGAATTAATTCATTTCGACAGAGAAGGAGGGGTTACGAAGGTATGCAAGGGGGTTTGAGTACCTCTGATCTGGCCATTCTTCGGTTGGGTGGTTGAGGCCATTGTGAATGGGATTCTTTCGATTGGTAATCAATTGGCTACTTGCACTGAAGCTGATAGATAATTCAATCAACAGTTACCAATATGATATAATATCGATGTTATCTCGAGCAATCGCAGGATGCAACTCAATACTTTGTTGTAATTTTACACAACTCGCGCGCAGTAACTTTTCACCGTCAAAGCGTCTAAATTCGATAGGTTCTACGTAACGAAAACCAATCCCGGATACCAATACAAACGAAGAAAGACAAAAAACGGTTCCAAACCCGACAATTAAAAATCCTACGAAAACCTTTTTTTTAAGATTATAATCGGAGACGCTGATTCCCCCCGAATCCCTTCCGAAAATACTCCAGTGTCTACGTGATTTCCCCACATCTACCAGTTCTCCACTTTGTACATGCACCGATGCGAGGGTTTTTAGTCTGGGGTTTTAGACTTAGCCGATAATAGATGGGTATTCTCCGTTGGTATGCATATGCACGCGCCAGAACTACAAAAGACGAAAAGAAGAAAAAAAAGTGATCGACTGTGCAGCAAGTGTGGGGTAAATAGTAGTTTTACCTTCGAAGGAAAAAAAGGTCAAAAGTTTTAAGTAGCGAAAGAGGAAGAAGTCTACAGGGTTTGCGCGTGAGCAAGTTTATTCGATCATTATCGTGATCATGATGTGGGGAAAAAGGTTATGGGTAAGACAAAATATGGCATATCTTATCAATTGCATAAAGATGGTTCGTCCGTTGCGAAAGACGGCATACGGAGTATATCCACATCGGTTACTGCGGAGATGCATATTGCGGGGGCTCGGGGCGAAAATTATTAGCACCACAATGAAAGTCGATGGATACCCGTATGAACACAAGTTTGCGATAGTGAAAGCGGGGATGTGCCATCTACAAGGCGTCTGGAGTATTAGGCCATGAAGAACAACATGTGGTTTTCGGGGTTTCGCCGGGATAGGCGTGGCTTGGATATTTTCCGTGTGACACTCTGTTAGTTAGTTTCTTCTCTACTGTGTATGTGCATGTGGTGGCCATAGACATGGTAGACATGGGTATGGGTGATACACTACTAGGACGTATGGACTAAGGGAAGGGGCACGGTTCAGCTGTCGACTAGAGATTCTTCCAGCCACATGGCTCTGGGCTAGAATTGAGTTTTGGCCAATTTCATAATTTGGTTAGTATATGATCCAGATTTTTAGTCGTTCCTATTGTTCCGGTAGGATCTAGATGACCTTGTTCTGTAGCGGAATCTAGAAGACCTAACGGTCTGTTAAGCTAAAGAGTGCTCGAGTCAGCTCTGGGCTGTGGCAAGAAATACATTACGTAGTTGTAACATCAATATTGGAGTTCCAGAAGATCAAGGGGAGTATGTCTGAAGTCGTCCGAGATCGGTGAATTCGAAGGATAGAATACTAGTTTGAACAGGTAACTGATTTGAGGTTAGTATGAGAGGGTTTCTATAGATCTAATCTGTCTACTTTCATTCGTCCAGAGATTTGGTGAAATTTTCATGTGAAAAGTACTCAATGCTTGCATTTAATCTAAAATTACAGTTATAGAGATGAAAATCAATTACAAAAAACTGATTTCCGCCACATTCGCTCTCTCCTCGCCACCTACAACTTCGCCTGCGGCGGCAGCCCTGTCAAAGTCTTCCTCTCCTCTTGACCAGGCAACATCTCAAACCCCCTACCCTTGTACCTGTGCCCCCAAATACCGTTTCTTCCAGGTGCAATGATAGAATTAGGGTCAACTGCGTCCTTGATCGTCTCAACAAACTTGTTAAGAGCCTGACCGTTCCATCCGTATGTAGCAGCAACTTGATCCTGGAAAATCAAATGTGTTCTATACTCTCCATATCCCTCGTCTGCAGCCTTTCCAATCATCTCACGCATAAGGCAGATTGCGCGACGTTTTGCGTCCGGGTCTGCGCGGTCGTAGACGATGTTGGCGATATAGTGGAGTTCGCGGCCCAAGACACACCATCTATTTCATTCCCGTTAGCGCGAATTCGATAATCTTATTGAAATGGAGTACGTGGATGAGAGACTTACGTTGGAAAGGAATCAAAGCCCCACTTCTTATGCAACTTCGTGACCAATTCATGCACCAACCTCGCGTCCCGTCCTTTAGTAGGAACAATTGGCGAGAAGAACAAATGTGCCGCATTGGGGACCCAATTCAACCAATCCAATTCCCTAAGAACCGGCTTCCCACTGCAGACATCTACTCTATCCCTCAAGTAATGACCCACAGGCATATCCTCTGGTAAATTAAACTTTGCACCGGGGATCTTTTTGAACGCCTCCTTAATAATTCCCAAAGACTTGGCTCTAGTCTCGTCGTCTCCGTAAACAGTTCCGTAAAAGAACCACGAAACATCGCCGAATGGCATCTTCTTGGCATGTTCCCTGATAACCTCTCGTGGCATGGGTGTCTTTTTGTCGTAGAACTCGGCTCTGCCCTTGCCGGTAACTGCGAGCTCCTGGATGACATTTCTGATCTGCGGAACGTTTCCGATAACTCTGTTCAAAGCCAAGGGTCTAAGAGCCTCGATAATAGCCTCGAAATCATCGTCTCGCACAAATGTAAACATAAACGATTGATGACCAGTAGCGGGCATAAGCCACATCCCCATCTTTGTAACAATTCCAAAGTTACTTTGCGAGAACAATCCATCGACTGAAGGACCATAGTTATGTTGGAAAGCTTGCCAGCACGGGTTGTCGGTACCTTCGGCACCGGGGAGGGAACCCATTCCGGTACGTAGTACTTCGCCATTTGGAAGAACGATTTCCATACCGCAATGGACGGCGAAATGGTCACCGTAGGGTGTATATCCGACACCACGATCCAAAGCATTACCAACAACGCTACCGCCGCCGAGATCGGGTGTATCGATCCAGAGTGGATATCCGGTCTTTTGAACTTCTTCATACAATGCGAAGTATGAAACACCGGGTTCGACAAGACAGCTGGCGTTATGGCCGTCGATGTTAAGAACGCGGTTCATGCGCTTTCCGAGGTCGACGAGAAGGGATCCACGAAGACGGGGGGCAGCGCCACCGTAGCCTAGATTCCGACCCATTGAGATTGGATAGACGGGGATCAAATGCCGGTTTGCCCATTTTACGATTGTTTGGACATCTTCTGTTGAACCTGGATATGCGGTACCACAGCTGACAAGATCTTCTTGTTCAAGAATGTGAAATGCATCGTGGGTGTTTCTAGAATTGATATGTTAGAAGCTTGAAGAATATCAATTCGATCACAAGATTGTAAACTTACGGCTGTTCCATATACCACCCATCAACGAGTGGCTTGTCGTTGACTTCGACATGCTCATCTCCGAGAAGACGTTTTAAGTCCGAGATGGCTATGTTGAATGCTGGTCTGGAGACATCTGGAGGTAGAACTGGGACTTCTTGTTTGCGGGGGACGCTGGGAGGAACAGTCTTGTTGGAGTATAGCCGATCTTTATGTTCTTTTGCTACACTGAGAAGTCGAACTGGAGTACCGCTATGCGTATCGTGCAATGTGGGAATTGGAGAGTCCTTGGTGACCATCGTGACGATATATTGTAAATAACCAGGAAATCAATTGGGTTATGGAAGCTCCGGTGAAGGGTATGCTATACGCGATCGATAGTAGCTTCAGAGAGACAATACGTATCGATTACTCTTAGCCTTTAGCCTTAAGATGCTAACGAAAGGGTCACAAGACTTTTCAATTCTTCTTAATTGATTATTACTTTCGCGACTATTCGCAAAGAGAAAAGCCCAAGCTAAGAAGATAATATGGAATATTTAGGATTTTCAAATTTTTGGGTTCCAGTTTTTGGTTCCATTTTAACTCCCAAGATTTTTTTTATCACGAGGTACGCGACTCGAAGTTAACGTTCCGAACTCCACTAGCTCATACGTAACGAAGACCTTAGTCTCGCCGTCGGGTGGGGAAAGCGTGCAATGGCCATCGGCTGCAGTCGAGTCTAGTCGAAGTCCGGGCCTAGTCGATTTTGCGTTGGTTTTGTTGCATATACATTACATGCATTGGGGATCGAAGCTGGGGATATTCCGGGCCTAAGTATTGTACTCCCCTCCAACCTCACTTCACCATTGAAAGACGACTATCTGAGAATGTTTAGACTACTAACTAACGAATCAACTAATTGCACTAAAACTCTTGGGCAAAGTGTTTGTGTGAGGACCCTGCTGACCATTATTGAATTCGAGTACGCTCACGGTCCTCGATCCGAAGCAATTCGCAATGGGTTCGGTAATGCCCAACGGAAGAGAGCTCAATCTTCCAGCCTCTCGCTGGCATGGCATGGCTTCCCTGCATCTGACCATTCCTAATCCAACCTTAAAATAGGGTTTATAGGCCAGCATCATACTGCAAGCGATCCGAGAATCTGGGGAACTTGATAACTCGTCCTGCAACGACTCAGCGATTACCAACCATCCGTGCCAGGTGCTGAAGTGTGTTCGTGAGTCCCGGGGAATATCCAGGCCAAGCGAATATGGACATTCCCCGGAGCCTCCGCGGGCTGCATGGAGCAGACTAACGGGCGCGTGGAAGCTATTGCAGCACACCATTTTTTCCTTCTCGTTTAACGCTAGGAAAACTTTATATCGAAGAGGGAGAAAAATATGTGAGTTCTCGCCCTGCAATTTCAACCGAGAAGGGATGTAGCGTGCCAGTGCTTGCAGTACCCTCATCGATGTCTTTGCCGTTTTGAACTCTAGCGAACCTCATACCGGCCAATCACACGAGCTGGTTCACCAGCCGAAGGACACATGGGAATCACCGAATGGGCCCGGCTTCTCCAGTCACTACTTTTTCAGTTCTATCCAATACATACACCGGAGCGTGAGCAAAAAAGAAAGTGCGGAGGATTTGTGGGGATTTCTCGTTTGCCTTTGTGGAGATGTGAACGGTTGATTCATCTTGTGGAGAGAACGGATTCAAAAAGAAACTACTTTTTATTCTTGGCGGGAAGTTAGGCATTAGCTCGCTTTCCTATATCCATCTGGTGAACCCAAAGCCCACTCTGCCGGGAAGCCATAAGTAGATAAAGGCCGTCTACGAACCCCGGATTTTGGATAGAACCCTCTCTTTCTGGAGATCTCCTGGTTGTATCCATCTTGCAAACTCTGGTTCGGATCAATCAATCTGAGGAAGGTGCCTATAAACTCGGATTGATTTATAATACCTATTCCTATTCCTCCCTAATACCTACCCTTTTTTACTTCTTCCTATTTGGAAACCTGCCTTATTCCGGAATATAGACCTGCACCGACATGTCAGAAACAGATAGCCGTGAGAAAGCAAACATGGCGGCAACAAATCAGATCGAGGACGTTGCAGATAGAGAAGCCGAAGATCACTATGGCGCCGTTGTACTTGACGTTGGCGACAACGAAAAGAGTGGTGGAGCAGGATACAAGCTTGCAGCGGATGGACATGTAAGTTTTGACGAAGTGCCACCGTGCATTGATTCGTGAATAGCCATTAACGAGTTTGCAGACCGTGCTATTACCACAGCCTAGCGAAGATCCTGATGACCCACTCAACTGGTCACCGTTCAAGAAACATATGATCCTATTTATTGTCGCCCTTTCAGCTTTCTGTGGTGACTTTGGTAGCGGTGCTGGTATCCCATGTATCGTCAAGCAAGGTGCAGAATGGAACATGAGCCCTGCTGTCGTCAATTATGCGGGTAACTTGAATGTCATAATGTTGGGTGCTGGTGGTATCTTCTGGATTCCCTTTATTTACTGGTGGGGACGCGCACCAGTTCTCTTCTGGACAACCCTCGCAGGTGCATTCTTCACTTTGGGATGCTGCTTGGCCAATAACTTCGAGACTTTCTATGGAATGCGTGCTTTGATGGGCTTCACTTTGACTGCCTGCCAAACCATTGGTCTTTCGTTCATCAAAGATATGTTCTTCTTCCACGAGCATGCCCGAAAGATCGGTGTCTGGGCTTCGCTTTTCTTAGTTGCCCCATACCTTGGTCCTCTCTTCGGAAACTTCATCATTGATGGAACTGGTGAATGGAGAAACGTGTTCTGGCTTGTTTTCGCCATCTGCTGCTTCGATCTTGTCCTCATCGTCGGATTTGCCGACGAGACCTGGTATGTCCGCAATGCTCCAGAAAAGGTCCCACGCGGCAACCGTATCATGCGTGTTCTCGGATTTTGGCAGATCCAAAACCATACTTCTCTTCAACTCGTTACATTCACACACAGCTGGGTTAGACTGGTAAAGGTCCTCTTCCGACCAACCATGATCCCAATCATGATCTACTACATGCTTTCCTTCATGTGGTAAGTACAAGATTCCTATCTTCTTATTTCGGCTCAATTACTAAACTGCCATCCACAGGGCCGTCGGTATCAACATCACCACCTCTATTCTCTTCGAGACCCCACAAGCAGCCGGTGGATACGGATTTGGTGCCAAGTCTGTCGGTTACCTCTACTTCACTCCTATCGTCGCCGTTGCAATTGGTGAAATCTTTGGACATTACTTCAACGACTTCATTGCGGCCAGATTTACCAAGAAGAACAACGGTGTTTTCGAACCTGAATGCCGTCTTACGACCAATTATATCTCTGCATTCTTCATGATCCCTGGTCTCATCATTGTCGGTTTCGGTCTCGCCAAACATCTCCACTACATGTCCTTGGTTATGGGATGGGGCATGTACGTCTTCGGTGTCATGACCGCCTCTGTCGCCATCACTGCCTACGCTTTGGACTCTTACCCAACTGCTTCCGGTGAAGTTTCCAGCTTCTTGAACTTCGCCAGAGTCCTCGGTGGATTTTCCGTTGGATACTTCCAACAACCATGGGGTGCCGCTTCGGGTTATGATGTCAGCTTTGGAGTCCAGGCAGCTATTGTTGCTGCGGCTTTGGGTGTCCTTGTGACACTTCATGTCTTTGGAAAGAGAATGAGAGTTTGGGGTGGTCCTTTGCATTTGTAGAGTTCCATGTACTCTCCCCATCTCTTTTTCTGTCGTCTCTTTCTTTGTGGAGGATGATATAATCTAGAGCCTTCTGTTGCGGAATAATAACCATTTTATATATTATGTGGGCTATAAGCATTATTTAGTTGCGAGAGTATTTCTTTATTCGCTAGTAGCTATTTAGTTTATGTCTCCTTTTTCCTGTTTGTAATGATAATGAGCGATTCTATACCTCTACTTCCTTGTGCTGGTCCTTCGTAATCACTACTTTGAAATTTTAATCCAAGCGGTAGAAAATCGCGATTATAATCGATATGGGTTTCCATTTGGTGGGGCTCTGAGATCTATGGACCTGTTCAAATGATAATATACATGCGAACTTCTTGGTTGTATAATATACAGTTTCGAGTTACGTATTTTCTAGGATCTTCTCTAATATATGTTCGTGTTCGTAATAGAGAAACTTAGTACATAGATATTTCAATGCGAGAAAGTTATTTCGTTATAGCTTCCCTCGAAACTCAATTTCTCTCGTCATCTTCAGCGTCGCCGCCCGTTCTAACTCATATTGGAGAGTCCGCCACCTCATAGGCTTCTGAATTGTCCCATTCACCCCCATTTTTTCCATCGGCTGCGATAGTATAGAAAAGATTAGAAGTTAGTTAAATAAGTTTTATCCGAATGTGGGTAAGGGGCTCATTTCTAGTTTTCTGACGAAAGGGAAAGAAACATACGCTAGGTCTACCAGCAATCTGATGAACCGTCAATCCTAAAACCCTTGCTCTCGCGCCAGGCCACCGTGCCCAGTAGCGTTTTAAAAACTCCATACCATCCATAACTGGCATCGCATGATCCACCAGTATGATATCCGGGAACTGTCCTCTTTTCACCATATTTTCGATTATTTCTAGCCCCTCGGCGCCGTTAAAAGCCGGTGTGATGTATTCAGGTAAAACTCCTAGCTTTTGCGCAAGCCTTGTAAAGATTTTTGAGTTTACGAGGTTGTCCTCGACAATTAGGGCGCGAAGGGTGGGGGTGTGAGCTTCTAGATTTGGGGGGATTTTGTAATCTTGAATGCTGGAGGTACCGTGATACGCTGGACTCGTGTTGCTAGGTATTGCATGGACACGGCCAAGGATTTTGGAAAGAAGGGCTTGATCTGACGGAGCTTCTTTTGGAGTGGGAGGCTCCTTTGGGGGTGGGGTATAGGAGGAGATATCTGAGAGGTCTCTAAGGAGGGAAAGACCTGAGGAAAGGGTTCTTAAGTTCAGCTCTATTGGGTGGAGATTGGAGATTATGTCTTGACTTTTTGAAGGGTTAGAAGGTTCCGAGTCTTTTATAACCCTTTGAACATCGGAGAGAGCTTGGTCGGCTAAGTGGTAGAAAGCTTTTAGGGGTCCTTGGATCTGTTGTAAATATGGTCAGCACATATTCGTTCTTTTCTAATTATGGCTTTTGACTTTTTTAGTTTCTGAGGTTACCTACATGATCCAACTTATTAAAAAGCTGCTGTTCCCGAGACGTCCCAGGGGCTTCACCGTTCGCTGAAGTGCAGGTACATGTAACTTGTCGACTCTCCGTTATATTATGGCTCTTTGGAGTTATACCATCCTCCGATTCCTCATCCAACTGAAGTGTCCATATTCTATACGGCCCTACGCTAGAACAAGTCCATATATCCCGCCCGATCGTATGTCTTTTCGTATGTATTCCAATAACGGGATCTCGAGCTTGAAGTTTCGGGTTCAATGCTCCATTCTCCAACCTCTGCGCCAGTAATGCTTCTACGGAACCATTGAACCTTTCAAGTTTGCAAGCTTCATTTCGCGATACTGATGTTTCAAAAATTGTCGCTTCGGATGGCTCGTTTAGGTACTGCGGTAGTCGGAAGTCAAGAACGAAGGTTGGTGCGTCGGCGCTATCGATAAATTGTTGGAGAGAAGATGGATATGCCGGTAATGACGGCATGGTTTTTGTGTATAGAAATAAAAGCTTAAGCACTTTTATGACATGGAATTGCTAGTGATGGTCGCGTGAGATGTGGGCATAGTATAGTGTGGTTTAAATATTATACTCTGAGGTTTTTGGTTTCCAATGCAAGGCCAGAAAGTAGTTATTGTTCATGTAACATAACGTGAGGCTCTTTGGATCCTCCAAGGTGTCGCGAATCTGAGAAACCGGTACTCCTGACCAAGGGACCCACATGCGCAAGGCCAAGGGATGCTATAGTGACGCCAAGATCAGACGACGTCACTGGTGCAAGGGGCATGGTTTCAACATCTGACGATGATTGTAATTGGATGGATATCGCCTTGTATTATATGCATTATATTTATATCCGCAGTTTATTTTAAAAGTTTTTTCGCGGGAGCGACCTGCATGTATACATGCTGATGACGGTGGAATTATATGCAAACCTTTGCCTCGAGTAACAGATACCATTTTCCGCCCACAATCTGCGCAGCAGCAATTAATTCTGGTTTACGAGATAACCCACAATACAAACGAAAAGATATCTAGATATACTTGTTAATTTTTAACGCTCAAAGCTCTTTTGAAATCCGGATTGAAATATCAATTGATTTTTAATTATGATGAAAGTGCGAGGCTTCGTCCTTGGTCGGAATAGCAGTAACGGCCTGCCAGTAAAGGGCTTCGACATTATTGATTTCTAATATGTATACGAGCAGATGGAGGACCCTCCGTTTAAAAATTTCGAACTTTGTTCCTGACATACTCAGAAGATGCAGAGTTGTATGTCCTATTTCCCCCTAGATAATACGATGAATATTTAGATATAGAGAATTGTGTGAACAAAATCGATTGATGGGAAAGCCAGCTGAGCTCTATCGCTACATTTAATTTACACTTGCCTCAAAGTTTGAAGATAAAGCTGTCCTTAATATAAGAGCCTGCCATCCTGCAGCTAGCGTTCATGCCTCCAATATATTAGAAGTAGAAGATTGAGGTCCAAAAGAAATGGTATTGACATGCATGTCTATATCCTAAGTCACTTTTCTGTAGAAGACATAAGCATAAGCTATCATCTGGATATCCGTCCGAGGTTTCGAAGATGTCGCGGAATAGTCCGGAAACTCTAGCTTATGGAGGGGCTACCTCTACATATGTAGTTTGATTATAAAATTATTTCACCTTTGAAAACCCGAGCACTGAAATTAAAGCACCGCATATCGATTACTAGCCTCTGGTATGTTTGAACTATGCCGTGGTTCGCAATAATTATTGCACCTGCCCGACGGCGAAGTGTACGAAGCTAAGCTAAGCTAAGCTAAGATCATAAATTATGGATCCGAGGAAGACAATTCTTGTCGGCCGAGTCTTAGAGCTGAAGGTTGAATGTTTAGAAATACAATTGTCGCAATTCAATTGAGATGACACGTATTATACTAAATATCCATATTGAGACGTTGAATTTTTCAAAGGTGGAGCGTCGAGTCCGTGGCATCCATGCCGTTCGAACGTTCGCACTCGATCTGCCTGTTAACGGCCATTTGTGTTAGGTTCCACAAAGATTAAAGCGACCACACCCACAACGCATTTTCCGGGTGAACCGAAAAAGCAGTGTGACCGGCCCAGCCGGTTAACTCCACCACACCCACCGAAACTGTTGGTTGGAACCTCGAGTACTCCGACAATTAATGCAATTTCTATACCCCTCAGCGTACCGTTTTTTTTTTTCAAACGGTCGGCCACACTCGTGTCCGCAGCCTCGGTATTTTCCATATTCAGAAATTCAATTTTGATTCAAAAGCCAAGGAACCTTCCAAGATGGTTTAGTCATATCTTCCGATTACTAACTCTGCTTATGTACATTTTGTGGCTGCTGCATCTACAGGGCTGTCCGTTCGAACCGAGAAGTTCCAGTCGCGTTTTACACCATATTGGGACATTTTACCTTGTAACAGAGATAGGGTCTAACGTTGAACGGGTGGCCCGCTGAAATGGCAGGGCCGGTGGGCCGAACATGTCCGGAAAACTTCGTGATGTTGGAGCTCTAGGACGCAGGTTTTTCGTGAATGGCGTCAGTTTGCACAGACATGTCGGTTCCGCGGAGCTTAGGTATACGACTACCTTCAATGGTTTCGTAAGATATCTTGTGGTATATAATGATGTGAATTTCCGACTTCAATCGAAATGCAGTATCAAACAATCAGAAACATCAGCAGTATAGCAACCAATTAACAATATCAAACCATACCACACCTTCAAATAATCCAAAGCTAGCTCTTTCGAAGCCTTAAGATTTTCTCTTATCAAACATAGTCCAATACCCTTCACACAAATATATAACACTTCACATTCATATTTCATACCGGCAATCAAATATCATGTCTTCGAAGCCAATTGTTCTCGTTACTGGTGCTACCGGCTATATCGCCGGCTGGGTCGTAAAATATTTCCTCGATGCTGGGTACAGCGTACGCGGGACTTCTCGCAGCAAAACTTCAGCTCAACCTCTTATCGACACACTCGTCTCTAAAGGCTACTCAGCCTCCGATATTGAGATCTACGAAATCGCAGATATCACTGTCCCTGGCGCTTTCGACGAGGCCGTAAAGGATGTCCAAGTCATTACACATCTCGCCAGTCCAGTTTCTCTATCTTTCAGTGATCCCGATCCGGTCATCCGAACCGCCGTCGAAGGCTCTATCTCCGTTCTTCGATCCGCAAAGGCACATGGAAACAACTTGAAGACATTTGTCAACATGTCCTCCGTCGTTTCTATCATTGACCCTAGTTTTAAGGACAAAGTCTTCACCGAAGCCGACTGGAACAACTTTGCCTACCCAACCACCCAGAAACTCGGTACTTCGACTCCAGGATTTGTCATCTATATGGCTTCAAAGGTCGAGGCCGAAAGAGCAGTATGGAAATTCAGAGATGAAGAGAAGCCTTCTTTCAATGTCGTCTCTATCAACCCTGCATGGGTTTCTGGCCCCCCACTTGTGATTCCAAAGGACAAATCCAAGATCGGTGAAACTACCAAGACCATCTTTGATGTTCTTGCGAATGAAAAGGAACCTTATCCATTAGGTGCTCTCCCTACATACGTCCACGTTTATGACGTTGCAAGACTCTTTGTCTGGGCAGCTGAGAATGGAGATAAAGCCAATGGCGAGAGATATCTTGCCCTGGCTGGTAGGAGCGGTGTTCAACCTATTCGAGATATCTTGACCAAGGCATACCCGGAGAGAAATATTGATCCTGGACAGCCGGGTGAAGGGTACAGCCCGGACTGGACGTTTTTGCCTGGCGAAAATTCGTTTGACGTTACTAAGGCGGTAAAGGCGACCGGGCAGGATTGGATCAAGTTGGATCAGATGGTTTTGGACACCGCAAAGGCTTATGAGTCCTTGCTCTAGCTAATCATGTAGATATTTAATACGGTTGCGGGCGATACGATAGAAGTTGGGTACTAGATTTTCAGTATCGATGTTGTGATGGTTTACTGTTTGAGGTGTTTTCTTTCTCAGTGTAGTTTTTATGTCGATGTATTTGAAAGTGTTCTTTAGCTACGAGAATCGATGAAATTAAAATAAATTGACCACGAAAAAGTAACTCTGCTTAGTGTACAGCAACCAGCCTATATATACTAGCTATATCGGCCTATCATAGCCTAGCTGCATCTATAGAAGTTCACAGTCTCGTGACCAGACTTTTTTGTCGAAGTTCAATCAATTTCGCGTCCGCGACAACGCATTTTAATCCAAAAATACAACAAAGTATCAACGAAGTTGAACAATTCAGCGCGCAAAATTTGGGCAAGAAACTGTATTTGTACTTCTGCAGTCAAAACAAGGAGATATAACTCCCTTATATCTGTGTAAGTCCAAATACTATCCCTTTAAGGTTAATATTTCGTTAAAGAATCACAGTACGGCACGCGGTGGTGGTGGTTTATCACAAGTTTCCAACATCAAAGCTTAACTTCAGCCACTATTTCACAAAGCTGACGACACGGCTCGGCTTTCTCAGAAAGGCTCCACTTTTCACAGAAGATTTCCATGCACTTTCCCTTTTAGTTATAAATATGTTTGCTATGATCCTAGCAGAGTTGTGAAGTTGTAATTTTGCGTTTTGCGGCTGAAGTAGTTGTATACTCTGCGTTTAATTACCAAAATTAAAGCGCTTGCTGCAGCAAAATAGATTGGCTGAACACAACGCATTTACAAGGGGTGGTGATTTGAATTGGGATTGATATACATGTCGTACAGGCTTTTGATCTTGCATCGGAAGACATTTTATTCGAATTCGGATCTAAGTGGTAGTTGGCTATCATCAAGGAAATGTCATACTCATGAAGTCATACTAGCGGAGGGTAAGTCAACAAATACTCGAGTTAACCCACGATTTCCAAAATGGAATCGAAGTCGGTAACTTTCATGCACCCCTAGGGCCCGGAGAACATGGCTTGCATAAGCTTTCGAGCTAAGAGTTTGGGTCCCTTCGGCTTCGGAATGGGCGAAAAACCACCATATACGATGGCAATGCAATATTATGGGCATGCGTGGAAAAGAGTGCGAATAGGCTTTTCGGACCCATGGAAATTTGATGAAGATTGACGCGCGCACACACGGCAGACGGGGTCTAGGGCTGGTGGCTCCACGCACCAGGTATGCACCCGGCTTTTTCTCTCTTTCGAAAATCCTTATAAAATCTCGACCCCCCCCTTTCCAAGTTCCTGAATGATTTCAAAAGAAGACGGATTCAATTTGAATGCTGCAGTGAAATACCGCGGATCCGACACACAAAGTTTACCATAGCTCAAGACCAATAAGCTACATACATTCGTTCAAAATGGGCTGTACTCTTTCTGTACCCGAGTTAGTTGGTAGCGGAACCTACTACGTCGACCCAGCAGGTGCAGGTGCTGGAGATGCCTTTGGCGTGCCCGCTATCTTCACGACTGGGTTTTTCACCTGCAGGTATGCTAATGCAATGGCATTCAAGTCTAATATCTCCTCAATAGTATATGATGCATAAACTAACATATGTCCAATCTCCAAAAGCGGCGGTCCTCCATTAACCCCAGTAGTAACCCAAACCGTCTCAGGAACCACATCAATCTACACCTGCAACTCCTTCAACGCTGGGATAGACACCTCACTCCTCTGCCCCGGTCTGACCCGATCTTCCATGACCGGAGAGTACGACATGTCGTTCACCGCGCCTCTAGGTGGCGCCTATACTGTCCTTGATTCTCGACAATGGGTTGTTATCCAAATCGCGGACGAACAAGTAACCGATGGAACAACGTTTACGACAAACGCCTATAAAACGGTCCTCGGTGGACCTACGACTGTGACACAGACTACTACTATTGATGATAATCCGGATACGGCCACTGTGACACACACTAGTTATGGGAGAACTAGACATGTTGATGTGCCGGTTACTTCGTATGTCATTGTCCATATCATGCACGGCGGCAACTACATCAAATTCTTGAAACTAATACCAATTAATGTATAGATATACCACCGAGATCGTCACCAAGACGACTAGCGCCAAGACTTGCGGAACTCCAACTGCTGCACGCCGCCGTATTCGTGGTGCATCCCCTGTCGAACCAGCGGCAGAGCCGGTTGAGTTGGTTAAGCGTCAAGCTGGATATCGTGGGTTCGACGGAACTCTTGGTCCAGACAGTACTCTTACCCTCTACTCTACCGTGGTTTATGAGCCAAATTACGTCTGGGGAACCGTCACTGTTCCAACTGCAACTGAAACCACTATTTTCACCGTGAATGGCAGTGGAGAAACGCTTACGTTGACCTCTACTACAAGAGTGTAAGTTGTACCCACCCCAATACTACAAGACTATCCTATAGTCTAGGCTTGTACTTCTATAGAATTTTAAGCAGTGCTGATGAGTGTAATAGACATGATGCAACCACCGAGTATACTACGATCTCCAAAACCAAGACTGAAAAGTAAGTATTTCAAACCTACTACCAGATCTCGACTAGGCTCGTATGCTAACCAACTACTCCTAATTAAGGAGCACTACCACCGTCACCAAGTACCCAACTACTTGTCCATTCTTGTCATCATAGACGGAATTACAACTTACGAAATAATGATTTACGGATACAACAATACTTTGAGATGGATACAACATCAATATCCGAGGGCTTAATATCGAGCATATCATGGAGCTAATATAATATCTTAATAGATATCTGGGCGGGCATATTGATTTCCCACGGTCATGGGAGGGGGTATTAATGTATAATTGAGAAAAACTAAAAAGACTAAATGCTAACGTTGTGATGGGAAATTCTCGGTTTGGACTGAGGTTATACAGATATATGAAGGATAGGGAGGGGATATTGGGGCTAATAGAATATAAGGTTGCGCTCTCAGTTCCTATTCATACCGACCGCAGTGTTATCGGAATCGAAACTGTCATTCTGAACCAGAGTGTATTCGGAATCAAAACTGTCATTCTGAACCAGAGTGCATTCGAAATCAAAACTGTCGTTTAGAACCAGAAAATAATTGGAATCAAAAGCCATAAACAAACCTAAGCCGTCCCAGCTTCCTGTTCATAACCCTCCTCGATCCTTTTGTAAACACTTAGTGTATGCTCCCAAAACTTCTTCCCAAACCCGGTTTCCCTGTACTCTAGCAGGACCTTCTTCCCACTCTTTGCTGTCCCATTCGCATGAATGGTATAACAACCACTCCCCTTAATCCCATCCAACCCCACCGCAACATCCTCCCCCTCTCCCTTCCCTTCTCCACTTAGTAATGCTATCGCTTCTTCTGCCTTTTTCGATGCCGGATAAATCTCACTAGTCGCATTGAACAGATTCCTTTCCCCGCTCTCATCGGCCGGAGTAAGTATCCAACGCCCCGCAACCCACAATATGGTCCTAACCAGAAACCCAAAAACTCCCGGCATATCCTGTCCCTCGGTCTTTACAGACCCTGCAGAGGCATGGATAAAACTTATTTCCGGGTTTTCTTTGGCAAGGTAATCCAGTGCCACTGTAGTTGAAGTAACGTGGTGTAGTCTGGATGTGAAGAAGTATGACTTTGACATTTCAAGGTCGTTGGGATCCATTCCCCATTCGAGGCCACCTGCTAAGATCCGGATTACACGGGCGAAGTGGCCGTTTGCAGCGGAGGCTTTGAGGAGTGGGAGGAGGTTTATGACGAATTTCATGTGAGCGAAGTAGGAGATTGCCGCCATGAAGTTGAGACCGTCTGGGGTGTCTGTATAGTAAGGAAGAGGCATGAATGTTACTTTATAGTCCAATACGGAGCGGGCGACGAGGGAAAAGTATAGAATGAAGTACGTAAGAACTTACCAGGAAACCCAATTCTGAACATGCCCGCGCTCAACCAAAGTATATTGATTTCCTTCTCCTTCTGCAGGATCTCCTCGCACGCTTTATTGATGTTTTTGATGACAAGGATATCGCATTGCACGAATATATAGGTCCCCTTAGGGTTGATCTCTTCAAGTCTCTTCTGAACAACTTCGGCATTGGCGGGTGTTCGTCCGATATAGTAGACCTTTGGAGAGACGGTCGATGCGACAAGTTTCTGAAGGGTGAAGTACCCAATACCTGTTGTTCCTCCTAGGAATACACAGATAGGGGAGGGAAGGCGGGTAGATAGGGCCGCGTTCGCGGCTTTGATGGTTGTAAGAGGGATCATGATTGCGAAGCCTTCTCACCGGAGGAGGAATATAGCTATAGATATGATGACGACTAATAACCTTCACAAATAAGGTTTGGCCTGAACGCTATAAATATACACAGGTCGTGCAGGTTATATCATCGGCGAGTCGGAATTAATATTCGAATTCAGGTACCCAACTCTCGAGGAGCAGGCCAGATCACCGGCCTTTTATAGTTATCCCAAAATCATGTTTCAGGCTAATAACTCTCCTACTTTACTACTAGAAACTTCGTCACGAGCCTCTCAACTCATACGCACACATCGTATACGCGGCTCATGAACATGGGGAAGTTCCCCACTTTAATAAATTAATTAATATATTTAATATCGCGTGTCGGAAGGTTATCAATACGAATTTGAGTGCCGGTTTCCGAGAAGCACATTGAAAGATGGGAAACATGGTCATGGAGTCCCTGGTAAACGGGTCGTACTAAGACAAGAGACCCACATCAAGCTTGTTTCGACGACGGAAGGATCCAGGGGTTAAGTCAGCTTCGGGGTCGGTGACGTTTAGGACCCCGAACGCCGACCCCGAGCGCCGACATCGTCAATATCCAACAATTTCAACACGGCGCTGTGTGATAGTAATCGAAGTATTGGTATATATATAAAAGTATCACCTATACTATGATTAAATGGGGGGACTTAGATATATATAGAAACCTATACAGTGTAAGTCCCGGCTTAAATAAAAGGGAAACTATTTCCGGTGATCACAAGATGTCGAGGGACAGACTGCATGGTTGCGACACTAAAGAGAATTAAGGCGAATGATGGCGAACGAATCTCGAAAGCTATTCCTGAATCCACAGGAAAAGAAACGCTTAAGGACCATACCAAGAAAACGACTTGCACGTGCTAAAACAATGAAAACCATGTACGAGGAAAAAAAAACGAATTTTTGGAGGTGAAATCTCTATTGATTAACTTGACAACCCTAGTTACTAAACAGGATTCGAAGAAATCTAATATACCCTTCACCTTTTCTGTCTTTTGTTTATCCGGATCCTCCACACTATTTTTAACACCTTTCCAAACGCCTGAGTATGTGATAATAACGCCTTCCCTCGTAAGTAAGGTGAGACCGTAAACGCCGAGTGTGATATAAAAAGCTGCGTAAAGAGATATTAGGTCGTAGGTCTTCGTTAGGCGTGTCTATCATAAACCATCATAAAGTTGTGTTGTCCGCGAACAAATAAATAATTAAGGGGAGTGTAGAGGTTAGGTCCTCGGAACCGGAAGCAGATATAAAAGCTTCATAGGGCTAGAACTTGAAACAGGATAACATAAATGCAGAGCCTTGATAGTCGTGATTCATGACGAATTAGTAAACATAAAGTTATGTAGGCTGGCATGTGTATCGTAACGGCAAATCGAGCTCAAGAACTCTTTGAAGTGATAGCCGTGATTTCTAAGAGCTGGGGGCGGACTCTTGAAGTGAGGAGAGTTTCGTGGACGACGAGAGTTTTTTGCTTGCAGAATGTGTGAAGTTTGTAAAGAGAATATGTAGTACGGCGGCCGTGTCGTAATGCGGCTATAATAACGGTAGTAATATTTGAAAAGCGACAAAGGAACAGTTTTTAAGTTATGTAATACCGCCGAAAGGGTGCTGATGTATAGAATTCTGTAAACTTTCTCCTCTTACAAAACATCTCTGACGTCAAATTTCGCTGGGCGCGTGCGGACACGGACACGGTGTCGTCTTACGACGCCGGAGGGAGATGGCTGAACTTGTGACTCAAGAATTCTTTCGTTTGCCATTTGAGCGTGTTCTCGAAGGAAACCTTCAGGAATGCCGTGGAGATATGCTTCTGCTGTTGGGCTTGACGGACTACTGTCGAGTGAAGACTGCCGATGGTGAGCAGTTGAACTGGATTCGGACTGTACGCTGTTCCGAGCTTGTGCGGCTTGAGGTGGAGATTGTTGGAGTGTCTCTTCGGGAACACTGTGGGTATGCGTGTCTACTATTGGGCTCGATGGACTACCAACAGGTGAAGACCGGTGGCAGCGAGCCATTGAACAAGCTTCTGACTGTATGCTATTTCGAGCTTGTTCGGATTCAGCTGAAGATGGTTGGGGTAAGTATTCGGGAACACCTTGGATATATGTGCCGGTTGTTTGGCTTGGTGGACGATCAACAGGGAAGGCTTGTTGGTAGCGAGCCATTGAACTAGCTTCTGACTGTGCACTATTGCGGACTGATGTAACCTGTTGTGGAGATCGAGTATTGATACGTTCTTCCGGGCCAAGACGTCGCCTGAGACCAAAAACAGGTCTGGGTTGTCGTTTAGACATAAAGAGTCGGCTTCCGGGTCGTGAGTCAGCCGATTGAGATATAGGTCGTGAAGCAGCAGACTGGCTCTCAGGTAGTGAGGCAGCAGATTGGCTTTCAGGTCGTGAAATGGTCAACTGAATGTCGGATGGTGTAGTCGACGATTGGCTTTTGATTCGCGGATTGTCAAATTGACTTCCCGGTCGTGACTGATTTCCTTTCGAAATAGTGTTCTTAGTTGATATCGCGACACCATTGGCAGTGTTTCTGTCCTTGCGTGGGACTCCTTTTGGATTCAATCTCTCTTGCGCTAGCTGTTCTAGCACGAGAAGATCCTCTATTTCTCGTCGTCGCCGTGCCTTCAGCGTTGCTCGACTTTCGTAATACTCTCTCATCAACCAGGTACGTAGATTCAAAAGATGGGTTCCTGCACTTTGGGGTAATTCAACTCCCAGTTCTCTAGCAGCTGTCCTCACAGCAGACTTAACACACTCAGAATTCCCGGATTCTTTCGCTAGGCGCTCAGCCTCAAGGATGACGTCGAAGTTGAACTTCATAATCCAGATTTCGTCATCTGGTGTCGGAGATAAAAGCTTTAGAGGTGTACAGGGATCGCCTAGACTTGATCGCTCGTTTTTGACTTTGACAATAGCGTTAATCAGTAGTGCACTTGCGCTACCTTCGACTGTAAGTACTGGAACTTTCCTCCTCTTTACTTCTGTCTCCCTGGGCTCGATTGTAGTCTCAAGGCCGCGCGGTTTCACCATACGCTTTACATCGCACGTCCTGGGGAACAGCATGCTGTCAAAGGGAATAAATGGCGTAGCTGTTGGATACTCAAGTTGGACGGGATCAGGAGAAGGGTACGGTAAATAGTCATCGTCAGAATCGTATCGAAGACCAGTATATGGGATTTCGAATGGAACGAGATCTTCTGGGTGAGGAGGACGGAAAAAGTCATCTCCCGGGTAGCCTCCATGATACGAGCCTTGGTCGTCATCGTCATCATCGTACGGTATTGGCAGGTTAGGTAGCAGCAATTCGTGGAAAACGTCGACCTCAGACGATGAGGGAATTTCGAGCTCGGGTTCCTCAATGCTGTCAACCTGATATGAAGACAGAGTTGGCAACTGAATATCCTGGACATTGCCAGCGTCATATGGTGATGGGGCTGAAACCTGGGCCTCCTCAGAATTGTAAGCTTGGTCTGGTGACAGAGGCGGGAACTGAGTTCCATATGACGACAAGGTTGGTATCTGGATCCCTTCAATATCATTGACCATACATGATAATGGATCTGGGAATTCGGCCTTTTCGGTGTTATCAGGTTCATATGGCGACGGAGCTGCGAACTGGATTTCTCCAGTAGTGTCAGGCCCACGTGACGAGAAAGCGTGTAGCTGAGTATTGTTAGATCCATACGACGACAAGGTCGGCAACTGAATTCCTCCGTCATTGTCGTTGGCTGGGTCGAAGGGTCGCTTTTCTTCGACGGCAACAGCGAGGTACGGCTTTGGAGTCGCCGGCTTTTCATGAATAATCCTCATCGGTTGTGTCTCTTCAACCGATGGAAGACCCCCCTGCGCTTCTCGTGCCCGTTGTTCGAGCCGTTTCTTCAGCTGCTGCTCCTCGTATCGCTCCGACTGCTTAATCCCCCCCTTCTTTCGCGCATGCAGGTCGAAGAAATCGAGGTTCCTGCCCTCTGATGCCGCCAAGTATCGCTGGAGGTGGTCAACGAAGCCAACCTTTGGCTTCTGGTTCTCCGGGCGATGTCGGATCCCCCTGATTGACTTGAAGGTTTCCTCGGGATGCTTCCCGAGGTCCTTGGCAGTTTTCACCATCTCTGCCGCCTTCTCGTGGTCGATGGTCGACCCATACCGCTCTCTGGTAATCCCAGAGTCACGGTATGGGTCGCCCATCCGTTTGGCCCTATAGACCTCCATGTCAATCCCACCTTCATTGAAGGTGGGCCCCCCTCCAGAACGGCCCTGCTCCCCTTCCAATGGGGAGACACCGAACCCCTTGATCTTGAGGCTCGGCTTTTTGGCCACCTCTATCAGCCTTGCGGCTGGTGGCAACTCGCTGTCCTCCAATCCCTCGGAGGCCAGCATCTCGGCCAGCGTCATCCCTTCCTCAGGGTTGGAGCAGGTAAGGTTGAGTGGTATAAACTCAACCTGTCCCTGGAAGTCCCCTTCCGTTGGGACCTCTGAGGTTGGCCTGACGGCCGGCGTGACAGGGGGGCAACTCTGGTGCAGGAACTCCTTCTCGATTGCCCCGAGGGCATCGGAGTCCGCAGACGCCCTTTGGGCATCACCAGCAGCACGCCCACGGAAGAACTCCTCCTCGCGGAGGGGTTCCCCATGTGGGTGGCCCTGGGAGAGGCCCGCTTGCGGCTGGGGGACTGGGGCTGGGGCTGGGGCTGGGGGCGGCACAAAGGGAGGCAACGACCACTTCGTGGTCGGTTTCTCGTAGGGGTTTGCCCGCGGCCTCTTCGGCCCGTTGAGAACGGCGGCGTCTGGGAGAGGGGGGTCGCCGGGAGCCCGGGGTGGCATCACCCACCCCGGCTTCATGTGTGGGGGGGTTGGGGGTCGCGGGTCGGCCCGCGCCAATGCCAGCTTGTAGGCGGAGATGTCAATCTTCTCGCCCAACACCCTCTCCGCCTTGCGGAGGTTCTCGTACAAGCGGTAGCCGTCTATAGAAACAGAGTTAACTATCCAACTCGTGGAACAGGAAGTTAATAAAAGGCTGTAATATTTACCTCGGACGGCTTGCCCGCTCCCCTGGCCCCCGGCGAGGTCTTCGTCGGCCGAGTCGTCCACGGTCGACCCTTCGGTCGAACCTAAACATCTTTTGTCAGTCTCAATTTCTCGAATACAACATTACTTTAGACACCAAAGCTATCTTACCGTGTTCGATCTCGGCCCGAATCCTCGCCGCCTCCTCCATCGGGAAGGCAAACTGTCGAGACAGCTGCTCATCCCAGCTGCCCCAAACGTTGGCCTATTATATAAACAATTAGCCACATCGAACTCCATATAGTAAGTGACCCATTCAACTGATAAGGATCTATATATTCTTTGATACTTACATCCTCCAAGGGATTCTGGGCGGGGGTGGACGGGTCCGGACGCTCCGGACGGCAGATGGCACCATTGTGCTGGAACAAGACCCTCTCACCCGGTGCCGGGATGTATGGGTCCTCAGGTGGCGTTACGTAGTCGCCACCAAAAAATAGGGAGATGTTGTTCACCCATCTCCTTGCCGCTGCCCGTTGTCGCCTTCCGCGAGCTTGGGACTTTTCATACGCCGCTCGTGCCTTTTCGGCGGCGATTCTGCGCTTCTCGGAATTCGCCCAGCTTTTGACCGTCTTCGTTTGGCATTCGATCACGAATTCCGAGGCACCTTCTTGCTTCAATCGCTTGAGATGGCGCCTCTCAATCTCAAGCATTGTGGGGCCATCGGCCCCCCTCATCGCCGTGATATCTTCTGAACGAGTTGGCATGGGAGCTTTCTCCTTCTTTTTGAACGGCCACAATTTTTTCAACTTCATTTCTGCGGTACTGTCGACAACAACAGAAATGATAACTCAAGTAAAAGGAAGGACGAGAAAGAATTGACTTGATAGAACGACTTTGATTGAGGGACAGAAGCCAAAGCCAGAGGATGGGGATAGGAGGTGAAGAGGGAAATATAGGTCAACAGCAGTTGATGATGACAGGGAGATATTCAGCAACGGCTTTTCAGCAACGAGTTTTCAGCAACGAGTTTTCAGCAACGAGTTTTCAGCAACGAATAGATGGAAAGAGAACCTGTGAAGGATATCGAGCAGTTGGTGGAACAGAAGTTATAAAGGATGATAGCAAGAAGCAGAGAAGTTTGCAAAGAGGATCGAGAGAAAGAAGATTCGATCAGTGAGTTCTCGAGAGGAGGTTGTGATGATGGTGATGATAAGAAGGAATGGGGAGATGAGAGATGTTGAGGTGATGTGAGGATGGAGAGGCACCGACTGTCTGTGACAGAGTTTTGTGGGATGGAAAAAAAAAAGAAATTGTGGGAGAGCCTGAAGCCACCGACGGTTTTGGTGGACGGTGTTGTGGAAGTTTCTCGGTGCTGGGATTCTTGTGGGTGCGGCTCTTTGCACGGTGCAGACACGCTTGCAAGCTGGAACCCTTCCTCTGATATCAATTACGGCATGCTTCAATTTACATTCCCTCATTGGCAGTATACAGTCTATGCACGGGCAGATTCACGAACAGATTCACGGACAGATTCACGAAAGGATTCACGGGACAGATTCACGATATCAAGCCATTTGCTATTGGTTTATACACCTATATACAGGAGACATACGGTCATTTCATGGCGTAAAATATACATTACATGTCTGTCTTCATCTGTCAAACTTCTGGATTTCAAGTTAACGTTATTTGGCCCTATAGTCTCAAACACTGGTTGTCTCTAGTCTCGGTCCCAGAGCGCCGTTCACAGTATATACTGTCGTGTTATACATTCAAAACGTCAATCTACGGGTACTTTCTGAGCTAAGCTGGTTTAGTGTCGGGACTGACCTTTACTCTCGAGCCTATGGTAAATTATTACGGTGCCTGGACTTGATTAATCGAGACTACACTATCAATTATATCGAGCGTGCATGAAAGGTTCAAATTATTCATTATCGATTGCTTTCTAGGACATACTAAAGTCCTTTTTACTACCTCACTATCAGTACAAGGTAATTTCGTGCGATACAATTCTTAAATTTCGTAAACAGGCCCGCTCATAAGCTAATCCATCGTGTCCATCGTATCCATCGTATTCGTCGTAAGTCAATCCCATAAACTGATATGGTCAAACAAAAAAACAAACAAAACAAACAGGATAGTTTAATACTGAGCACCACCTGGGTAAGCAGTATATTGCTGCTGATGGTTAGGCTGCTGGGATGGAATGTTACTGGGTTCAGGAACTCCAGTGTTCTGAGCTGGTGCCTCATAGATGGTTTGAAGGCGGTGTTTCTGTTGCTTATTCCCATCAACGGTACTGGCGTTCTCTATGCATAGTTATGAATTAGTATCTTTTCTAAGGATACATCATTATTTTTCTATTTTAGCGGTGCAGCTTACTCAAACAGTCTTGTTTGCCAGTGCTAGATTCGCCTTCGGTAATTGCCATTCCGATCCCAGCCTTGTGCGTGTCGTGATTTTGGGCTGGAGCTCGATTTTCCTTCTCAAGGCCCATCTCTAAATCCTCGTTACGAAGGCGTGGAGAACATTCTCGGCCGCCAGTAGTGGCACCGTCGGTGCTGAGGATATCACGCTTAGGATCTGGTTGAGTTCGACTGACATTGCCAATAACTCCTAGTGGAGACTTTGGCTTCTTCGTTTGTGGAGTGGTGGTAGCCGATGGCGTATTAGTGACGACTCCAGCAGATGCTGCTCGCAAGTTCTTCAATGCGGTAGCCTTTGCTTTAGTTTTCTTTCCGAACCAAATCGGTGAGTTCATGTACCTCTTAATTGGAGGAAGAACAGGAGCACGTGGAGGAAGGCTGCCAGGATGTGCTCCAGCCATTTTGATTCTTCGTTCACGGCCTTTACGTCGAAGCCAGCATCCAAGGCAGAGAAGGAGACCGACTACAATGATACCTGCAAAACTGCCGGCGATAATACCTGGAGATGCAGCAAGACCATTGAATTGTTCTTGTGGCACGTGGACGCCTGTATCAAGTTTTTTGTGAGCTGGGAAAACTTTCTTATTAACTAGATATAATGAGTATCAGGGATATCTTACCGCCGGTTTCGAGAGGACTAGTTCCTTCGGTAGTTCCAAGTGGTCCATCTGGGAATGGAATACCGGCTGGACGGCTCTCTTGAGCTCTAGTAAAGGCCGTGGAAGTCCTCTCAGTACTGAGAGAAGTCGATACCTCAGATGAAAGAGGTGGCGACTTAGTGATCGTGATAACTTGGGTCACGATAATCACTGGAGGGGGAGTCTGGGTACGGACAGAGGTTACAAGAGTCGTAGGAACAACAGGACTGACACTGGTCTTCTCCAAAGTAGTTTCTTTAGCATGGGTTGATTGGCTAGTGGCTCCAACTTCCTTAGTCTTGATCGAAGGAATAATAACGACGACCTGGCCACCTCGAGTGACCGTGATGGCCTCTTGAGGTTGAACAGCTCCACTCATTATTACAACAGTACTGTTAGACTAATATCAGAAGTCTGGTAAGTTTATGAATACTTGTAAGGACTCGTTTCTCGAGTATGCTTAATTCACCGAGTAATAACTTTACCAATACCGGTCCTAACAGTCAGTTTCGTTGATAGCTATCAATAGAAACTGCAATCGATATTGATATTGATATTAGGGAGGGAGAAGGTGGTAAAGCACGCAGCGATATTCCTGCTCGAGTCAAGGGCTTCCCTGATGCAACTTGATGCTGGCGAGCTACTCGAAGAAGCAGCTTTAGCAGGTGCAAATGCCCAGTTTTTGCTGCCTTTATCCACATAGCGTCAATATTACGTTAGTACTACAGTCTTAATACATGATGAAGTTGAAGCTGAAGTTGAGGATGATCTTACCAAGACTTTGATAGGAGCGAGTCCAGAATACCGTTGTGGAAGGTAACGGAGGTAGTAACGGAGGAGGTTGATCGAGTGATAGAGCGTCGATGGAGGAACTACGGTTTCATTTTATTATATGAAAGGCCATCAGAAGAGCGTCGGCAACACCACCCCATAGCAACGCTCAGCATTCAACGCAGGCAGGGCAAGTGCCCTCTTCAAGCCCTAACTCTGTAGCCTAGCGACGTCATCAAGATCAATGAAGCCGTCTCAATATGACAAACATCACGACGTTCTACATCTTCCTGTACGTTCTACTGAAGTGGATGGCGTGTTTGTGGTGATGCCTTGTTACTGGCAACACTTTTGTAGTATGTGTTGATCACTGTTGGATTCTGAGATGTCGCACACAGTGTATTTCCCGTACTACTGGCGTATATCTCAGAACATCTGCCTAATTGGGCTGACAGGCATTCGTCTTCCTATTTAAAACTTCCAACAGCACAACACTATACCCAATCCCAACACAAGAAGGGTCACCGAGACTATACCCAATCACCTTCTTGCCAACACAAGAAGGGTCACCGAGACTAACCCAATCATTGGCGGGACAAGCATCGTGTAGTAGAGATAATATCGAGGCTGTTTAGAGGTATGTATAGACCACCGATATATATACAGGAAAAAAACAATATTATGTACTACCAATATTTACAGAATCGGAGCGCCACCGAAGTCAATCAAAACGCTAGAACTCCGAAAAACATACAGCCTGAGCGGTCATGTATTATAAATAGCGACCCAATCAACCAGCATACCGTACCCCGACGTCGTTTCCGCGGTCGGTGTATCTTTACCCGCCCAAGCATTAGGGAACCCTCCTCCCATAGCAACATTGAAGATAAGGAAAAATGGCTCGTACACCAAACTCGCCCACGTCTATGATTTCACTCTCTCCAATTAGCAAAGGTCGCTACTGCGTACCGTTCCTTTCTCCCTTATAGAATCATGCTATAAGGTCTTACTTCACTTTTCCCCTTTTTGCAGTATAAGTTATGGGGACTCGAGGAGCTACTAACCTTATTATCTCCGATATCGTACCCACTGACCCTATGGTACTCTATACCATTCACTGACCATGTAAGAGATTCATTCCGCCAGTCCCCGTAAGTTCGGTCGACCCTTAGCGTATAGGTATTGAAAATGCCTCGCACAATACTCGTGGTACCGCCAATGCCATTCGGCTCATTACCTAAAATCTTCATTAGCAAGGTACTTTCTCCACTCCATCCCCGAAAAAAAAATACAATACAAAGATACTTACAAGGCCCACCAGGGAAAACACCACAATGTACCGTTCCCAGTATCGTGTTCTCCCCATTAGCAGCCTCCATAATATCCCACTCTCCAGTTTGCGGCCAACCATCATTCCCATTCCTACGAAACTTCCTCCCCATAGCCCAAAACGCCGTCCAAACACCCTCTTGCTTGCCCCCTCTAGGTAAAAGTATTCTTGATTCTATAATCATTTCTCCACCAGCTTGACACTTAAATCCATCTCTTACGGTTTCTATTCGTGCGGAAGTCCATTCTCCGGTCCTGGGGTTCCGAAGTGGAACGATGTTGAGTTGTTTGTTCGGGGATACATAGATATTTCGGGCGTCGGCGGTGTATCTTTGCACTTCGCCGGTACCCCAGTTTGAGGGACCACTGGGGTAGGAGGTGCCGATGTCATACTGCCATTCTGAGGAGATAGTGCCAGGTTGGGAAAACGTATCGGACCAGGTTAGTGTGAACCCTGACCGTTGGGGGATTTTGTATGCCGCAAATATGAGGGGAAAGAAGAATGAAAGGGTTACGAGAATGATGAGAGGCCTCATGATGGAGATAGTGGTACCACTTGGAGGCCTGCGGCTGTGGCTATAGATCTATAGGAAAAGTGGACGGGCCACGGTAAGGCTAATAACCCTAAATCTTAGAGCTTACACTTGAAAACCCACAAAAACCTTTAGAAAAACGAGAAGACCTTGTAATCTCAAATGTGATCGACATGAGGGGCGACCAGTCTAGTTAAATACATGTGATCTTTCGTTGAGTTCAATTGACAATATCTTCTAGTTCGACTTGCTAAATTTCTAGACGTTTCAGTTTTGAATTTCTTCATATACGCACATTCTAGATTCTGGATATGCGCTTGTGTTCGGGATATAGAATAAACTGGAAGATAGGGGGGGCATTCTCAAAGGGGCTGCTCATATTCCTCATTTCCCACATGTTGCACGTGTACAACCACAACGGTTTTGACGACATCTGTAAACTCTACCGGAACAAGAGCTAAAACTGACAATTGCAACCCAAGTACCGAGGCTTTAGTATTATAAATTTATATATTTTGGCCGTTCTGAACCTATGTAGAGTTTTAAAATTCAACTAGACTACATTTACATGGACGATTCCCAAGATTAATATTCGTAGAATTGCAGTAAGGCAACATCAATATCTGGGGAATGCTTGTTGTATTTCAACTTCACGACACTGTTCTAGAATCGGAAATCATGATGATCGATTAACTGTAAGTATCCTCAATTTATGTTTATAAGCCGCATGACAATGTATAGATCCGGTAGCTATAGAAACCAACAATAAAGATATCTGCTTCAACTGGAAGTAGCTATGGACGAAATATCGGACTGCTGTATAGTGAATCTAGCAAGACGATACGTGTACTCGAATGGTTCGGGTAACTTCCGCATAGAAATCTCCAAGTATTCTTTCTAGTCAAAGGCTAGCTTCGGAATGATGAGCCGAGTCATTACATACCTACATCCTATAGGCCTATGTATATCTTGACTACAAAAGTCAGTGTTAGATGCCAAAGATTCCTCTACTGGGAAGACCTATACAGTTACCGTTTCCGATTAATTAGAATGCAGCTTTGAGCATAATATAAATCTATATCTATACTTGGGAAGCCGCCTTCCAGAGGGTATACGGACGGTATATACGTATGTATATCTGTAGAAGTTATATTGTACTCCATCAACGTTATAGCACGTACGAATAGAACGGAAAGAAATTCTTCTGGCAGATTAAATTTGAACACCTCCCCATCCCCTCTTCTTCTTCTTCTTCTGCTTCGTTTAATACTTTTGTCTAACCACTTGGTAATTGTAAGTACGATCGTACGAACATTAAATTCGTTGAGGTTGTTGGCTTCGGCAAAAGATTCCACCTCACAGCCAAATCTTGGCATTGCCGCTCCACTCGGCTTTAGCGACACAAGCTCAATTATCAACAGCGGCAGCCTCACAAAGTCACATCTCTCTCATCAACATTCAACTTCCCAGAGGCAACCCCAAAAAGAGTATGAGCTCCCTAGAAAAAGCGAGAAGGATGCGAACAGATCTCGAATCACAACAGCCGGAAATAGCAAGGCCGAGTTCAAATCAATGTTGATATTAATGTGGCCTAGTTACGTTAGTCATAGTGACTATACCGCGTGGGGCGCCATGAGTGGATGGCCACATGAATCACACGCTTCTATCATCATTCAGACCGAGGATATATAGGTATCAACAATCAAAACAAGCCCTCTCTCAAACGACTCGATACAATACAAGCCCTCAAAGCAGGTAGATGTTTGTATGTATTTTAAGGTGGCATATACTCCGTATCAGCAAAGTAAACAAAGGCGGCCGCAAACCCCTCAATATTTGCCAAGAGACGGTTTAGCGCCAAGGGTACTTTGTCAACAACCCTGATGGTACATCTTTGGAACTTCATCATCAACAATATCAAACACCACGAAAATCCTATCACCACTAGCCACAGACGCGCAAACGTCGCGCACGCGAAAGCTTCACCGACGAGGTTGTTCTTTTAATTAAACCCGGATTAGGAAATCATAGGGGTGTTCCACCATAATAAGGCTGCCTTCGAGCGACCAGCCGACCGTCAAGATGTCGTTCGTCAAACCTGAGCTACACCATCGGAGGTCATTCTCTAGGAAGTCTGAGAAGCGGAGAAAGCGCAAGACCTCGTCGACGGATGTATTAGATAACGCTTTACTACCGGATACTTCATCTCCTTCATCGATATTACAAGCTCTCCCCGTTGGAACTTCCGACTCTGCTCTACCTTCTCTATCTGAATCGCCGACAAGATCCCCCTTATCCCGGCGACGGAGTAAACCGGAGGACGAGAACAACGAAGATACACCGAATAAACGTCGGAAGAAGGATCCCGAATTCTGGTGGGAAATTACCCGTGATACTACAGTTCTCAAGCCTCTTCCAAGTTCTTCTGGAGAGGTCTCGAAAAGTAAAGGGTGGGCTACCACGAACTCTTCATCATCGGACGAAGATATTGGGGAGGAGTGTTTCCCTATGGAAGATATACGTATGGACTGCGTCTTTGTATCGGATGTTGAAAAACAGGAAATCCACGACGGTATTTCAGCAGCTGTCTCTGAAGAACATATTCTCCCCATTCAAGGAGATGCTCTGAAAGAGCTTTTCGACGCTAGCTATGACCAAAGGCAGCTGTATAACGACTGGCAGGGAGACGTCATAAACACCCCCGAGGAAGATGAAGGTGTCGAAGTTGATAAAAACAAGGTCGATGAGGCCGAGGAGGCGCAGGAGACAGAAAAGGAAGAAAAACCCGAAGAGCCTTTAGAAGGACAAAACAACGACACAGTACAAGTAGAGAAGGATGAACAAGAGAAGGGAGGACAAGAGCAAAGTAGCCAACCGACAAAGCCTGCTACGAAGAGTCTATCTATCCCAAAACTGAAGGACGCACTTGTAACCCTCCGAGCTGGTGTCGGCAAATTTTCCCTGCGGATCAAAGAGGCCCAGGACAAAAAGATCGTTCCAGACACAGAAATCAAACCTAAGAGATCGAGTACCTATCGTGCTATGCTCATGCACAGAGATTCGAACCATTGCCTCATCACACACGCTCGCGATTCCTTGATCGCTGCACACATCCTCCCATTCACTATTGCGTCCCTGGCACGCTCCCATCGATTCTGGTCCTTACTCCGTCTCATGCTGGGTCCAGCGATTTGCGACCAACTCTTCGAAAGATACGGTTATAAGACAACCCGTCATCATCAAGGCAACAAAGGTATCAATTCACCAGAGAATGGATGGATCCTTCGTTATGACCTGGATGGCGCTTTCTCTCGAATGGAGTGTTATCTCGAGCCGATCCCAGACGAGCCAAACAAATACATCTTCAAATGGCTTCAAGAACCAAAGGAACGTATTCGCATGAGCGTCTACCATTCCAACGAAAATAGACAGGACGAACTTCTCAAGAGCGGAGAAATCATTGACCTCACACCTGCTGAAACGCCAGAAGCCCAAAACATCCCAAATCAGGGCACCACGCGAGTAGTCCCACCGCCATCTCGAGCACTTCTTCAAATGCAAGCCGCGATCCATAAACTCGCCCATAAATTCCAGGGCCAAGCCGATATTTTCAACACTCGCTCCCACCCTGATTGGGACTCTGATTCTGTTTCTTCCATCGAGGAAGAATACGAGTTGCATGAACGAAGTCGACAATACGAGCTGGCGCAGCCACTCAATGCCGACAACCACATGTACTTCTGTGACAACAAAGTTGTGGAATGGCTTCGAAGTGTCTCTCCAGAACAACCGGAGAAAGCCGGCATGAAACGCAAGCGCTCAGACTTCGAAGAAGAAGTAGAAGAGGCGGAAACCCAACCACAAACCGAAATCACTCTAGAAGCCGACAACCGGCCGACTAAACGAACAAAAACATCACATTTCACATTCCCCAAACCTGTTTCGCAGCCCATCAGGAAACCGAAAAAATCCACCAATATGAGAAATATCAAAGTCGCCGCCGCGAAGGCAACCCCAGAAACGGGCCTGCTCTCCCCAGGCATTACGAACAAGTCCGAAACGTCCCCGGAAGAAAAAGGGAGGACAAGACGTTATATAGCACGAGAATGTAAGCGTGCTCTTACATACGAGAGTAATACGGCTACTCCGTCCGAAGGAACACAACATGCTACGAAGCAAGTCAGCCCCGCCACCCCTGTCAGTCGTAAGCGGGGTCATGCGAGTACGACAAAGGTGGCAGTGGGGATTAGCACGATGCAGGAAGGCGGCAAAGCCCGTGTTTCAAATGGTGGTGTTGGGTCGAGGAAGAGAAAGAGGACATAAAATACTTATTAGGGTTTGCGATTTTCGACAGTCTTTGCCTTGTTTTTGCTTCATATTCGCCATATCGGATACCCATTTTGCACTCTGTCTTTTGGGGAGATTTATTGATACCACTCGGCGCTACTTTCCATCTTGCAAACGTTTAGGAGTTTTCTTTTCTTTACGGCTTTTTTTTAGCCTTTTTTGATTTTCGTCCTTATCTTGAGGCAGTGCATTGTGCCCTTCATGGAAAAAAAGGCGTGTATTTTGCTTTAACTGGAGTTCTATCTCGCCATTTCGCATTTACTTTTCGGATATCAATGGCCTGGTGCTTGGAGTTTGAATACTTAATACAAAAAGACTTGGGAAGGCGTTATCAAAGATACCCCGTACAAATGCGAATCTTACTACTGTTTTTTTTTTTTAATTAGACGCTAAACTAGAAAGAAGATTTTCAAAATGAAAGTTGTTTTTAGTCTGGAGCTACTGTAGCCAACTACTACATGGTGATCAAGTGAGCTACCAGGCTAATTTTCTTTAACTATCAAACTGTGGAGTCGGTTGCATATGCATATGTAGGATTGCGAGATCAAACGGTGCATGGGGGCTTTCGAATTTGACGGTCATAGGACATCCGGATACTATTTCCCTCCACCCCGGAAATGTATTAAAGCCAGTTTTTTTTTAAAAAAATGTTAAAACCTGGGTCTGTAGTTCCATGTTGCTTTAGCTCCAGCGCTTATAAGAGGGTGAAAAAAAAAATTGGTCTACGGATCCATGTATTTTGTGAGTTATCGAACCCTGGTAGATACCTCTGTTTTTCTGTGATTGGCGAGAGGTTTTAGGGAATTTTCTTCCGACTCCATTGCATGCACATGTACATACATGTATGCATGAAATATGTATGTATGTGATTTTAACTGGACGACATATACTGCACTGGCTTGACCTTCCATATTTGAAAAGAAAATCAGAAGTTGACGGTTTAGAGGTTCGATATTTTCATGATCCCAACTGGTCGACTAGGGTCATGATAGTATATGTCCTTGTGTCCTGTCCTGGGAGAACCACTGGATTGACCGTGATGCAGGAACCCTGGCTTGGGTACTACCATCAGCTGATAGAAAGAGAAAAAAGAGGGCGATACGAGATCTGGTGCTATGTAACTTGGCGTCCTACTAGCATACATCGTATACGTAGCTCATAGAAGACTTAATTATCATATCAGTCGTACGTCGTGAGAGGAGTGTATTGGAGGAACAGCTGTAGTCGCACCGTCCTCCCGATTCCAACATTGCAACAGATGGGACCTGACAGGGTGAAGCGAGATTTTTTATAAAAGAAATAGCAAAAACTAAAAAAAAGAATTAGCCAGTGTCATACAATCTGTTAGGCCAGTGCATTCCATGGATTGAAGGGATCGTATGTAACTGAGGCTGTAGATAATCAATCAATTTTATATCAGAGTGGTTTGAGAGGGTGCAGTGCAGCGATATGGCACGGTAGAGTGGCTTTTTCATGTCATTCGCTCCACGTGCACACACACACACACACACATTGCACTTTCAAAAGTTAATCTTAGAAATTCTGAATTGTAGCACAGCAGTTTGTGGGTGTCTGTATTTAATGATCGTGAACCAATGAATGAATGAATGGAGTTTTGAATTCATGAAGAGGGGGTGGAATTACTTGATCTTGTCTTTTTTGTCGTATGTTATGCATATTTGTATCTGGATATAATATGGATGCTATTGGTTGGCTGGATTGTCAGGTCCATGCAGAGGCTCAGCAGAAGGGAACCAACGATGGACTGCCATGTTGTACTTACTTCTTAATTTGAATTCCTTCCTCCCTTCTTAAGATCTTTCTTTCTTTCTTTCTTTCTGTCCTCTGTTCATTCTTTTGATCGAAGTAAGCTAGTGCAGTCTATCGATCAATCAATCAACTCAACGTTGCAACTAACATCATCGTCATCTCACCAACAACATCATCAAATCCAGCTACCCTTCTTCAATCTAAAAACTTCCTATTTAAACACTTCAATCAATCCACTCTCAATTTCAAGCCACCTGATCTCTTGTCATTTAAACTAATTCTTATCTTTGCCGTTTAATATTCGATACCCATTCTTTCATTTCTTCTTTTAAACACAGGGCGTGGATGGTGCCATGTTCATGAGAAAATTCCCAAGCCAAGCAAGGGTTTTCGAATTCAAGTGCATGATCTAGACCATTCCCCACTCTGCCTACCCTGCCGTCTCAATAATCTCGTTCGTCTGTTAGACGAGAGACCGTTGTTTCTGAACTGTTTGGAAAGCTAAACAGGAACTGGTTAGTGTATATCCATCTCTTTCCCATACTCTTGCTTGTAGTTTGCATACATGGATCTTGGGTCTTGAGAGATCAGGTGTACCGTTTTTCCAATATATATTTTAGGGAAACCTACCTATATATTACGGATGATATAAGGATACTGCTTTGGTCTTTTCAGGCTTCCCTTTCTTTGATATGTTTGGTTATTCTATTTCAGAAATTCTTGGTGAGAGTTTCAAGTGCTTGGGCCCTCACCGCAGATGATGGTATTTTGTATCTGATCTGCTCCAGCACAGCTGGTGAGGATGTGATAAATATCCCCTGATGGCTACGTCTGGGTCTCCTTTGAAGCCGTTCTCTCGAAATCAGTTCTCGATATAAATTTACATACAATACGATACTAATTAACTTGGATGCATTGCATAGGAAATATCTTGGAACCGAATCTTGAATCAATTTAGGCGAATATTCCTGACCAGGCCAGGCCAGGTTAAATCTGTGCCCCAAAATCCCCACTAAAGTTGAACCTCGGCATGTCGTTTCAGCCGTCCTCCACTACGGAAGCCACGCTTCCCGGCACCGCCAGCAGCGACCTGCCACGACCACCTGTCAATGTGACGACCGCAGATGCTACTGCTCCACGAGCTCCTGCGGTCGAGACCGCTGGTAGTTTACAGCCGACCGCCACCCATACATTGTTTAACCTCAAAAGGAAGGGGAAACGCTCTCGAAGTTCCACTTTTTCAACTGCCTTTTCCAAAGATGGAACGGAGAAGGATACCATTCTCTCTGTCGATATCAGTTCCTCACAACCTCCCGACTCCCAAAACTTGAATCAAAAATATTCACGAAAGCAACTAAAAAAGAAAGGAATCTACAAGCGATTATTTAGGTCCAAGAACGATAAAAGCCAAAGAATCCAAGGTTTATCAGAGCCAGACCGTCCAATATCTGTCGATAATCCGTCGATATTTGCATGCTTCATGGAGTCCTCGCCTACTGCCATGTTGCGGGCTTTGGTCCCTCGTCTACCCCTCATGGGCAAGACGGTTGCTTGGCACGCTCTGGGTCTCTCACAAACGTCGCCCTACTGGGACCTCAAAACTGAGCTGCTGATAACCATGATTCGATCGTTTGTTGCCCGTCCAACTCCAGATCCGCTATCCAAATCTCAGCATGTCTCTCTTAAAGATCCCGGTATCAAAGGTCGCATGTGGATTTCTAAAAATGTGGTTCCAGCGCCAACTGGCCCAGAAACTCGTCAGTACGTCATCGAGGCTATCGACTCTCTCATCACCGGCGAGAAATTCGACTGGTTGAAGCCTGAACTCCCAGCTGCGTCTGGAGAATGGACCGGTTATCGCGCAAATGTTCCAAAGGAAGCTCCTCAGTTAGATATCCCAGAGGAGGAAAAATACACGAAAATGATGGAAGAGGTGACATCTCCAATTACTGTCTACTACATCCATGGCGGTGCAATGTATTTGATGGATCCGGCGACACATCGTCCGACTTGTGCCAGGATCGCCAAGGAAACCAACGGTCGAGTCTTTTCGTTCAGATATAGACTTGCACCACAACATCCATTCCCTTCTGCGTTAATGGACTGTTTCATGGGATATCTATATCTCTTGTATCCGCCTCCAGGTGCCTTGCACACACCGGTCGACCCTAAGAATATTGTCATCTGTGGCGACAGCGCAGGTGGGAACCTTTCAGCAGCTTTGATCGCTTTGATCCTTACTATTCGAAAACTTCACCCTTCCGGTATCACACACAATGGCCAATCGGTCCCTCTACCCTTGCCTGCAGGAATAGGTCTCAACAGTCCATGGGTAGATACAACCCACTGCCTCCCATCCGTAGTCACAAACAAGGAGTTTGACTACATCCCGTCTCCAAGCATCTACCCCTCCGATGGTCCGATTTTCCCGAAGTGCGACATCTGGCCACCAACTCCACCGCGAAAGGCCATTTATGTCGAGGACAAACTTCGCTTGCATCCATTCGTCAATCCCATGATATTTGAGGGATGGGCGGGAGCCCCACCGGTGTTGGTTATGTGTGGACAAGAGCTTTTGGCAGATGAGTGTAAATTCTTCGCGAAGATATTACATAGTCGAGGAGTTACTGTTCAGTTTGAAGAGTATGAAGCTATGCCGCATTGTTTTGCGCAGTTGATGGATTGGGTTCCTGTTACTGCGAAGTGCTTTAAGACTTGGAGTGGGTTTATCAAGGATGCTGTTAATGACGAGGTTAAGGAGAGTAAAGCGAGGAAGACGGCTGCAAAGTCATTGGAGGAGACGGAGATCTCGTTGGAAGAGGTTAGTCCGTATACCTTTGATGAGGTTGTTGAAAGGATGAAGGGGAGTTTGGAGCATGGTAATGATTTTCACAAAATGGGAGCGCAGTTGGCGAAGCTTTGAGTATTGATTGTGCTTTTGGAATTGCTGGTCGATTGTCTGGTTTGAAGCGTGATTACTTCACCTACTTTTTTTTCTCTTTTATCTTTTACCCCTTGATTTTTGCTGGGATTTTATTGTTTGAATTGGGTTTTTATCATTTCGATCAGGGCTTTTTAGCGCCTCTTTAGGATTTTATTTTGTGGGATCTTTTCTTTTCTAAGATTTCGGAGGTCTTTCCGTGTATGTGAGACCTTGCTGGGGTGATGTGCTGATCTACTGTCAGTGCATATACTCTAAAGCTTTTGAGATATCTCCTTGACAGGACCACACCATTATTCGCTGTTTACTTTTGAAGAGACCAATCTTGTTCTTTGATCATCAGCTTACTCTGTATCTAAAATATTACTTTTCTGGAGTATGTAGAAAATATCAATTTAAACTACAAACTGGTAAACTGTTAGCCATCTCTGCTGTACTAGTTTTAATCCCCGTCCAGAAACGGCTATTCTACCAATGAAGTCCATGCAACCCATCTCGTGGCCGATGCATAAGCTCTCCTGCGCAAGTACTTAGTCAACCGTCTCCACAATAATTAACGATAAAAATACATGAACCTCAAAGGAAAATAAAGTAAGAATGAAATCGAAGCAGGTTAACACTCCTTTCGCATTTAATTCCAAGATTCGTTTAGTTTTTCCAAGCCGGATTAGAGACAGAATTGCCAATACCGCAATTTCGCTTTTGGCCCAAAAGCGGATGCATTTTGTTTTATAAAAACGTAGCAAGAGTAACCGACGGCGGCGGAAGGCGGAATGGAAAGTGCCGAGTGCGACAGGTGTACTTACAATTACACAGCTTTTTTCGACATGAACGGGCTGGATCTGTCGGGAGGCTGGAAGGGGCTGATTTTATAGCAAGTGCATTGACCCTAAGCTAAAACAGCTACTTCTTAGGAAGCTTGGGAGGGCTCCCAAAAAAAAAAAGTACATAAGCTTCGATGATCTTAAATTTCGTGATCTGGAAACTTAAACTTCCCCCCTTAAATCCTTTTCCGCGTTTCTTCAATAATCGATTGAAAGAATACACTATTTTCCGATGTCTACACGTTTGAAAGTGTAGAAGAAGAAGCCCTTTTGGAGTGGTTACCTTTTATAATTATTCTTTTTTCATTTGATTTCTAATTTCTTGCCCAATTGGAATCTCACGATAACCGGCCCCAGTTCCGAAGTTCACGTTTTGGCTACTAGCTACATACTATACTACCCGAGCTCGAGCTTACCTCGATTGTGCTGTGAACTCGATCTCGTCACAATGGTTTACCAGGTAAATAATGATCACTATCATTCCATCACCAAACCTTGAAGTGATATCTTTTTGTAATCTTTCTAGTCTCGTTCTAACCCTTTCTTTTTTATATAGAATGTAAGAGCAATACAAACGCAACCAGCCCTAGAGGGTCTGGGGAGTGCGCAATCGCTTCACCCCCTGAATAGGAACCATTTTAACAAACCCAAACATGCAGGGCACAGTAGTCGGCTACACGGAACCCAATGGTTCACAAGGCATTGGCATAGTCGAAGGGTTCTTCGTAAGCTTTAACCCCCCCGAATGCATATATTACACAAAATCCCTTCTCCCTATAAAATATCAACTCGAAGGGATAGATAAAATCTAATTTATACAAAATCGTATAATACTTTGTTTTTTTTAGAGCGGAATGTACCTCATCAAAGTCGCGGACATCGACGAATATGACGATGAACGGATAGTTGAAGCTGAGGAGAACGAGGTGGAGGAGTTGCATGTGTGTACTTATGGGGTGGGATGGGATTAAATACCTACGTACTTACCTACCTAGGTATATAAGTATATATACGTGCAAGAAAATTATACGCAGGGAGTATTGTTTTTAAGAATTAGTTAGGAAGTAATTAAGAGAGAGTTCTGAGAATAGATCTCGAGGATATGGTAATATATGATATGATTCAATTGGTATTAATTTGAATAGGGAGACTACATGTACCGTTGCATGTTGGAGAGTCTGTTCAGTGTAGGATTAAAATACTGCAAACAGTCCTATTATCACAGTAATGGAACGTGCACTTCGTAGTTATGGTATCAGGGTAGCTAAAGCAAAGTTGGGGGGACCATCTGCGTATCCGGGTGGATCTCGGGATAGATCTCGGAATCTGGAGTCTCTCTATTACGTTGCCGAGGAAATCTAAGGGGATAGATGGTCTGATACGGTGAAGTGACGTCATAGCCCAACACATACGCCATGCAAAAAGTACGCGCGCAATGTACAGGTGTCTGAAGATCCGTTGACGGAAAACGCTCTTATAACTACTTAAGTAAGCTTGGGGCTGATCTAAGTTATTAAAAGAGACTGGAGAAATCTAAAAAAAAAAAAAAAAAAGATTATAAGAGGACGCAACAGTTGACAACTCCTTCTTTAGTTTTGCGTGGCTGGGTTGCAGAACGGACTCATTGCATTCTTATACGTATAGTATAGTTATTGGTCCTCACGAGACTATACACCACTCATTCCCTCCCTTAAACTACAATTGTTCTTTTTAATCCTTTCATTTTTTGCTCTATAATATACACTTAGTTACTTAAGTATATTGAGAACGAATCATGGACGTCGATGGACCCAGTAAACAGGCTCCAGTCGATAAGCATGCTCCCGTAAGTATATCATATGCACCGACCTCTCTCCCAACTTCTTTATAAAGTATCAAACTAACTTAAATTTTATCTTATCTTATTTTAATTTAATTTTTTTTAAAATAGCTACCAATAACCCAATTTCTCTTCGACTGTGACAATACTCTCGTTCGCTCCGAAGAAATCGCCTTCGACGTCTGTGCCGGACTCATAAACAACTTACTCTCCCAAAAATGCCCCTCAACAACCACAAACTACACCGGCCGATCACTCCAATCCGAATTCGTCGGCCAGAACTTCGCGGGTATGCTTCGACAAATCGAAGGAATCTACAAATTCACATTATCGCCCGAAGAACGTGAAGGTCTAATAAACCAAGAAGTCACGACTATTACCGAAGAACTGGGGAAAAAAGCAAGACCCTGCGTCAATGCCAATGAAGTATTGAAGGAATTGAAGGATACGGGGAAATATGGGTTTGCGGTTGTATCTTCCTCGGCAGGGCCGAGGGTTTTGGCTGCTTTGAGGAAGGCGGGACAGATGGAGTTTTTTGATGAGAAACTTATCTTTTCGGCTATGACCTCCTTGCCTGTACCGACGAGTAAGCCCGATCCCGCGATTTATAAGTATGCTTGTAGGAAGCTTGGGAAGGATCCGAGGGAGTGTATCGCCGTTGAGGATAGTGTTAGTGGTGTGAGAAGTGCTGTTGCGGCGGGGATTAAGACTGTTGGGTATCTGGGAGCTTACGAACCAGATGAGAGAGAAGCGAAGGGAAAAGATTTGAAGAAGTATGGAGTGGAGTATTGTATTGAGGATTGGAGAGAGTTGGAGAGTGCTATTGAGGCTCTGGGAAACTCGAACGTTTGGTGACCAATGGGGTTTAATCATGATGGATTCTCCCAATGGCCAGTAGATTGCAACTGCATGCCGGCAAGGATTACATACTGGATGATCCCTACCATGTCTATGGAATGGATATGTTTGAGAGTAGAATAATCGGCTTTCTAGAACCTGCAATTTGTATTTGTAGGAGATCGATAGGAGACCTTTGGCAGCAGAGAATATTTGTATTATCTTTCGAGTGAAGTAGAAATGTACATTTTGAGTGAAGCTGTTGCGATGCACATGTACATGATTGACCTTGTAAGGCCTCTATATTAAAAAGAAAATGTAATATGACTGCTGAGCTAGCGCTGATATATACTCATATACTTAAGTATATATATCTCTCTATATGCATGTTAGATCCGGTGAAGGTCCTCTATTTGTATGATCCTGCCCTCCGATGCCACCAACCAAACGGTGGAAATTCAAAGCCGATTATAACGAAAGTCTACGCTCCATATTCTATAACCCAAGAAAATAAGCGAAGATGGTGACATGTAACCCTAAAGCCTCTCTTCCTCTAAGCTTCCCTCCCGCAGCGAAGCACTCAATGCGGTCTCTACCGTCCTATCCGGGCTAAAGTATTCAAACACAGCCATCGAAATCAACGAGCTAGGAGTCGCGTACACCAACCTAGCACCGAGCCCCTTATAGAACCCCAATCCAAACCTCTTCTCTCCCAAAACATTCCGGACTACTTTTGTAATCCCTCTAGCATCCTCTAACCTCTCTCCTCCAACCTTTCCGACCGTTGCCGTGGTCGCGACCTGATATCTTGTCTTTATCAGATCCAATGGGTGGCAACAGCATACACTCGTCATAGTTGCTACACAACCGCCAAGTGCTGCTTGTGAAGAAATAGCCCAGTCCCTCGGTGCGGCTTTCTTCGTGTGTTCATAAACCGTCCACCAGATCCCGTTGTAAGGGATGAATACTATTAACCCCAGTAGATAACCCCTATAGAATCCCCGGATACCTTCCGTACGCCATATCTCCTTTAGATTCTCACTCAAACTCCCTTCTTTTGATGTACTCGAGATTTGCAACCGTGATTTTATAACTTCGAGGGGAGTCCAAACGAACGAACTGGCCAGTTCGGCAGTCGTGCCGGCTAAGAGGTACGTAGTCGTTGTATCGCCAAAATGTGGGATCAAAGAGGCTTTTGATTGGCGGTATATTGTGAGATAGACGGATATGGCCGGTGTGACGAGGACAGTGGAAGGTAGGAGACCTCGGTAATAGGTTCGGAGAGGAACGGAGAAGATTGGGCGACGGGTTGAGGATGCATGTTGGATCGCGATTGTGTCCAGAGGGTAGCAGATTAAACGGGAGAATATGGAGGCGTAGCAAGAAGCTAGGAGAGTTTGGACGTCCATTGTTGCTTTTCTTTCTTTCTTTTTGATATACCGATCTTTATACCGACCGGATCGGGTATAGGGGGAGTGTTCTAAAGGTTGAAGTTGTGAAGCGATTGACCAGTGCAGGTTAAGGAGGGTACTGGTAGGGGAAGGTGCTAGCTGGGAGGTTGAAGTTCGCCATACTAGCCTAGAAGATGGCGACGATGATGGTGGTTCGAGGGAAGGACATTTAGGTCTGAGAGGAGGTCATGTTGAGGAGCTTGAGCCGTTCATCGGCCTTGGTGGATGTGATTGCGAACTGCGAAATGGGGCAGTTGAGATTTTTAGCCCGCTGCCAAGCCGATGAGGCACAACGCACTTTCTGCAACATTCCAACTGGTGCCAGGCCTTCGCGATCCTGATTAAGTACGGCGCGCCGGCGACGGAGCAGTATACATTTTCATTAGGCCGAAAGTCTTCGTTATTAATAGTATTTTATCATCGCTATAGGATAGAAGAATATGGTTTGTAAGCATTTATAAACAGTCATTTTCTTATAACAGTAATGTTTGTAGTTAATTAAGTACACTTTTCTTCTTGGAAGAACATATCCACCACTTGCGGCATCATCAATTCCACGATACTCTTCGCAATCTCCTCTGGGAAAGAGTTCTCAAAAAAGATATTAACCATATATCCATTAATCTTCTCTGAGATTAGCTGCCTATTCGTTGAACTTTCTTCCTCGGCCAAAGCCTTAACTATTGCTAAATCATCATCAGAAAGACAATTTTTGTCTAAACTGCCAACTAGCTTGTCGTATATCATCTGAGCATTAGGATACTCTGTGAAAGACTTATGAATATTGTTTTGGAAAAACTTTAATAAGGTGGCCATATTGGTGGTGGTGGCGGCGGCGGCGGCATCATCTTCAGAACCGGCATTGGTAAGAACCGTGTTCTTAAGTTTAACCATATTCGAGCCGGACTTTAAATTCTTTAACGATGGCTTTTTAAGTAAAGTTTGTGACGAGAGTAAAGAGGATTTGAGAGGACGGTCCATTAGATCCATGCAAAATCCGATTCTGTGCTTGGGTGCGCAGATTGTCATGTAGTATAAAGCGGGTTTTTGGGTTTTAGGGTTTATTTTGCAGATTGAATGGATTGGATAGTCGGATAACGATGGTTTGTTATTTTGAGGAGAGATTTTCGAGAGGGCAGGGATGCTATGAGTGGCTTGGTTTATTGCCATCTTGGCGGTATATGTATATAAAAATTTATCTCTTAAATAATATTGAGATTGGACGAAAAGTTTGTTTGGTACTATCTGCTATTTGCGGTTTTGACTGCCAATAGTGGAGGGTATTCTGGTATAGAACTTGATGCTTCTGCTTATTTTCTAAAAGACAGTGAACTACTAGAAGAACAAAATGGAACGACAGACTTCTTATATACACTATCTAGTCTTTTATCCACCTACAGAGTCATGACATCGACTTAATACACTGAGTGGTTCTACAGGATCTGGGCGAGTGAGTACTTTTATGGGCTGTATAAGTTTGTCAGTCCGAGAAACATACCTAAAATTTGTTCCAACATCTGCCTCTCAGACCTAAAATGAAAAGAAAAAAAAACAGTATGCCTAAACGAAGGATGTAGACAGCCGCTAGAAAAGTGCTACGGGTGATACAAACCATAGATCCTAAATTCGTAGCCATAGAGCTAATATAATAGTCACCGTCATTGTATTTGCGATGATAACTAGCTATTCGGCGACGCCTAAAGGTCAGGTGGGGCGGGTTCAGGCCAGCACACCCAATTTTTTATTGTAAAAGCCACAGTCGGTGTGGCCAGTGTCCTAAGAACATCATTATCAACCAAAGATCTGGGCGTACGCGTTGGCTACATCTTTGAGGCGCTGTTAAATTAATTAAGCGTCCCTTTTGTTTGTGAGGCTTATTCTCAGGCCTGGAGATGGGGCATGGGTTACGCTGCGATGAGGGATGCTCATCGATGGTGTCATCCCGTTCACTAGCGTCGCATTATTATCGATTATTGGGGGGTGTTTGCCCCGCTTTGCGCCGCCTTGGCTTCGATTCAAAGATTCACATGTACATGTTTGTCGCTGTTCGTGGGTTTATGCTACGGCTGAATTAAATACATGGAAATCTAAAGAGTGATAATCTATTAGTGAGCCTCTTAAAACAAAATGGGGTGCCTGGCCTGATAGACTCCGGTATCGTTCAGACGATTATTGGTTCAGAAGTGAGACTTGCAGACTTGTAGAATCGGGGTTCTGGCCTATGCGGAAGAATGTCATGGAAAATGAGGATCCAGTTATAAGCAGAACCTAAGTTCCTTCTTTCTTATTGCACCGGATATGGTGTGCAGTTTGTCTGCGATAACCCTTGTCGTGGTCATCAGCCGCAGACATATTATGCGCCACAAAAGTTTGGATCCTCGATTCTGGACCGATGCCGGACAGAGCGTCGTCAGCTGAATTTACATCAGCATGCTCTGGTAGGTGAGCATTTGAATGGTTGTTTTGGTCGGCGTTTTTGCTTCGTACGTATGCAGACCGGGGCCAGCTCTGCGATAAACGTTCTGCTAGCATGCGCATGCTTTGAAGTTCTATAGCTATCTTGCGATAGGTATTTGGACGAGGAAAGGGGAGAAATAGGACAAATGCACGTCATAATCGACTGATAGGTTGAAATGTCGAGCATGGCAAACAAGGTGTTCTTTTGCACTGCTGCGAGCGGTGGGGCGGTTGTATCGGGGCTGATTATTAATTGCTGGTCGCGATCGCCTCGGGGCTTTAACACAATATTTTGTTAGGACTTTTAGGACGCCCTCTATTAGGCTTTACTGGTTATTAGGTCCTAGTTAACCCGACTGAACGAATTCAGTGCCTGGTTTTGCCCTTAAGTTTTGGATTTGGACTTTTGAGAACTAGAGGTAGCTAGAATTCCGGACTATAAACTAATGCCTCTCCTAATTCTCCGGAAGTTCAAGGTTTTTTCATCATTGTATAGGATGAGACATGATATTTACAGTTAGGGTTTAAAGACCTTTATTCCTTTCGTAGTAGCGTAAAATAAGCTGACTATCATGGCCACCCGATGGTTCCATTGCAGTAAACTAGTTACATATCTGCGAGCATAGCAGTTAACTTAAGTACTTCCCGATTTGGCGAAATCTAGGGTACTTGTATCTAGATACATGAATATTAGAACATGGTCGGAAGGAAAACAAGATTGACCGGCGAAAGCCTTGAGACATTGTTTAATCGAACAAACTTTGCAGATAACGATCGTCTTTTTAAAGCGAAGAACAAGTTTGAGACTATTTTTATTTTTTTTATTTTACCACCATTGTTTGGGTCTTCAACCTCCTGACACGACCATATCCTCCCTTTCTACCTTTTTTTTTTAGCTAATTAGCCACATGGGGAAAAGTTTGGCCAGTTGTTGCAGCTAGCTCGTGGACCATATCGACAACATCCACCAGAAGGATTACACTCGAAGACATCGGACCAACTACCACCAGTGCCAGCATTGGTCACGGCGGAGCACCAGCCACAGTATTGGCCTTGTGGGACGGGGTTGCATTTGCAGCCATTAGGGACGCAATTTTGGCGTTTATCGAGATCGTTGCGTTTGGCTTGGAGGATTGCAGCCTCTTTTGACCCGGTGACGCGGGTGCCTGGGTCTGCCTCTGGTACGGCAATGGCCAAGGCGGAGACGATCAGGGGGAGGAAGAAGGGGAGTTTGGTGAGTTGCATTTTGGCGGATATGGTAATTTGGACTTTATGATGCTTTTATATGTGGAGTCTGTATAATGTATATTTCTTGATAAACAGAGTTGAAGAGTTAGCTTGGGCTCGATGCCGGATGCAATTTATTAAAGATATGAGTAATGCGCAATCTCCATTAATGGAGTGATAATTGGAGCTTACTCTTTTGTCAAGTTCTTTGATTTTGATCCGATACTAGCTGATGATGAAAAAAGAACGATAGAGAATAGGAGGAGGAAGGTCTTTATATAGACTTTCCGTTGTCTATATAACACTTGTCAAATATTTTCCATAGTCTTTTCTAGGTAATTGTGTTTTCGAGTCGATATAGACACAAAGCGACCACTATTGGAGATGATGGACAGAATCTTCACGGTAAGTTCCATCATAACGTTGATTTCTTGAGTTTCAAAATCCTCCTGCTGTTTCCTAGTATACATGGCGGAAAGCTATCACAATATTATCAGCTTTACCACGGGCTCTACGGATCTGTGCGGGATATCTTATAACGTTTAGATCTTCAATTGATTTTGGCTACTCCCGCGAGCCGCATATGCATACCACTGTTGGAATCGAGAGATGCTTCAGAGCTACCCAATGCAAGGTTTCGAGAGCTACCTGACCTATCTCGGGCCTTAGCTGGAGCTTAAGCTCCGATCCAACGGGGCGAAGTAATTGTTCTATATATCTCATTTCACTGGAGCCATGGACCTTAAGTCTTGTTGGTTGTAACATACTAGATGTATATCGATTTGAAAGCAGTGATGTTGCATCGCATCTAGGGACAAGACATCTTTGGATTGGACCAACGTTATAGGTTTAGATTCCAGGGCTATGGATACTTTGACCTGTCACTACCGTGTTAAAAGACCCACCCGGTCTCTTCGGTTGATATCCGTAGATTCTTTGTTCTCTCATTTTAATCAAAACTTTTTGCGTAGACTCAAATTGTATCAAATAATCAAGTATGAGGCAACTTGTCCGACTAAGTCCCAATACAGGTTTTATTTCCCAATATTAAGTAAAGGTCGGTGTGAAAGTTCGGTCTGGACATTTCCTCTATAACATCTGGGATTTGAGTACCATGCGTTATCGATATATCGGCCGCATAGAAAAATCTCTAAAGGAGCTGAGGGGTTTCAGATGCCTAGGATCAACAGTAACAATTGCCAAACTTACCAAGACCGCCATTCCGGAGAAGTACAGCATCGCAAAAGGAAAGTTGGTAGCTGAGGATCCGTGTTTGGTTATCCTTTGGTTGATATTCATCAATGTTCCTTTCGATTCGCAGGACTTAGAAGGCAACTCAGCGACTTGTCGTCCATTGTGGTAACACAGGATTTCTTGGGACGTTATATTAACGTTAAGCAACTAGCACTACGGTGATCATTTCTGCTTCCGATCGGTCGGGTTTAAACTCAGGTAAGGAACCGAATATCCTATCCGCTCATGGGTGGAGCTCTACGACTGCCGGTGCAGGGGGGAGTGGAGAAAATCTCCGAAATTATAGAGAAGCCGTATGAAAGAAGTGGTTTTCTAAATATTTTTTTCTGTGAATTAAGGATCATACTGAGGCTGCTGCGTAGCCTTTCATAATTCACAGAATCTTCGCTTTTCAGGTTGTAACTATTAAAGATTGTATGTATGGGAAGAACGTAGTAACTGATGGAATGTTTTATGGTTAATTAATCGCAAGGAAGGCTAGAATATAGGGTTAATATTAAGATTGTCTATGGTATTTCGAATGATATCATGTTGTTTCTCATATACTGCCCGAGCCCCAAAACGCGGGGAAAACTCGTCGGTTTGGGCCAGGAATGGATCGACGGGAGCTAACAGAAACGAGAACAGCTTTTCCTAGCCTAAACCCTGGCGAGAAGCACGTCCAACATTAACCTTACTTTTGAATGTGGTTGGTTATGCGTGTTTATAATTCGCGCAACTGCTATGCATGCAAGTCGGCTGGGGCTCAAGATATGCAGCCGGGCCCGAAAGTGTGGTAGGTAAATTTTCCCTAAGAGGGAACGTCCAAGCCGAAATTATAACTCCAACAAGTTCGAACTGATTAAAATGTCTTTCTTACTGGCCGGTGGTTGTGACCAATGTCAATCTTACCCGATTTTCGGCCCCCTGGCTAGCCTATTCTAACGTTATGTAACAGATCATTTGGAAATTTTAGCTCGATCGTTTCAGCTCCTACAGCAGACATAATTGCATAAGAGTTGGAGTAGCTCACAATGTAGGCGACACGGCCCACGAATCTAGGATTGGGATACAAATTGATGATATTATTGTCCCTGTCTATCAATTTGATTGGTTTCTTCGTAGCCAGTAGAGTGAACCATATATACCATTCGATTCCCATCCTCTAATTTGCAGTTGCAATTCCGGCCCTAGTTAAGTTTTGCAAGCTGCGTTGCCACGAAAATACAACAGAGTCCTGCCGGTTTTGTGTAACAAGTCAGCTATATGTATGCCAAACTTACACTAAGGTCCCGGTCGAGAGATCTTTGCACCAATTGGGCAGCTGAGTTGCATACTAACTAGTCGACTCGTTGGAATCAGAATCCGATTTGACTGCGTGCATGTAGGTTTCGGGGAGCTCACATTTTGGCTCGTGTAATATATATAAACCTAATCATTCTTGCTTACGTCTCTAGGGCACACTGCATGGCCGGGTACTAGTTGTCATAGGTTTTTTCTATGCAGGTCTTGCAATATAATGTTTACCTGACGTTTGTCCAATTTACCCTCCGTTTTTATACACTATATATCTGTGTGACGTTTGATTTCGAACGTTTATGATGGTGGCTTTTCCTGGCAGGCGGGAGAGTGCTTTGCTAGTTTTGTTAAAGAGACAGACCATGAGTTTGTATTACTTTTAACAAGAGCATTCTCTTAGAGCGGATAGTTTATAGTTTGACCAGAAAAATAAAGTTACCTGTCACTAAAATAGAAGCCAGAGCCCCTACTGCAAGATCAATAGATAGGGGGTGTACATATTCAAAGGCGTGTGTCTATATCGTAGCAATGCTTGGAAAGACCTACGGTATTGACACTACAACGATATACTATTATTACGCCTATAATGTCTCGTTAAAGCCTCGGAATCTGTGCTAGGAAAAAAGATTAAAAGAAAGAACTAGAGTTTGAGCGTAATCGCGGCTCTGAGCTAGGTTCAATCTTCGTCAATATTCCTGGGGTGTTAATATTGCAATTTCCAATTTAAGTACTTCACGTATCGCCAATAAAAGATACCGTAAGAAAATACATAAAAATGTCGTAACCACCATAATTTAATGGCCAATGAGAAATGGTTGATACAAAGTAATGCAAAAAGAATTAAAAGTAAATAGTCGAAAACAATCTGGGGGTGGGTAAATATAAGGAACATGGAAGCCCATAATGGAGTTGTAATTCTGACCAGGTTGTGCAAGCTTCATCCTAGATGGCCAATTCTTTTTTGGCTAGCAGATCTTGATCGATCTGTATGACCAAAAAACACATCATAAACTACTATACTCTCTAAGCTACTGTATCTCACTTTCAACAATCTTCTCGTCCTTTTCTGGTAATCCCACGGAACTTTTCCGACGAATAGCGCTGGCTTCTATCTCAGATAAGGTTAGTCGCCTTCCGCCTTCGTATGGCTGTTGTTGAACCTCCTCCGCTACTTCAATAAACTTTACCGTAGGTTCGAAACCTGGAGAGTTCCATGCATGTGGGACTTTGGCATAGATCTCGTCAACCTGTTCCAAGGTAAACCCTTTGGTTTCGTATATAAAGCTGTTATGCATATATGGTTGATGAGACATGACCAGTTAGCTGGGTGCTATAAGCTGAAAGGCTTCGGATAGAGGGTTTCACGTACGCCCATACGAATGCGAAGCTTAAGGCGCAGAATGAACCCCATACGAAGAATACTTTGGCTCCAAGATTTGCGTTACCGGGGCCGCTAGATTGACGACATGCAAGTTAGTTCTGAACAAAGGATGTTTGAGTATACACGCGTATTGAAATATTTGAGGTTAGAATACATACCTGTCGACCATGTAAGGTGTGGCGTAACTACGATCTGATTAGCTATACGTTCCTTTATAACCTCGCGGACGCCTAAGTCAATTCGGGGATTATCTATTGTTGAAGCTTACCCAATAGCCCAATTGAAGAGCCAATTTGCCGCGGTTGTGATGGAAAGTCCTTTTGCCCTTGCCTTGAGGGGAAATATTTCTCCCGTCTTCGCGTCGGTGTTATCATGAGTTCAAAAAGGGTACTAGTATCGTATTAAGTAATTCAAACTTACTACTACCCAGGCAACAGGCCTGCGAAATATTCATATCGATCAGTCTCCACCAAAAATCCAAAGAGTCTGAATATTGTCAACATACCCCTAAAAGCCCTATAGTTAGTGCGCAAACTCTCCCGACTCATTTACAAGTCTCTGCTGTCTATATACGTTACTAACCCATGATGAAGCGAAGAAAAAGATATATATGCAAACAAATGCTACTAATGTATTATGCGCCGCCTGCGACTGAGAAACTGTACCCACAATGGCCTACCAAAATATTGCATTAGCCAGCTAGCGGTCCACTCCATTTCTACTATGAAACTTGTTCGAAGGTGATAGATAGATATAATTACGTACCACAATGAACTGGCAGATGAACATTCCTGCAGCACCGAACAGCAACAAGTTACGGCGGCCCCAGTTGTCGACAAGCCAAAGACCTGGCAAAGTTGAAACAACATTTACGCAATTGGTGATAAGTGACACGACAAAAGAATTCTTGATTCCAGCGGATTGAAAAAATGTCGTTCCATAGTAAAAAATAAAATTAGCGCCACTGAGTTGCTGGAAAACCTGGATCCCGACACCCGTTAGCAGCCGTTTCCGTAAGAATCCACTCCGGTTTGAAAGTAGTTCTTTGTAGGGAGTTTGCCCGATACTCATTTCATATTCATGGTTAGCCTTGATTTCATTGAGCTCAGTAATAACCTCAGGGTGGTCAGGAGGTAATCGACGGAGGGTGGACAAAGATTTTGCTGCATCGTCAAATCGGTTGCGTTTGATCAAAAACCGTGGAGTCTCTGGTAGCAGCATCATCCCAAAGAAAAGTATGAGTGCCCAAACAAATTGTATCGAAAGGGGTATCCGATAGGAGCCTGTATCTTGTCGCTCGTGAGTTCCTATCGAAGAAGGTTAGCTGATAAACCCTCGCCCTTGCAATTGTGACGTATAAATATATATTTCTATTGTTGATATGATAACGCCGGCTTTTGACGAATCGGAGGCCTATGTGTATAAATAGCTTAACATACCTTGATTCGCACAGGAAGCCAAAAGTAATCCTATGGTAATTGCTAACTGGTAGCTACCAACAATGGCCTAAAAGGGTGAAGAATTAGGAATCTGCAAATCCCTGTGCAACTAATATCTTCGGCAAGGCCTCAAGGTAACAAATACCCCTCGAATCCATTTTGGACTAGTTTCTGATTGGTACATCGGCTATCAAATTCTCAGCGTATTAGTCCTAATAATAATATTATGATGTTGAGAATATCACCTGATACGTACTACTTGGGCGCTATATGCAATGATCAGAAGTTTTTCGGTACCGTCATTTGCTTGCGTGGCGCTCCCTCAGCTGTTTAAAGTTTTGACTATAGACATACCTTAGCAGACCAACCCCTAAGCCAGCTATCAACCTTCCAACTACCAAAATTATTATTTCTGTTGCGGCCGTTTGGAAAATGACTCCAATCTAAGCAAGACGTTGAATTAGTAGTTTTCACGCTCAATATAATCGGTGAGCATTTTCTAGGTATATTGGCATATACCGTAAATACTACAGAAGATATCATCAACCCGTGCTTTCTACCAAAGTAATCTGCGACTTGAGCAGATAGCAATGCTCCGAAGAACGTTCCAACAGATAAAATCGACACAATTAGCGACTTGTCGGCTGAGCTAATAAACTTCATCCTGTTTTCATCTTCGTCTCGGGCGAATTCTTTTATCCAATAGTCCATTCCTAAGATCCCGCCGATGGTGCCCTGCCGGATCACAGACATAATCAGAATACGACTTGAAGGATACCAATTTAAACCAGCAAATAATGGGTAGCTACAGTGTCGTATCCAAAGAGAATACCTATATTGACATCTAATTTAGGATATCTGTTAGATATTCTCAATGCCCGGGTGCATACGCATACCTCCAAATGCAACGAATAGGCCGATTGCTATTGCAACTCCAGCTGATCCACTCCCTTCTTTCTGGACCTGAAATCTGAAACCCGCCATTTTTATGTCTTAATTATCAGGGAAATGTATTTATTAATATTACGGTTTGGCTCTTAAAAATGGGCTTAGGGAGCACTCGGCATGGATACTAAAAGAGTGGAAACGTGAAGTGAATTTGGACGGCGGTTTTATATACCGGCTATCTTATCTTTCGAGGGAATATTGTGTTTGGCCGCTGGCACCCCGCATCGTGAAGTAGAAGAGCTGAGCGGCCTGAAAAATCTATCGGGATACTAAGAATCACCGAAACTGCAAATACCCGAGATACACATGCTTTTCATGATGTCAGAGGTGGAACATGAAATGTTCTCTTCTCGGAGGCTTCCTTGTGCACCCAGCATTGCAAGTTAATTCACTGATCATAAGATATTTCGAAACTGACGATGCATGTCGAAATAGAGTTTAAGTGGATGTTGGGCCACAATCGACCTGTCAAACTTTCCCTTCTATTTCGGTATTTCTACAGCTACTGTAACATAACGCAAGTCGCTCGTCAGTCCTACTCAATTTGGTTTCTCGAATATTTAGGGTAGAATAACTTAACACATTTTTCAAGTTTTGTATGTATCAAGTGTCGGCTGGGAGTTGTAAACCTCAGGGGTATCCAAATCAATAACCCGGAGTTCAATAGACATCTAAACGATTCAAAGTACCAAAATATAAAAAAAAAGAATTCAAACTATCAAAATTTAAAAATTTCCGCATGTTTAGGTACTTAGGTCATCATTGATCCTTAATTCCAAAGTGTGAAGTTCTCAGAATTATATAGGTTACACAAAATTTAGCGTAGGCACGAAGACTGTCACATGGTCGCTCCTCAACCCCGCAATTTGTATCACCACTCTGCTCCAATTTGCTTTCGGGGTTTCCTGAGAACTAACACGTATGATATGAGAGTTTCGGTTGGTTTTTTTTTGTATATCCTAGCTTGGCTTGTGCGCAATTCAAAGATGTCGACGGCCTTCGCTTTTTCGTTGACGTCCGCTTACAATTGTGCTAAGTTAAAAAAAATTGTGTTGGATTTAATAATGGTTCGTGCCAGATTAAGTTCAGAGATGAGGGCTGCAGGAAGTGAAGCTTGAGATTGAGCGATTGAAGCGGGAATCAATAACCTTTAGAATCACCGGATACCCGGATATCGATGTAATTAAGCTTTGGGCGGGGTGATTTGAGAGTGGGCCTTGATAAACTTTTAAGATCGGATATGATGTGATGGCCTACGCAGCCAGGGCGGCCCATAGCACAGCGCGCAAGTCAACCCTCGATCGATAACGCTATTTTTCGGCTCACAGCCGCACCTGGATCCGGCAACAAATTCTTCAACCCAGCCCGGAAGCGTCACCAGCTAGTTCCCGGCAGCAGCTCATTTTCCAGAATGATATGGGTATGGTACCATGGTTTGTCGATAGCGTACTTAAGATGGTTCTAGATTACCTTAAAACCCTTTTCATTTATTAGATATAGGAAGTTGAAATATCAATGCCCTACCTAAATTTATCGAGTGAATTTTACCCACCAATGCTACGACATTTAGTGCTCTCACAACCCTATTTGCGCTATTGTACCCCCCCAAATTACAACTGGACACGATAACAAGCTCCTTGGTTAATATACAGGCGCTTGAGGTTACTTGAATTGTCTAGCTTTGAAGAGCGAAGTATCCTACAATCCTAACCGCATCAATTCAAGGCTGCCACCCCTCATCTGCGCATCACATGCGTCTTTAAAGGCTGTTTTGGCGTTTTAGTTCATCTGTATACCATACGTACCTCGCGCCGATGTGAGGTGCTGAGATTTGTATCAGGTATTCTCGCGGCAATGGAGGTGCCAAAATCGAAATCGAGCGACACGGATAATATAAACCAGAAGGCAGATGTATTCGGAGTCGCTATCGTAGCGGTCTGTCTTGTTGTTCCGACAATCCTGGGCCGGATATATGTGCGGACTCGGGTTCTATATTATTTTGGCATCGACGATATATTTATGATACTCTCTGGAGTGTCAGTGGTAGCTGCAGCGACTTATTCGATATTAACGGTAACCGGTAAGCACGGCACGGCTCCTATATATATACATATTTAATTCAATAGTATAATTATATATTTTGACAGGGAAGATATAGTGCTGACGGAAAGGCTGACAGGGGGAAACTACGGAACCGGCCAGCATATGTTCGAAGTCAGTCGGCAAGAGTTGATAAATTTCTTCAAATCCGTATATATCTGGGAGGTTGGCTACTGTGTAGCCTTGCTTTTTATAAAACTATCCATTGTTACGTATTATAATCGTCTCCAACCCTCAAGGCTCTATCTTTTCACCTTGGTTGTTATTGTCACTGGCAGTACCAGTTTCCTTCTCACAAACATTCTCCAGTGTTGGCCGATATCTGCTGCATGGGACCCGGATGCATTACCGAATGCGTCGCACAGCGATGCGTGTATTAATGATACTGTTTTCGCGTATTGTTCCGCGGCTTTCAACATCATTACTGACTTCTGGATCTGGGCTTGTTGTGTGCGAATGTTAAGAAGTGAGTATCTGCGAGCCGCCCAAAAATAGTATACGTATATACATGTTGCTAATTCTTTTCTGTTTTCTCGGAAATTTTAGACCTCCAAGTCGCCGTCAAAAAGAAAATCGAAATTATGACTATTTTTTCCCTGGGATTACTGTAAGAACACCCGTGGACAAACTGCTTCCCATGATCAAGCGCAAGGGTCTCGTATATTGACATAATATCTACGAAGTGCATGTGGAGCTTCCATAGCACGTCTTTTCACAATACATAACTTCTATGGGACCTCAGATAAAACTTGGGCAATTGTCCCGATTATGACGTGCTCCTTCCTCGAACTCGCCCTGGCTATTGTTGCAGCCTGTTTACCGACACTCAAGCCAGGATTCAGTAAATTATCAAATTGGGCTCAAAAACAGCCTGCATGGATACGAACAGTCAAGTTCTGTTCGAAAATCCCAACATTGAACGGTCGAAGGAGGTCTGGTGGGTCGTCTATGCCTGGTCGCCGACGGAGCTCGAATACATCAATTGTTGCTATAGGGGTCAATGGAAAAGCCCATTCTGAGCCCGGGAGAGAGAGCCCAATGTCCAGAAGACTCTCCACCATTAAGAGCATGGTAGAGAGGGATAATAGGCCAAACGGCAACCATAAAGAACCGGCCTTATCAGAAATTGGAAGATGGGGTCTGAAGAATAACGACTTCTGCAGGCATTTAGAAATGCAACACGATCTCCCACCAGCGATACCAGAAATGCAGCCAGAGAGGAGTTTGAGCGAGCATTATCTAGGCAATGGCGGTCTCGTACCAAAGGGGTTACCATGAATATGAGCGTTGGAGCACACAGATAAGCTTTCGTTCCGTCGAGCTTTCCTCCCTCATTTAGCTTCGATTTTGTAGTTCAAACATGATGTAATTTATATATAATATGACATATCGATACCAGAAATGTACATGTATATTCATCGTTAAGTCGTAGGTGTTTGGCTGGAGGGGCTCCTTCAAATTTCGTAGCTCGAATCAAGCATATTAGCAGATCGAACGATACCAGTGTCTAACGTATGGAAGCGTTACGTAGTATGCAACTGAAACTCAGAATAGATGTCCTCTAGGTAAAGCTACAAATATTATTTCAATCGCTGTTGTGATCCCAAAAGAGATAATAGCATTCTGCACAATCATACTGAGCTGAAGGTGCCGAATTTCCGGGTCCTTCACAGGTACTCTCTATTTTAATTGAGGTTCTAGATGTTAGTGTGTACACACGGATAAGTTTGGCTCTTTTGAGAGCTAATTGATTTTGGAAGGAGGCATCTCTTACCTTTTCGAATACTCTAGATAGGATTGGCCTGTTGTCATATTCTTTGACGAACCAACGGATCCTTGTCTCCTCATCTTTGACTTTTCCTTCGAGCTCCGCATCTATTTCTGATATACCTACTTCAATTTCACTCTTTCCGCCCCCTCCAGCCTCAAATGACTCCCTATCATCGACAGCATATACTTCCCAGGGCGATAAATTTCTAGCTATTCCAAGTACTACTAACAAAAGACATAATCCTCTTCTTGCATTTGCTATAATGTTCAAGCCAGGGAATAGGAATACGTATGTTATGAGACGATACCACCTAGACAACCGACTTAATGTAAGGAGTATGAGTGCGAATATCGACAAGATGGTCAACGTGAACGCAATGACTGATATAAAGCTTAATCTTGTATGAGTTGCATTTGATAAACTATGCCGTATGAAAGAAGGATGGGCTGTTGATCGAAGGGAAAGCTCAATAGATATAAGGGCAGGGATGAAAGCGGATGGGTGCGTGGTTCGATTGAGTGCAGCTATAGTGGCTGCTTTTTCTTTGGCAGTGAGAGGTAAGAACAAAGGAGAATTAGGGACAAGGTAAAGTGAGCTAACTCGATCGACCTCTGCGCGGAAGGGCTGTATTGTGACTAGGCGATTCGGCCAAGAATGAAAAATTAGCTGACAAATTTAAACAATACCAATTTATTGCAGCCTGGATGTTTACATGGTTGAAGAACAATATCATCCCCAAAACCAACTTGTGAAAGATCTGCCTTAGAGCTGTTATTCGAAGACGGATAATTGATTGAGGTTTGTGAGCTAGAATCGAAGTTCAGGACCGGAGATACATTTTCCCAGGGTGGCGAAAGCGATTTCTCTGTACTGGTGAGGCTAGTTTCGAATCTTTTACTATAACGCCTGACCCAAACAAAGAATTGTAGTGCATCCGCATGATCATTCATGTTGCTGAACCGTAGGTATCTGCTAAAGTCTTCAAGAGTACATGGCTAGGCCTGGTCAGCTCACAAAGTTAAGGTGTATGCTAGTTATTCCTCAAGTAGCCATTTAAAATGTATCAGGCTAATATTGACGTACCGCCGATGTGTACCCACTAACGACTCTATCAAATGATAGTTTTGCTGGAATACCATCGATTTCGGGACAAATCCCTTTTTCGCAAGATGTTATAGTGTCGAAAGTTCCATTCGAACAGGTACTGGTCGGGCGACGATAGAACAAATCTAACATCTTGTTGTTGGATCGTAAAGACACTAAATACAATCAAATAAAGCACTTGAGAAAGCTCAGATCAAAATTTAAGAAGGCCTTGAAAGGCCAGATACCAGCCTGATATTTAGGGACGATTTGAACCCCATAAGTTGTAGCGGGATACCCTCTCCTTTATATTTGTTGCACGCGTGAACCCAAATTTGATAAGCCCACACCAGCTGGTACCAGTATTGCAGCGTTCAACCTAACTAGTTAATCTGCAGGATTTTTGTGACGAGGGCATGGCGGGGTGCGTTTAAAATTTTATTTTATTTTATTTTATTTTTTGGGGGGCCAATGTTCATCACAGAAAGTGTGAGGGTTTGGATAGCTCCAGATCTCAAGGAGGGGGGTGCTCGCTGAGGTGGGTGGAGATTGACAGTATGCCCACCAATCATATTGGCACGAATCAACGCCACATGTCAAAGCACGACACAGAATTTCAGCCAAAAAATGGGTATTGCCGACCCTAGCTTGACATCCAACACGTTCAGCCGACATGTAAACTTCTGTTTGCCTAGCGAGATCTCAGCCAGCCCGTCGACCAGCTGACGAACAACTGACAAAGCCCGCTGCGCATGGTGGAATTCTCTATTTTTTTTAAAAAAAAATTTGAGGTTGTCCCGGCCGTCGGGGGACATGCAGACATGTACTCAGTAGCCATCAACCAAATGCGGGGAGATCCGCTCCAAACTCGCTTGGGCTGGGTCCCGCCCGGCTCTTTAGATATATCGATAAGGATGCGCATCGCGTCGACGCATGGGCCCCTGCTGAAAGCTAGGTTTTTCGAGTTTATAAAGGATCGTCTGCTGTAGCCCCCAGTTATAGTAGCAGTTAACTTGTTGGCTTGGTCCGTCGTAGCATGTGGTTTGCAGCCGATGCGGACTATTAACCCATTATGGAATCTTGATGTTCCAAAATCCAGTAAATTTAGTCCAGGGTCCCGGGACTAGTCCAGAGCCATATCTTTCAGCCAATACACAAAATATCGATTTCAGGGAACATTGTGCGTCCATTGCTATCGTATTAATAGCTACTTAGCGGCCTAGCACTGTGAATGGGGGGTATGTAGAATAACATCTTCTTCGTATCCCTTGATTCAAGGATTGGTTTCAGGTGCCTCGAGCAAGCCATTCGATAACATGAAAACTAACGTATTATGAATATTCAAATTCTTGAACAAGGCGCACAATATATGACTCGGGGAACCTTTTTTTAAGTCTATCGCAAGTCTAGAGTTTTATCAACGTGCACAAATTCACTGCTAAGTTAGTCTAGCCTTGAATCGAACATTATTGAGCGCTTGGTAATTCTTCGATTTTAAGATTTACATTCAGATACACGAAGATACATTAAGAGGCAAGCCCAACCACAGACTTCAAGTAAATTTACTGATTCCATATCCAAGCTGTATCTTAGCACACCAATCCAGCTATAATATCAAATCCGAAGCTTCTTTTATGATAAATCATAGAATTGAAATAAATGTAATACAAAACCTGAAGTAGAATAGATCCAATATATTAATATATACATAGCCCACGTCTTTGAACATTAACATTGACTGTATATTCCTTTCCGGCAACTTAATTACTCATAAGACTAACGTTATAACTATCTATTCACTGATATCAAACTCCTTTTGATAACTATATTACAATGGTTGTTATATACAAAAGGTTGTGCACTCCAAACTTTATTGGATATTTACAGAGATTGATCAAGTTAAGGTGAGGCAACGAATGAGTCAACCCGAAACGGACAGTTTTCTGTACTATTTTCGAGGACTGCCAGCACAATCCATTCGCTTTGGTCCTGACTCCAACGAGTTCTCCCAATAATCCGTATATTCACTTCATTGAAAGACTGCCATTTGAATGCGACCACTTCATCGTAAACTTTGCCAGCCAAGTTTTCGGGGGCGGCCGGAATGGCTTTTCGACCTCTGAACATTGGATCAAAGACTCCATCACCATCCTTATATTTATTATCAATGGCGGCAGCAAGCTCATAAGCTCTGAGCGCATAAGCTCTGCAAGGGACACTCCGATCCTCCTTCGCACCCGCCGGTGTCGCCAATGTCGGATCGTACTGCAACAACACCATAATTCCACGAGCACAGAACATTGGTGTCGCTATAATCCTGTTCAGAGGGTTCTTTGCGAAATCAGGGTCAGGATCAACAGGCGTGACTTCTTCTTTGCAATATTCCCCTTTTAAATATATCTCTGTAGTATTCCAGCCCTTGCTAAGCGTGTTTTCGACGAACTGAGTGTATCCAATGTCAAGGCGATCTCCCCAATGATCCTCAAATATGTTATCGTACCAGTTGTGGTACTGGTTTGTGTTACCCTTCGGCTTATCAAAATCTCGTAGGGCGTGAAAGTCGAGCACCGCAGGATCCTTTTTGTCCTGTGGAGATCGTGGAGTCTGTAGTCCCAAACTTTGTAGTTAGCTTATGTGATTTTCGAATATTGGTTTAAGACACGAGATCAAGAAGACGGAAACCTACAGGCGGCGCTGCCGCTATAAGGGTAGCCCAAATAGAAGCTACAAACGGTATGACCTTCATTTTCGAAATTTCCTGTGCGAAAAGAAAATAGAATGACCTATTAGGAAATTCAAATGTATGAACACCCAGAACTTAAGTGAAGATATAAAAAGGCCAGTCCTTAGGTAGGTACGTTAAATTCAAGAATTCGGTGGATCTTTGTTGTAATATACTTTAGCAGAAATCAGAGACTTGTGAGCTCTGGCCAGGTTGGTATATTTTTATATCTTGCTGAATTTCGACAATTAATGCACATATAGGAGGCTTGACCATATAACAAGTACTTCTTACGTATAAAGCTAGCAGTATTGATATTATCTCTACATTTCCTACTCATGTCGGCAGTATCTTTATCGATGCCATGCTGTGAAATTCCCGGCCATCCCAACGTTTGAATGGTGTGCTCGTGCTTGAACTTCTGGCGCGAAGTGCGACTTCGAGCAATTTACAATACCTGTTTGAGGAGCTATACCAACCCATAGATGTTGGATCCAGCGGCCCCTGGAGCTTCGCAAGGGTCGTGCCGCGTGAGGCCCACTAGTCGGTCGTAGTGCGGGACTTTTTAATGACCTAGTCTTCGTCCATGCATATATCGAGTTGCTTCGGCAAAGCAGGATTTGCAACTGGCCTTGTTTCACACTATTAACGTAAGCTCATGGCTAATGGCGAAGGATTCTGACCGATGAAATCCAACATGTTAGTTAGTACGTTAACAGCGACATAAAACGGCTGTCAAGAGCTCATGTGTAAAATAACCAACCCAACTAGCAATACCGTTGGTTTGACATCCCTAGCGAGTCTGTCACTCCCATGATCCAGTTCGAATACGCAGTATGTATACTTTAGCAAGATTTGGCACAGTGGTTATGAGCTGGGATGAGAATACGCATTCTAGGGTGTTTTTGATGGATGATTGCCACTAAATTAAAGCGCAAGGACCAACTGGATCTAGATTTCATTTTAGGCCTCCTTGTAGAAAACATCCAACGAGAAAACTAGATTTATACCAGATGCAAATCTAGTACTCCCTCAGGTACTAGGGAAATAAGTTCTTGCGCGGCCAATCAATCCTAATTGTTCCAACATTTTGGGTGTAAGCAGCATTTTTTACATATTTCAGGCCCGAAATTGAAATGATCTAGTTGATGGATTGAAAGCGGGCCGGGGCCCGTGAGTAGATCGATTTCAGAGTATATTGATTTCAGGTTATGGGACGCACAGAGATCCCTCTATAGAAACCACTATTATGTTAGGCAAATACTATAGCGTGCATTCAAACTCAGCTCAAGCTTATGATTTCTTTATCAAAGTGTAATCTCGTTACATGTATACTGTAAAATTCATTGATGCAATGGAGCTAATACAGTTGGATGAGTGATAAATAACGTCATACAAATTTCAAGTACAAGATTTTCGCCATTGTGAACAAGGCCTTTGGCTTGTTCGGTAAGCCTGAACGAGCTATTTTAAATGTTATTTCCTTCCGCCTAATTGGTATTTCTGAGCCGTGAAATTTCATCTAGGGATCATTTAGTGTTATATAGAAACCGGGGGCTTATCAACTTAAGCTATCGTGCCGGCACTATCACAAATGCATGGTACTGAAGAACCCTCCACAAGATTAGGATCCTGAACGATAGACAATATGATATCGGAGGCTCAATAATCTCGAAAGAAAAGGAAACTAGTGAAGCAGCCCTACCAAGGCGAATTTGTAGCATCCTAATCTAACGGCCATGCTTTTGATCGATTTTTTAGTTTCGTTGAATAATTATCTCTCGTTAACAAACATGCACATCAGAAATATTAAATACCCTATATATATTTTGTAGCAGAACTATGGGCTAAGCTGCCTATATAATTCTTAGGTGTGTTTTGGATGATAAAACGGAAGATGAGTGGGGAAGGAAGGGAGGGTGGATCCTGTAATATATAGATAGAGATCAATAGGAGATCTCTAACATTGGACGGGTACTCGATTAATCACTAACTAGGGGAGCATCAAAGCATCGACCCGAACTCCATAGATCGATCACCGGTGTGCACCACGATGACGGCCGAGGTCAGAGCTTCACCTTGAGAGTGCTTTGCCCGTGAAAAGTTCAATTTAGCTAGGCTAGAGTCGAATAATAAGCGCGAGGGTAGTAGAGTAACGCGAATAGGGATTTTCGATCGATGCATGTCATCGCCCGGCGATTCGATTCCACGGATTAATCCTCTTCGAAGCGTTAAAACTTGGGTCTTGCCATGATATATATGTATTGTTAAGATATAAACTGCTAGATACAATGGGCCGTTTATAACAGAACATAAGGCATAAGAACCGGCGAAAATGCTCGAGATCAATCTCGTCGCTTCGTAGAATCACCATCGTTTTTTCCAATTGAAGTCTAGCTATCAATATCGCTATCAACTTGCCGAAGCGTTTTAATACAAGACTACTCGATTACAAGGTACTTCCAAAGCAGTCTCGTAACGAGACGACTTCCAAAATCGCTTATAAATAACACCTTGATTCTATGTTGTTCAAATGCATTCTTTCGATTCTAATTCAAAAATCCGAGATAGCTATATGGTCATACAAATGTCAGTATAAATGCTAGAGTAGTGTATAATGGCCGAGCATTTCGAGTTCAGAAGCTCCCGAGGAATTGGGAAATTTTTAAAAGCATGAACTGGCGAATATTCAGAACACCGAAACGCTGATCTCAAATGGCAAATGGTGGATTTAGAGAATATCGGGTAAGTGCTTCGTCATACCTTTAAGCTGAAAACAGCTTATCAGAGCGTCACACTAGGGTTCGCAGTTGCAATCCAAGATATTACCGCACCCCAAGTATACGACATAAGAGTTTCGTCCCAGTTTCGGACGGCCCAGCTAAACCCTTTATGAGATACCCCAGTGACGGCTACCGAGTATCTGAAGGGACGTGAGACATCCCGATCAAATCCCGTTAACCCAATGAATACCTTTGGAGGCTGCTTTTTTGGAAACTTCCACTTTGTGAATTGTACAGTTCCAGTGAAAGTCGGCATTGATGCCGCGGGCCCGGACTTCGAAGTAACCTCGAAAGTGCCACAATCAAACCTCATGGAGTCTTTTGGAACTGCGATCCAAGTCGCTTTTGCATCGACTAAAGGGTTGGTACCCGTGGCCATCTTTGGGTGAAACCCTTGTTGTCCGATTCCTGAAGTTTTGCGCCAGATCTTTGTAAATACTTGTTTTCATTACACTAGATTTATGCGGATTGAAGACTGACCTATAGTCGACGCCCTGACCCTGCGCGGAGCGTTGGGACGGAACGCAAAGGCATGTAGGAACATCAGTATGTCTGGTGGTATAGAATAAGGCCTTTCGAAGAAAACATCCGGCAATTCTGTCCCAACTACTGACGAAGGCTATTAGCACCGCATACAAGTATTAGCAAAGGTATCTAATTATCTAAATTTGGTGATCCGGTCGTGGTCACTCACCCCTGTGCCTCTCGTTAACCAGTCTATCACCCCAGATTGTAGATCCGGGTCATCGTCCGCAATATCCAACATCCCAATCTTTATACTTCTCATGGCCATTTCAGAGTTTGATTTTGCGGTCACCTCCAGCTGATTTGCAGCAAGGGGGACAGCATTCAGTTTGAAAACTGTGGCAACTTGTGTATTAGGTCTGTGGGGCCCTAGTGCTAGCCTTTGGATCGCAAGAACTGTGGTTTTGGAGCCCACATGGCGGACTACACTCGTTGCCAGTTCTTCGTGGGCTCGCGCTATCTGAAATGCGTACTATAATTTTAAACAGTTTAACTGTTAGAGTTTCGTGTTGTTGGTGTTATTACAACAAGGTTGCGCAATTAATTATCACAAACCTCAAACTCGAGGGCGTCTTGGATTCCCACTCCAAGATTTTCTTGCGGCGTAGAGGGTTGGGCTGGAAGAAATCCCGACCGAATACTGTTGGCATCGTCGTACGAAGGGGGTAGCAAGGAATCGTCTTCTTGAAGGGGCAGCCGCGGCGCTGCTGCTAAGAAGACGCTAGCCTTCGAATTACCATTCGCCGTGTCTTCCTGGGAAGGGGTAGCGGCGCTTGACGAGCCCTCGCCATTCCAAGAGGACATGTTCGGAATCGGTTGCTTCCCTGACGATCCAGGCGTCGACGACATGGTGCGAAAATTTCTAATTGATCAAATTTGCAATTTGCAGCGCTGCGAAACTTGAAGTTGGTGAGCTCTTTGATGAAGTATTGGCCTGGAATATTGTAGTCCTGGGTCTAGAATATGCTTGGATATAGATCATGTAAATCAAGGAAAACTTCAAATATCGTTGGCCTCGACCGGTATCCAACTTATATGCCATGGTTTCTACGCGAATTAAGGATCAGCACCGTCGGCATGTTTGTCGCCAACTAGATCCGGAATCAGCCCGGTCCATGGTGTTAACCTGGTCGAATCCGCAGCCTCGTATTTCATTCAGCAAACGAGTAGCTGTTCCGTCATAGTTGACTTATCCCTGCAATTTTTCGCATACTTGCAAGGCAGTTTCCTATCTATACCACTATTTGAAAGACGTATAAGGCAACTTAACTGCCTTACAAAGATCAACTCAGCTTTTATGCCTATCATGGCCAATGGGCATACATATTTGCGCAACTTTGCCGCATTTGTCGGCGGTGTCGGCACTAGTTAAACATTTTGCGACTGGTCGTAAAGCAGAGCCTCAATTGTATTCACAATCATAATCCAAACGTAAGCCCTCCGTCCATAAAACCAAAGCGTTGAGTTATAACGTTAGCTATAGTTGCGCTACTTACGCACCGGAACCGATTTGTGCTATAAACCCGCGAACATTATCGACTATAACACAGTCGAATCCCACAAAACATCAATCAGTATATTGGATCGTACGATCGAGACCAATTGAACCGCATGCAACACTAACCGCAAGGTTTTGGATTCGATAATGGCACAACCTAAGCGACCAGGGTAAGTCACCTATAATAATAATAGGGCTACTTCCACTCCTCATCTTTCGCCACTAACGGGCCACAACTCCAGTATTTCCCCCTAGCTCGGTTGGTGATGTTAGATCGGTCTCGTTAGATAGAAAGATGGCAGCAATGATACGCCTATGAGGTGTTTAAATCTAAGTTCATGCGCCATCATGTATGTGCCGCGCCTCAAGACTGTTACAAAATAGATAACAAATATAGGGCTGGCGCCGCCTGCAGGCCTAGGCACTAAGCTGTATTGACTCAGTATGTCGCAATTGTCTTAATGTATTTAAGTACCATGGCCTAGAGATTACGAGAATTGAGATCGCATGCATATATACGGTATCTAAGAAATTAGAAAGTCTCTCAAAATTCTGAGCGATATCGCGATATCGAGAACATGCAGAATCAAATAATACTAGCGATCAGCTTACTTTGCACCTTGGGTCTATCAATTGGCCTTTCTAGTAATGGTGGCTCTAAGTTCGAGTATAGTTCCCATGCCCTAAAAGAACGCGCACCAGACACCGCGCCTTCCAAAGAGCTGTGGGTTTTCGCTGTCAATTCTGGGCATGGGAAAGACCCAGCTATTACAGATATTGACAATTATATTACCTCCAAACTAGGGTCTAAGGAAGCGAGTTTGAAGGATAATAAGGTTCTGGACATTGACGGCAATCTCTTATGGTTCTATGCGGAGGTGAATTTAGAAGAAGCACAGGATATTAAAACTAAATGGGATAAAACGGCAAGCTTCTAGATCGATTCCCACCTGAAAGCTTAATAAAGGCTAATTGATTGTCATAATTATAATATTAAGATATCGAATATAACACCATTTAAGAAGTTCGATGTACCTATCGATACCGGTATCACCGGGACTGTTGAACCGACCACGCTAGAAGACACTGAGCCATCGCGGCGCGTCAAGCGCGCACCAGAAGCTCGACAGGCCCGACCAGAGCTTTGTGCATTATCTCAGGACCCGAGAACAGATGATATCACGGACCCATGTGATTACGTTACTCATGAGACTCAAGGCTCAGGAGTCACCGTTTACGTAGTCGGGTTCGGCGCAGATTTAGATCACGAAGTGAGTTCTACACTATTTTCAATATTTTTATTCATTTGAAAACCGGACAACTTGGATTTTTTCGAGAGACACAATTTAAAACCTTGTACTTAAAATTTTGGTACAGGAGTTCAAACATTTAGACAGTAAATCTGTACAGTTCATCTTCGCAGATTCAAAGAATAATCACAAAAGGGAGGACTGGCCGAATCCCAAACGTGTGAACTATGGTTTTGGAACCGCAGTTCTCAGCAAGCTTTGCGGGTTACAATACGGTGTTTCCAGGAAAATTACGCCAATAATTGTCAAAATTACAGATCAGGATGGAAGCCTCAACTTTTTTAAGGTGGTCCAAGGATTGATGAATGTTTATGCCGACGTTATCTCCAAATCGAAACGAAATCCCGAAGCAAATTTCATCATTCTTGACACTTTAAATCCGAACGATTCTCCTAATCTCGCTGCAAACCCCGACATCAAAAATGCTTACATTCATATTATAAAAAAGCTGTCTTCTATGGACAACGTGATTGTCGTGGTGGGTGCGGTAATTCAGACAATCGAGGTACTGTCCCCCAATTCTCCACGTGGGCAATTCCTCTAATTTCCTCGAATTCCTTCCAGGGCCAAGGAAAAACCTATTCATTTCCAAGTCGACTAGGGAGAACCCCAGCAGAATATCCAAACCTTTTGGTAGTGGGCGGCGTAGACACTTCCTATAGAGCAATTGAAAATGCTGAAAGCTGGATTCAAATTTTTGCCCCTGCTGTTGATATCAAAGTAGCAGCGAGGCCTCCATTCCTCTATGCGGCCATGAACGGGACACCTCTAGGTTTGTCCAATTTTTCTACCCTAAAGTTCACCGACTCAGCGATCTTCTTCGTTTCCATCACTAGCAGGTACTAACTTCATGAACTTGGGGCCCACAGCAGCAGCAGCTGTAGCAGGAATACTCGCCACGTTCATGTCCCTGGGGAAGATAGGAAGTCAACAAGCACTAGCACAACTCTATAAACTCGCGTATAAACGCGGGCCCACAAAACTTCACACGCGGGTCGTTTACAATGGGGTGTGGCAGCACACCGCCAATAGCATCAATTCTAATAACCCCGCGGTGGACCATGCGGGGTGGGATCAATGGGAATATGACGCTGAGTTTTGCAGGCATTGTACCCGAGGCAGCGACGGGGAGGTGATTCGCCATGTCCTTTGGGTGCCGGAGGATTGTCCATGTCCGGAGGCTAGTAGCTCAAGAGGTCGAAGTACACGCTGAATTAGCTACGCTGAGCTCTAAAGCCAACATTAGATGGGCTAAAATTATTCCAGAAACATCTAACTTCGCCGCCGCCTTCAGTTTTAGTCGGTTCAAAAGTTCAGGCCTTAGGAATCAGTAGTGCCGGGTATGAGCAAGGTGAACTTTGACTACTCCCTTGACTTCTGTTTTCTTTTCTCTCCCTCGCTTTCCTTTGGTATAGTTTATGTTAAAAATAAAAAATAAATAAAAATCCATTTTTCATGCAGGATCTATTGTTAAATTCGAGTCACTAGCTGAGTAAAATGTGATATTTCGTGGACCGGCCCCGTGTGTTGTCTGGTTTGGCCCAGATATTTCCAACTGGAATTTATCTTCGACCAATACAATTCGCTGTCCATATTACGAGTTTGATTGTACACATTATAAGAGGGATAGTCTCAAGTTTGTTTACCAGTATACCCCCCGAAGAAATCTGAAGGTCTGTCCCTAAAATTGATACACATATATGCGAGTACCGGTTCATATTTCTCTCAAAAGCTGAAGCTCAGAGTCGCTTCTTTTCAGGCCTCGCCTACCACCAAGTTAATATATGTGTGTCAAGTTGGAGTTTAATTGTTGGATTCGCGCATGGAACTTTGTGCAACCAGAGATATTCTCTGACCGAACCCGAAACATTCCTTCGAATCGCATTTCAAATTTCGAGGGCTTTAGACAATCTAATAACACTAAAAACGACTTTCTCGCTGGAATCTTGGTACTTACCTTAATACCCTCGAGCTTAGCTCTGGCCTAGTTCCCGGTCAACCGCGAATTCAGTGGCGGAGATGCCCCCCCCCCAAAAAAAAAAAAAAAAAAATACAGCAGAATTCCAGATATTTAGGTCAAATCTTTAAAATCAAAACCAGCCTGACCTATACGTAGCGTCAATATTCGCCGAACTTCCGAGATGATATGTGAACTTTAAGTTCTAGTGCTCCGGTCGAGAAATGCTGAGTTTAGACAACCAACTTGATAAGGGGACATTATAACCAACTTGCGTTTATTTTTTGCTAAGCTCGTGCTACAGGCCCCTCTAGTTCATATTGATGCCAGGGTTCACTTACACACCGGGAAACCGAAAGCTGCTTTATAGATGTGAACACATATGAATATCATCCCAAGACTTTCGGAAGACATGCATATTTTAATCTCAAACAAAGTCGAGTTGTGATCTCCAAACTATACTATCTGTCATACGTCTGATTTTAATCTAGCAGGTTTGCTTGAGTAGTATTTTTATTTATATCATAAATAAGACGGGTAGTTGATACAATTGCGTGAGCTGTCCTTCGCAATTGTGTTTGCCCATCATATGTATATCAGTTCGGCCGTCGTTAACATATTGAACTTTCAATTACGCACGCTAAATAGTTTTCAATGTTGCCCTCCAAGCCTAAGCTCGGGTCTTGGGTGTCAAGAACATTCTTTTGTTGCATTTTACTAGCCTTCTATTCCATCGTTGAGACATATAGCGAGTCTGCTCCTCTCGACCTGAAAGATGCACGATTCCGTGAAGCGGGTGCTACCGGAAACTCATCCTGGTGGGTATTTAAAACAAAATCCAGCACAGAGAGAGCGAAAGTTATAAACGGAATATCCCAGTATATCGGTAAAGGAACTGCGGCAAACTCGGACATATATCTATCCCAAGCGGATTGGGTTTTGAACAATACAGACGACGCCTCAAAATTTTGGCTGAGATGTTCTAAGGAGTAAGTTACGAGTGTTCAGTCGATGTCTTATATAGTCTTGGCCTCCGGTGGAAATTTTCAGGGGACAACTGCTAAGAACTTTGGATAGGGTGGCCGAGAGAATTAAAATTGAATGGGATGTCACAGTAAGTTCGTCAACCGATAGCTTATTCTCTAAGCCTATGTAACCGTACGTATACATATCTAGGTACTAATTTGATGTTCCGCATTGATTAAGATCCAAGACGTATCGAAATCCCCCGAGCGGGAAAATAGCATAGACTTTCAGAACTCGACCTTTTTCGAAGCTCAAAATGTACCAGGCGACCTAAAATATCAAACTAAACATATACAAGAGAAAAGATCAAGAGGCAGCAAAGTTAAGATCAAAACGTGGAAGAATGACGTCCTAGAGAACTGCATTATATCTCAATACGACGAGTATCCACTTACACATCCATGCAACTATTATACAACGGCGGCTCAGGGTGAAGGCGTCACCGTTTACATCGTCGATCATGCATTCGCAATTTATCACCAGGTCCGTTTGCGAATACTGCACCGTCTAACTACTTCGTTTCGCCTAGCATGTTGGTATTATGTCCATGCTTATACCAACACTAGGGCAACAGATTGATTTACTCCCTATTTGGAAGTACTAACAGAGCCCTACAACTAAATTATAGGATTTCAAACATGTGTCGTGGGGTAAATCTAAAGATCACATTTTCGCCGACGAGAAAGATAGCCTGCCTAGTTGGTTCAATTTCCGGAACTCACCTTTGGTACCAAATATAGTGGATGAAGAAACTCTCCCACTTCTACGGGGAACAGCAGTCTTAAGTAAACTGCTTGGGAAAGAATTCGGAGTCGCAAGAGGAGTGAAACCGATCCTTGTCAAGACTTCTGATCGTTTCTCAAGTCTCGAGCCTGATACAGATCACATTTTCAGCGTCCTCCCAAAAGTGTTACTTGATATTAAACGAAAGTCCGCGAAATTTGATGTTTCGAAAAGAGAGGCACCAAAGTTTATCGTCCTGATAGCAACAGACTACGCATTTGAAAGAGGGTCCACACCATTTGGATTTCATGTGAGACGTTTAAGTCAGCTCATTCAAGAGCTTAGTGAGATGCCCAATGTCGCCGTTGTCACTTCTGACGGCAATCACTTTTCCGTCGCCCAAGCTCCCACTCCAGGAGATATTCCCGAGGTATGTATTCACATATTTTGTGATGATACTCGCATTGCTTTCAAAAGTGTATTATTAGTCGATAACCTTTAAGAAATGCTGCGTTGCCTCGAAAGATCTTAAAGTGATTTTTGCTAATGAAGAGCACATAGGCGGAACCTATTATCTCCTACCCGGGTATCTTTGGACAAGAGAGTAAAAGATTTCCCAACCTTGTCGTTACAGGCGGCACCCACCCAGGGAACGGCGAACTAGTATCTCGGTATTCAGACTTTATACGTATATCAGCTCCCTCCGTGGATATCAATGTCGCAGTTCCAGATGGAGGTAAGTCATGGGGTGGGAAAAAGTACACCAAGGCCAACAGTACCCCTCTCGGTAAGCGCGAACTCGAGCCCTTCAAGTCGACTAGTTTGGTATACTTTGAATTTACTCAAGGGTGGCTGATGGCCTGCTCTCACTTAAGTTTAAGATACACCAAGAGCTAATGAGTATTCGGTTAACTGGCTTAAACTTTGTAGCTGCGGCTGCTATCACAGGAGTATTGGCGACTTTAATATCCGCTAAGGATTATACAATATCCGAAGCAATAGCGCGAGTCTACAAACTTGCATACCCAAGACGCCGTGAACCAAGCCCTTTTAATGACACCAGAGTCTTTCCAAACGTTGTTTATAATGGCTTGAGTCTACTTACAGCGGAAACAGTGGAGTTTGGAGATGAGAAAGGATCTGGAGATGAGAAGGGATCTGGGGATGAGAAAGGGCACGGAAATGAGGTCAAAGAAGCCAAGATAGCTACAATTACGGTCACGGTTCTCCTACCAAGACAGCAGTGCGTGATATTAAGGCGGGCGGTAACCACAGAGGCCCTCCAAAGCACCTCCGGAGTAGCTACTCAAACGATAACAGTATGTGAGCGTGATAAAATGCCAGAAACAACATTTTTAGCTGTAAGTAGTACGGCCACCCTTATCACAACATCAGCCACTTCCCCACAGCCATCTGGAAATACACATACATACGATGCTGCTTTCTGCAAGGAATGTTTGGACTCCAATGGTGTTACGCCAATACAAGGGGTCTTATGGATTCCTAAGGATTGTCCTTGTAAGAAAGAAACTAGGTAATCGGGAGTTTTTTGGCCCCCATTTCGACTACCATATTATGTCCTGAACTCGAATTTACTGCTTTTATATATAATATCGATATATATATATCTCCCGATTGTAGTGAATATATATAGCGTGTTGTGGCTCATACTTTGCAAAAGATCCCGACAAAAATCCCAAAGATTCTGATATAAATAAGTTCTCAACATTGTTTCTCGTCTCAAATCCGACCGATGCAAACGCTGCAAGTCCCGGGTATCACTCAGAGCTATAATTAACTTGTTTTCCTGTATAAACTTTTATCATTTGGGCAAACTAAGCGTATATGTCCAATATATAGCCGCATGAGAATAAACGTAAACTCTCCACCAATATCCTAAATCAAAACCCAGCAGCTAAATGTTGATATCTATGATTTCCATACGATGTAAAATTTATAATACAGCATAGAAAGATGTTTCTCATACCCTAGTAGAATTGGTCTCATAAACTGGTTGGGTGTAACTGCGACCGGTTTCAAAACCCGTTGTGTAAAGGTAATCGCATAAACTACATGCACACTCTGGCTAGAGCATCAAAGGATGCCATAACTACTCGTAAATGCTTTTGTAAGAGGCTATGTTAATTACAGGCTGCAACGGAATAATTCGTTGTCGGAGCCAGAGCCGGGCGACTATGCTCGACTGTCTATAGGAGGGATCCCTAATATAATAAACAAAGGTGGTTTCCTTAGTACCAGACAGCACGAAGTCCATTTTTTCGGTCGGAGCGTGGTATTTTGTAGCCTCGAATCCCGTCTGGATACGGGACTACCAATGGCTAGGTCGACATTTAAATAAATGTTTGGGTGTGATTTTCAAGTAAGGATCTAGCTTAGTAGTCATATACTTCCTAGATTTTACCGGACTTTTACCAGCTGCTTTAGTACCTCGCATCGTTGAATAATATATTAATATCTCAAACCCATAAATCAATCTAGTCTTGTCTTAAAACGCTTCGGCACGCTGCTGAGGATCGATCCACCATAATAAATGATATTGTCGTAAAAGTTGATATTATTCTCTTTTAACGCCAGGGGAAAACAAGAACTTATATGCGAATGATGCCAGACAAAATGTTTGCTCGAAGGCTATACAATATGCTAATGCCAATGAAAATGCTTAACAAACGAGAATGAATAGAGGACGACAATAATTAAACCCCTCAAGAACTTTAAAACCCTTCATTTTTTTTTTCTTTGCCTCCCACACTCGCTCAAGAAGCTACTATCAAAATATAAAAAGCGAAATATGAAAATAAGAGGAGTAGTTTAGATCCACCCTCAGCGTATCACACAAAAACCACTATAGACATTTACAAAAGCATGTGCAAAAGGGATGCAAGGACTGCACCACCCAAAGCACCGCTAACTGCTAGTCTTGATCCAGAGTTAGGCATCTTGGAGGTTTCAGGGGCCGCGGAAGTCTCGCTAGCTGGGGCGGAAGTATCAGTGGTTGAAGGGCTTTCAGTCTGGGCCTGAGGTTCGAAAACTCCTTTTATAGGCTTGGATTCAGTGTCTCGGACTAGAGCAAGGAAACTCTCGATAGCGGCCATCTTTTCGCCATAACCGGATCCCTTTGTGGCATCATACTCCAATTGATCCCACTTGAATCCACAGTCGCCATCACCGTTGCAAGACTTGGCGGCAGCTCTGGCAGAGTTGGAGATCTGGACCTTCATTACGAGATTCAAATCGTTATATCTCAACGCAACGGCAAGGGAACGGAAGAGGATGGCTTTCCCTGCTTTTTGGTCGACAGTACATTTATTGTCGTATTCGCAACCCGCTTCGTTGACAACCTGAGATCTTCCGTCATCGACGTATTGCTGAGGACCGAAGTAAGCAGAGCTGGTGTAATGTACCAATGCGGAGAGACGGTCTAGCCAAGTATTGGTTGTGGTCTATTTTTGATTGGGGAAGTTAGTTAGAGCCACACAGGTAGATTTGAAGATTCAAAGATATTTAAAACCCCACCTTTGCGTACATAATAGCAGCGCCGTAGACATAGTTGGCTTGTTGAGCGGAATAGTAGGACTGATCGATCTGTTGGCATTTATCCTTTACTGAAGCACCAGCGAGGACTTGTCCGACGTTGTTGGTGTCCAAAGTGCCGATAAGCTTGGTCTTGGTGGTCCAATCGTAGACCTTATTCGCCCAGTCCAAATATGTCTTGTTCCCAGTGTTAAAGCCTAGACGGGCAGCCAATTCAAAGAAAATACCATTGGAGTTGGTATCCTTGAAATCGTAACGATCATCACTGGCTTGGATAGCCCATCTAAGACCACCACCACAAGCCTTGTCATCCCATCGTCGGACAAAGTCATTGAAGACGTTATCCGCAAGGGTAAGGTAACTCGGCATAGAGGTTTCGGCAGGCGATGCACCGAATTCGGCAGCGCTCATAGCAGCAAGAGCCCAGTATCCAACATCATCGTTAACAATTCTGGCAGAACTGTTTCTTGGGATAAAATTGGCGTTTTCACCGATTTGGTTAAAGAAATCCTTCTCGAAGAGGGAATTATATGACTTGTCGCCAGTATATGCGGCGTAGTTGAGGACAGTGTTGAAGAACACGCCCGACTCGAAGAAGCTGTATTCAGACGGGATGAGGCCAGCAACGAATGGTTTCTGACTGGTATAGTCGTCGACGAGATTTTGCATGACCACTTTTGCAGCGGCCCTCAAGGTATCTACACACGGTCACCGACACGACTTCATTAGCACATCGGCGTTCCCAAGAAGCGCAATCGGCTGAGGTTGCACAGAGAATGTGTTGCGTTGAGGTCCAGGATGAGGATCGACATTAGACTTACCTGGCTTAGAAGTGTCGACTTTCAGCTGGCCTAGAACAACCGGGGCCAGGCTAAGGGCCAGCACGGCCGAGGATGTTGACACGAAGGATCTCATGGTGGATCCGGAACAGATGGGATGTGAAAGAGGTAATTACTAGTATCTATCGAAGGATGTCGAAGAGGAAAAAGAAGCTGAGGTTCGCCGCAGAAGAATGATGCCGGATGTCCTTTGGGCTAAGTAATCGAGTTTCCCTTTTCGCCCCTTAATTGTCGTCACAAAACGAGTGTCCCGAGAGAGAGAAGAAAAAAAAAAAAAAAAAAGGATATTCTCGAATAAAAAAACTGACGAAATATCCCGGAGAATTAATAAACTGAACGGACTGGTCCGAGAAAACTTAGTTATTAAATGATCGGTTGAGGAAGATCCCTTCGAGGGATAACCGGTGGAAGTGCTTTGAGGCGATCTCAAGGAATGATAAAAAAAACAACGAGTATAAAAAATCCACCAAGGTGACATTTTTCTCACGAGGGGTGCAGGCTGTACTTATATTATAAAACGGCACTGACATTAACAATACAAAGTGCATCGACGCCACCCCTCAAAGCTAAGCCTGAACAAGGCCGTAACAAAGAGAAAAATAAAATAAAATACAGTCACCTAAGAAAAAATAATGGTCGTAACAGAGTACCTCAAGTGACCCTGCAGAATCAGCCAGTGCAATAATGAACCCTTCATTTCCTTGGATCCAGATTGCAATATCGCAGCAAATATCACCGAGGATTGGAGCCAGATTTCCGGCGGGGGGACCATAGCTCCCAAGGAACCCTGCCGGTGAGCCGAACAAACCGAACAATGGGTTACGAATGGCGTTGCATTGGGCAAGTCGAGAAGACTTAATTGCATGGTTTGCACTTTACCACTAGCCCACATTGGGGGAATTTTCCCTTTTTACCCCAGATGCTAGACGCCGGTTTCTTTGTTTGGTGTCCAATCAAAGAGCCCCAGCGTTGGAGCGCTCTGTGAAGAATGTAGGTCTGGTCCATGCGGTTGGGTAGCATGAGAAAACGGGATTCCGGCTCCTGTGACTAAATTTGGGACGTTTCGTCGTCTGTAGCCTCACCTGGCCATGACGGAACCCAAAATAAAAGCAGGCGAACATTTTGATTAGCTCGACAGAATTCAGGAATAGAGGTTTGCGATCAGAAACATTTTATCTTCGTTTACTCAAGGTCGCGAGACTTCAATAATTCATATCACGTAAAAGAGCGCTGCCAAGTGAGTAGTCAGAGACGATTCTGGAAGTCTAGGAGGAAAATTCCTTGACTTTCTCTCCAAATTTTTGTGTCAATTGAACTTTTCTGAAACGCCTCAGTGCAAACCACCCCTCACCATGTGATAACCCCTCTCCAGCAAACCGCCCTACAGTCTTAAGCGCCTTAAAATTCAAAAAAAACATATTTTTAGGCTCAGATTGAAGGAGTTCACTGAACACCTTCCTCAGGAGGCTATGCAATTGTCTAATTCCTGCCGGTACAGGCCTGTGCCGCAAGCGCGCATCCCAGATGCCTTATCTTGACGACTACGAGGGTCAGACCTCAGAAATGTGAGATCGAAGGATCGCAGGACAATGATTGATAACGGGTATTTATCGAAATCTACCTTACCAATACTCGAGAGCTCGAATCTAGTGGGTCATCGGATTCTCTCAACCAAGCAAAATGCCTCGCCCTCCGTCTGCGCCTGGTCCCGAGGCTGAAATATATATAACTGCGTGGCTTTCGATGCATGCGCAGTATGCATTGCAAACCGGTTTCCCGACACCAGTGATCATTCGAATCGACTGCCCTTCTACGTCCACAAAATGAACCCATTAACAGCCCAGCAAAGCTTCTTTTTCCACAAACACCTCAATCAATTATTTTTTTGCAGACGGGTCCCCTAACGCCAATATCATGCGTAGACCAGATCGGTCTATAGTACCCGGAATAACAAAATAACTGAAATATAGGGGCTGTAATGAAATTCGAAAGAACGCCCCCACATTTCAAAACTGCGACATTGGCCATCAAAACTGGTGTTGGCGAGTATCGTGTAAGACGTCTACAGGACAAGTTAACCTACTGATCCACAGCAACGAAATGCTGTTTCTCGGATAACAATACCGAATGCTACCCTTCATCTTGGCTTTCTTTTGGCGATTCCCGAGCTAATTAATGTCTTTGGTCGCAAAGCTCCACTTTTATCGAATTTCTTTTCTATTGGATCATTTTCTGGGCCGTGTTTAAGGTAGCAATTAATTTCTTTTGCAGCTATTGACGTCGGCATTGTTATTTTAACATTTCGAGGCCTATATCAATTTGTTAAATTTAATTTCCACATGTCCAAAAAGCTTGTTTCTTCAGCCCTTACAACTAGTGTCGGAGTCCATATGCTTATGGGGTACCCCGTACTCCGTAGATACCGGCCGAAGGGTTCCGTTTTGTTCAATTTAAAAGGTACTGGGCTATATAGCTTCCTTTTGTGGAACCGAACCCGGCATCTAGTGAAGATACATAGGCCGGACTTACGTAAACGTCAAGGAACCTTCTGTTACAAAAATCTCAAACCAAGCAAAAAAGCGAGGTTTTCGCGTGCATCTCTAAACGAATGTAACGACGCTTGCTGGTAGATGCATATATTTTGTGCACCTTCATTGGTCCGAATATCTCGAGCTGAAATGGCAACATCCGATTTATACAACACCGACCCATTAATAGATCTAAAGAATGGAAATGTATGTATGTATTAACCTATAACTGGGTCCATCACGGACGCGCACCGATAATCGATGTTACAAAACCAAAAAAGGGGGGGATTGGTTATACAAAAGTAGTTAACAAGCTAGCACACAAGCCGCGGTCGCATTTCGTATGTGCGCTGGGCATATTGATCGAGGAGGGACCTGGAGAAAAGGAAGAATTAAAGGTTGAGAATGCAAACAGGGTACTATAACGGAATCTCCCACACCGCCAGTTTTCGAACTTCCAACAAATAAACAGGTCGAAGCAGAAACAAAAAAGAATAACGAAACAACCAATCGCAAAGAGAAGAATGATCAATTCGCTCAGAAACAAAATTGCAAAAAGTGTCAAATCAGCCGCTGTCGTGTATCATAGCGACCGCCTGGGCATACGTAACCTCTTCACGAAAAGACCTTTTTACATCCCATTCCCGGGCACCGCCTCCCGAACCTTTTCTGCCACACTTGTTCCCCCTCTCGTCCCCTCTCTGTTGCTTTCAATCTGTTCCCTTTCCCTCTCAACACTTCTGGGCACATTATCTCTACTCACGTCCGGAACTCTCTCTTCCAAGCGAGGGATCATATCAGCTTGTCTATGTAATTCCTCGTCTTCATGGATACCTTGCATATCCTTCCGTCCGATTCCAGAGACATTCGAGCTGACAAAGTAATTTGGGTTCGGACTATCTTGTGTGACTGACATATCATCCGAATGTGCTGCGCTACTACCCAACGAGTACCTGCGTGCGTATTCCCGGTCGTTGGGTCTATCAACGTTAAAATTTCCGTTTTTGGGGGCATAAGTGTCTCTTTTTGTGACGGGTGGTGCCGATGTTCCGTCTGGTGCTGTGTCTGGGACATCAAGCATGGATTTGACGGTATAACCCAGACCTTGTTTCTGACTAGAAGTTGAAGAAGTCGCAGAAGATGGCAGATCCACACTGCTGGTAACTTCCTTCTCCCTTTGTTCATACTCACTCGCAGAGACGATATCAATGTCCTTCAGTCTTGGTATCTCTGGGAGGTAGTTCTCGTCCGCGAGTCCTGTGATAGCGGCGGCGGGGGGCCGTTCCTCCATCTCGTCGGGATTAAAGAAAGGTGCAGGAGCAGCTCCTTTCCCATGTTTCATCTCCCATTCGCTAGGAGGTTTGAGATCGTGGCGTGAATCAAGATGTCTCTGTACCTCTTCATTTGACAATGCCGGTTTACCGATAGTCCCAGTATTGTCGCTATTCACGTTTCTCGCCTCTTTATCTGCATACCTTCCAGTACCACCATTTGAAATGTGCTCAGCCTGTGTAGTAGCTGGATCCCGCATCTTGTCTGTTCCTGTGATAACTCCTGGATATCCGGCACCAGTATCTGCCTCGTGAATATCTCTCAAATCGAGCTTATCCATAGATTCCCAGACTTCGAATGTGTCCTCCTCATCCTCGTCATTAAGGTATTCCTTAAACTCGGGGCACATTCCACTTTTGAAACGTCCCTTGAAGTGAACGGTACCGACTGGTTCGACCTTACAGTGTTTATCGGGTGTTCCTTCAATGCAGTTTTGAGTGAAACGTTTGGGCTTATCCGTTTTATAGATGGTAAGGTCGAAATCACGGGTTTCATTATCAATGAGGTTGTGCAGCCAGATGATACTGTAATATGCTGCTTTACGGTCCCCAGAGCCGTTGTAAAATTGGAATATGAGAGGGGCAAGGTATCGGTTGAATACGGGTACCCTCAGAAGGCTATCCACTACCTCAAACGTATCTTTTGTACCAGTAGTTGCGGATGGATTGAGGACCTTAACACCTCCACAGGTTTTAAGTTTGAGTTTTCCTGCTTGGATGCTGTTGACCTTGATAGTGGGACCGCAAAACTCGAAGCGGCCGACGTTCCAGCCGAGTTCGTGCTTTTGAAGCTTCAGTGTCGTTGAGCGGAAGAGTAAAGAGATTCTGACACGGCCGCTACCCCCTCCACCTACGAGATCATACCAGTCGCTGACTGCAGACGATTTCTTGAAGATGTCTGCAGCCTTTAGAACAACCGCGCCAATAAGAAAATCCTTTCCTTTCCTCCGTGAATCTCTGGCTGAAACCTCAACAATAATGTTACGCCAATCCGTGATGTATTTTTCAACCGTGGAGTTGTAAATTGGAGCTTTGGTGATCGACTTGGTTCTTGTTCGGAACGCAAGTTCATCATTGATATCCGCGGTACAGTAGACGGATGGAAGATAACCTTGAAGCTTTGCATCTGAAGATTCTTCTTCTTCACTATCCGGCGTGGCTTGGCCTTCTGAATCTCTTGTCTCTGGTAGGTTCTGCTGTTTCTCGTCTTGATCGACATTGTTTTGTTTCTTTGGTGGTCGAGGGTTAGGGACATCGATGTTAATACACTGGTATATTGTGACAGAGAGTATGCCGGTTGGGTACTGAGGATCCGGCCTGCAGTTCAATGGAGTCAACTTGACATCTTCGGGCTTAGTTTTATCAGTGATCATTGAATCAACCCGTTTCGCCTCCTCAAAGTTGAGGAGACTCTTATCGAAGTTGGATTCCGGGAAGAACCCAACCTCCCAATGCAAGATTCCTTGGGTATCGGCACCCGCGACTTCGTGCTGTAGAGCATCCTGTCGCTTTTGGACCTTCTCATAGTCCTTTATGAGGTCAACTAGAGGTAGTTCGACTTGCCCGGTAACGTCATCCTTTCCATTCCTATCCGAATCCCAAAGCTTTACTAGGAGGCTTTCTTGTCGTTTGACATGCTCCGCATTGATGAGTATGCATGTTGTTTCCTCCCAAACAGGGTTGAGGTCACCAATAATCATCTTTGTTGCATACATTGGCTTCTCATACTTGGAGAAGGAAATTGTAATGTAGGGATCAGCACCAGGGCCAGTGCGATCCTGACGGCGCAGGTTTTCAGCTCGGCAGAGTTTAAGATATAGCAGTCCAACTGCTTCGGTTTCCGTGATTGCATCATTGCCTCCGAGAATTGGCGTCATGTCGATACCTGTGATTCTGGTTAGTTGGAATACTTCAAGCTAGTGTTCGGGTAGAAGGCGCACTCATGCTCTTCGGCCTGCATAATTCTTTGGTGTTTGCGACAATCTGGGATGAGATGAAGCTATCTAGGAGCGGGAGGCTTAGGAGGTTAAATACACCCCCGTGCCCAATTGCGACAGATGCAACGACTTTAGGAGGTTCGTTGAGCGCAAAGGTTACATGCTTCAAGAATGGGAGATCTGGATTCATTTGAAGTCGTACTCTGGCCGTCATAACGAATTCGCGTGTTTCAACAAAAATTGCTAGATTTGTCGAAGTTAGTAATAGAACCCGTTTAAAAGTCTATAGAGATCAACGTACGGATTGGAACTCCCCCAACCATAATAACAATATCGAAGTGCATTCGCTTTTTATGGCTACCGAGCGCTTCCGCATGATATGCTAACGCGACCTCAAGGTTCTATTTTGAATAAAATTTAATAAGCGTCACCCCTTATTAAAACCCCTTGTAGAGGTGGAACTTACGTAGAATATTCCCCCGAGTTCCTGTTTAACCTTCTCCTCTTGTTTTGCGATTTCCTCTTGCGACATACCCTTAGTATCACCATGGGCAGCAACAAGTTCACCAAACTCGCTATCAGGAAGTGACCTCATGGATAGAATTCTGACAGGTCTAGTTCCGTGACCGATTTCTGCCACCTTGAACTTGACGAAATCAACCGGTATAAAAGTCTTGACTTGGTCCTCGACTTGCTGGGCAATCTGTTTGAAAACGTCCTCGCTGATAACCTGCCAAACGGTATCTAGCAGACTGTTCAGCCATTCCACGCTTTCCGGAACATATTTCATCCTTTCTACTGCCGGTTCTGACTTTTCAACATGAGTCGTCTGTGCGTTCTGAACAATCTGCGATAGGACGTAGAAGACAGCGAATCCGACGCCACCAGCTGGAAGCAAGCTTCTAAGGAATCCGAGGAATCCACCACCAATAATGAACCAATCTAGTAGCACGATAGCACCGGCGCATATGTATGCCGCCTGTAATGTATGTTCCTGTATCGCGGTAAAAACATCACCCATTTCAACCTCCGGTGGAGGATGATATAGGACGTTTGTTTTATCATCTCCAATGGGGACATCAGATGTTCTCGCATCCTTAGCAGGTTTTATAACATCAGGTTTCTTTTCGCCCTCTTTTCCTGTATCCTTTGGCCCTGACACTTTCTGTTTTCTAGCTTGATCGTCTCGCGCTTTCTGACGTTTCGCGAGCTCGGCCTCCTCTTTTTTCGAAGCTTCAGCTCGCTCCCGTTGGTGACGAATAAATCTGGGAACTGTTGGGACGGGATGTTCTTTAGAGTAGGCCTCACCGACACGGTGGATTGTCGGTTCGTCTATTGTGCCTGTTCGGTAAGGGGAGTGAATGTTTTGATCATCATCGTAACTAGACGGCTGTTCGCCGGCCGCAGACGACATTTTTGGTTATGAGAGTATTATGGAATTAAAGAAAAATAGGTGATACGAGAAGGGACTGGATTCTGATATGAAATTATAATTAATGTTGATATCCCCAATATATTCCCAGAAACTAGCTAAAGACAGGCAAGAGTAGATTAGTTGGAGAACTTACAGTGAAACCTTTCTGCTGAAGAGAAAGTTAAATCACCAACGATCGATATCGATGTAAACCTATTATGAACGACCTGCTACCGTTGCAAAGGTTGATAGTGAGTTATGTGAAATAGGAAATTAAGAAGGGTGGGAAAAGAAGGTCCACAATTTTTTGGATCGATAACAATGAGACGTCAAGAGTAATGTGGAGAATACGTAAACGTATAAACTTGCGAGTAATTGCGATCGATCGATAAGTCAACTCCACCACACTGTCAATCCGGAGCTTCCCAGGAATTAATTCAGGAATCCAGGCCAGGAGGGGTAACAAGTATCAAGTTTGTTCTATCCGTCCCTGAGAAAATTGAAAATTTTCACCATCCAGAGACACTATATTAAATGGTGTGCGTACAAGTGTGATAGAACCGCAATTCGATGATGTTATAACATCCAAGCCCCCACAATTCTGGCATGAGCGGACTCGTCAATCGGGCGATCAGAATGGACCGTTGGCGGTAACAGTCTCTTAGTTCTATGGGATATCAGCATTCCGATTGGTCTTGATTCAGGTTTGGAAATAACTGGATTTGATTATAAGGTGAGGCCAATACTTTGCCTACGTCATTCCAACCTAATCGATTTGGTGGGATAAAACCGCATTTAACAGCGCTGATAATCCAACAAGCTAAGACCAATAAACGCAAAATAAAAAAATAAAAATAAAAAAAATATGCACGTATTCTACTTGACTGAATTGAATGAATAAGAGAGATAATAAGCTTACGTATAATTATAAAAGTTAGATGATAAGTACTATTAAATAATTAACTGTCTTGGTATCATGGACCACGGCGATTCGGAGATTGAAGTAACATTGGAAGTGGAATGAAAGTGTGTTGTGTCCAAGAAAGGCAATCGATACCATGACGTCACTTCGCCATCATCCCTTCCGAAAAGGGTAATCCCGGCCGCATCTGTGAGAGACATCATGATCATGATCGTAGTCTAATTGTGAGCGGCATGCATTTCTCCTGTCGGACTAGTCTCTAATGGGATCGAAACAACGGGTCACACATACGCAATCGGCACCATAGTCTATTGAATCGAATTAGTTTCAAGATCACACACGGATGGTACGTATGTAGCCATACAAATTGATTGTTGGCTTAGCTGAGCTGAGTTCAATTGAGTCTTTGGATTCCTTGGCTGTTATAATTACACAGAGCGATCATAATGCATAAGGGAGATCCTTGTATTTAATATTCCCATCCATGAATTCATCACCATATCTTGATCGCCGTCCTGTCGTGGGATATATCGTCATATCCAACTAACTGAATCTACGTACCAGCCCCCAGCGCTGCCTATAGCATACACTCATTCCGAACCACTTGAACTTCAACCATTCCCATTTTCAATAATTAATTCTATTCATAATCTGTTCCTCTATTGCTAACTCGAACAGTCAAGCTAACGAAATCCTCAAAAGGAGTCTCCCAACGACTTCAAGCCTCCTCCTCTGACTTGGAGGAATTCCTTCACAGTCACAATGAAGCGAACCGTCTATTCCGCCCGAAATCCCATCCCGAACGCTCAAAAATTTGCAAAGGCCCTGCAAGAACGATTGAATGTTCAAAAAAACCAGCCAGGTGACCTAGATGTTGATGAAACTAAACAACAGAAGAATAGGCGGATGGTTGTGGATCCCGTCACAAAGAGTAATGTCGTGATACAAGATATTAGAGGAGATTTTAAGAACAGCGTCAGAAGGCCGAAGGTATGTTCCAAACAATAATTTGAATGGTCAAGAGAAGAAAAGAATTTTCGGCGCTAATTTTGTTAGGCCACGGTACCTATAGCCAATGTCAACCCCGTAGAAGGCGACCAAATCGCTCCAAATGAGGTCGTCGGTGCAGATGCTCCAGCCGTGGCCACGGGCTCTGGCGAAGAATACAGACTCGTAATGGACGATTTAGCTCCCCCGGAAGCAAACCCTACGATATCAAAAGAAATTCCTCAACATTCGACAAAGACCAAAGTCCTCTACCATCCGGCCCCAGTGGCAAATCTAGAAACCATCCACGGCAAGATAGAGTCTGCAATAGCCGCACTCACCGTCTCAGTTGTTCTGGGCACTGTCTTTTTGAATTATGTATTCGTCGGCGGGAAATGGAAGGGATTCGTAGCGTCTACCTTTATCGGTGGGGTTCTTAGCGTGGCTCTACACCTCTGGCTGAGGCGTTTACAATCTGATTCCATTGACAGAAACTGGGAGAGTGAAAGGTTACGAGCTAAAGCTGCTGTCGACTCCTTAATGCCAGAAACAACAGAATGGCTGAATGAAATAATCGGAACCGTTTGGCAACTTATAAATCCGGAGATGTTCCAGCCTGCTGCCGATACTCTCGAAGATATTATGCAGGCTTCGGTTCCAGCTAGCGTTATCGAAAATGTCAAAGTCTCGGGTATCAGTCAAGGTAGCAATCCAATTCGCATTCTGTCGATGCGATCACTTCCAGACGCCGCCAGCAAGAATACAAATCCTCTCAATGCGCAGCAATCCGAAGCCGAAACTCTAAAGAAGCAGAAGGAGCGTGAACAAGAGGACGATCCAAACTCCAAATATTACAACCTGGAAGCTAGCTTTGCCTATCACGCCCTTAAAGCCACTGGTGTGGCCAGCAAGGCTCAGAACATACATTTAGAAATTGCATTCTATCTTGGCGTTCGAGGCCTTTTTGGCGTGCCACTCCCGATCTTTGCTGAACTGTCAGGTATTGTTGGAACTGTACGCTTGAGATTCCAGATGACTCCGAATCCACCATTTATCAAGAACTTGTCGATGACTTTCATGGGACTTCCAAAGATTAGCGTTTCCGTGGTCCCGATGACTCAACGTGGAATCAATGTTTTGAATCTCCCATTGATCAGCAACTTCGTCAACTACGCCGTCGGTGCAGCTCTTGATGAATACGTCGCACCCAAGTCATTGAGTTTGGATGTTGGTAAGATGATTGAAGGTACTGCCGTCCAGCAAGAAACAGAATCTATCGGTGTCATCTACGTCAAGATCCACAATGCAACCGGTATTCCAGCCATGGATAGTGGAGGCGGTTCAGATACATATGTCACCCTAGCCTTCAGCCAATTCGGAAAACCAGTTTACTGCACCCGCGTCATTCTTAAAGATCGTAACCCGTCATGGGAGGAAGATACATGCATCCTCCTTCACAACCAACAAGTAACTTCTGGTGAAAAATTATCAGTTCAACTTTGGGATAGCGATCGAATCGGAAAGGATGATATGGTTGGACGAATTGAATTTGATCTTCATGATATCATCGAAAACGAAGGAGTAATGCGAACCCGCAGCGACACCCTGATCGGTGAAAAAGACGGTAAAGAAGTTCCTGGAAAATTGAACTGGGAAGTTGGGTTCTTCCGCCGCACTGACTTCAAAAAATCGATGAAAACAACCGGCGAGGATGTCAGAGTTCCCCGTGAACTCCGCCATAAACAAGAATTTCACGAACAGACTCCCATCCCTATGGCCGAAGACGACAAACTAGCTCTCAGCGTCCCACCAGACCCAAATTACCCAACAGGTGTAGTCTCAGTTACCATCCACGAAATTAAACACCTCGAATTCGAGCGAAGCAAGGGCACCTTCGGCAAGATAAGACCATATAGCCCAGCTCAAGTGGTTGGTGAAAACAAAGATGAAGAAGGCAGCCACTTGCCTAATGCATACTGCACTGTCATGGTGAATGACGTCCTCGCATTCAAAACTCGAACTAAAGTCTCCGCGTCAAACCCAATGTTCTCAGCCGCTGTCGAACGATACGTTCGAGACTGGAGAAACGCCGTTGTTACCGTAGCAGCGAGAGATTCACGCCATAGAGAACATGATCCACTCCTTGGCGTTTGTTCTATCAAATTATCGGAGGCTCTACAAACAAGCAGCACCGTAACCCGTCTCTACGCTCTCGATGGAGGAATTGGTTATGGTATGGTCTCACTGACCATCCTCTTCCGTTCAGTAAACCTACAAGTCCCTCGTAACCTCTTAGGCTGGGATGTCGGTTCTATTGAAATCATGGATGACCTCATGACCGCCACCGGCCCCGGTGCACAAGAGCTCTTAAACTCTCGCATCGTCTTGAGCTCTGATTGCAACCAGCAAAAGATCCCAAGACGCCTAGCATACAATGACAACGGCGTCGCCTGGAATCTAAACGGTCTAACAATTCGTATCCCAGTCCGCCAACGATACGGTTCTTCCCTAAAACTAGAATTTTATACTCGTATGTCTCGAAAACCAATAGCCCATTGCATCTACTGGCTTAACGAGATAATTGACAACCAAACAACTAAGCTCTCTCTACCAGTCTGGAAAACGAAGGACACGAACGCATTGGTTCAGAACAATATCAAGGATGTCAACTCTCGTGAGAATATTAATGCGGAGCAAATCGCTACGTTTAATGTTACACTAAGGTTCAAAGACGGTCTTGACGAGTCTCATAGGAGTTATATGGATAGCAACGACGATCGTGAGACATTCGATGCCTTTGAAGCTTGTTTGGCAGAAGGGTCCAGGAAGAGAATTGTCAAACGGGAGACTGGAGCAACTATTAAAAAGCTCATTGCAACGGGGGCAACAGAAGACGTACCCAGCGATGACGAAAACTCAGAAGTTCTAGATGAAAATGGAGAGAAAGATAGGCTACAACCACCGAGACCAAGACTTCGTGGTCACGAACCCTCACAATCGGAACGCCCTAGCGGGGATAATATAATCCTGAACGAAGAGGATTGGAAAGCAGAGGTCATGAGCGTTGTAGATGATCAAGATGAATTTGTATCTGACGAAAATGTCCGAAGAATTGCAGGAGATGATCCGGAGGATGTGGATGAGAGACATGACCTTTCTAGTGATGATGACGATGACAATAGTAACGAAAATGACGATACTGGGAATAAGAGTGAAAACGAAAAGGGAGTTGATCCTGATGCTAAGAGGGCTAGGAAGGAGAGGAAGATGGCGGAGAAAAGACAGAAGTTCAGGAAGCATAGAGGGATTATGCAGTGGAAACCTGCTAGGAATATGGTGTTTTTGAAGGATGAGTTGATGGTTGGAGCCCAAAAAATTAAGGGTAAGTTTGGAATGAAGGGAAGGCAGCCAGGCTTAGAGACAGAGTTGAATCAAGGGATGTAGATTGGGGGAATGGGCAAGATTGATATTCTCGGGTGCGACTTTGGTTTTCTGCTGGGCGTTTAATGTTTACCTCTCCTTTGGTTTTGTATGCTTTAATGAAGCTGTTTTTCTCGGGTTCTGAAAGACTAAAGTGTCTATAAAAATTCAATTGGAACTTCTTGACCAACATGAGCTTTGGGCATGGCCTTGGGACAAGCCTAACCAAATTGATAATGCTGTGAGTAATTGTTGCTGGTTTAAGGTGTTGAACCCTTCGTACATACGTCAATCGGCCAGTTCTATCAGATTTTCAGATGCAAAAGTCATTAAGACTAATTCAATCCTTACCTAGCTCTTTAAAATATCCATGTAATATTTGAGTGGATAGAATTAGCCCAATATGCTACGCTTTCCCTTCGGCTTCGCGAACTCGGTTGCACCATACAGTTCGGGTTGGCCTTCCCCGCTACAACGCAAATATACGATCTACCTCATGTTGTATTTTTACCTCCAAATCTACGTTATGAATTCATAGTTTATTCCGTTCATTCGTGTGATCATGAATTCGTTTCTGTCAAAACTGTACATGTACATCTATATTTATGAAGGATATAGAAGGACAAAAAAAAAAAAGAGGATAGTTATGTAAAAAAACGCCATTCGGTTGAGTCCCGAATAAACTCCGTTTCCCTATTGTCATAAACTTCGTGATTGGTCATAAACGATTGGTTTTCGTACGTGTGTGTTCGTAAACGTTGGTCATAGTGTCGTGAAGTAGTCTTGGTTGACTCTTCTTCTAGGTAGATTCTTTGACTTTGCGGAGTGCATGCTAGCCTTTTTTGGGGACGGGTCGTTTACTCGGCATTCTCATGCTCGTCTCGCTTTTCGGCTTTCTTCTCTTCCTTCTTCTCTTCCTTCTTCTCTTCCTTCTTCTCCTCCTTCTTCTCTTCCTTCTTCTCTTCCTTCTTCTCACCTTCCTTCTTCTCACCCTCCTTCTTCTCACCCTCCTTCTTCTCACCCTCCTTCTTCTCACCCCCCTTTCTTGGCCCCTTGTCTTCCCTCTTTGGACGGGCGAAAGCCGTCGTCGCAGCCTTTGCTGGGGCACCCGCGTTTGTCTTGCAGACGTAGAGGGCTTCAGTTGTGACCTTAGCCTTCTCAGTTTTGGTGGCCTTGTGGACAGTGAAAAGCTAGCGTAGACACCGACCCATCAGTTCTCCTATCGCTTTTCTCGCGTGAATATCACTATATAAAGGGCAAACATACTGGTGCAGAACCGCCAAAGAATCGGAACTCTCGCATCTCAACGGTAACGCGCAACGCGCATTTATTGCAGTCGGCTTCGACAGTGCTGGTGGCGGTTGCTGTACTTTCGTATGTAGTGGTAACTCCACGGCCGAAGCCCGCAAAGTCAAAAACTGGGCCCCTCTGGGTGATGGTAAAATCCTTATGACAAGGAGCGGCGCTACGGGCCTCAAGAACTGCTGGAGCTGTGGGGGCCGGGCCCGGGGCTGGCATAGCGATAGCGCTGCTGTTATCGGTGTTAGTATATATATACTAGCATCGTGTTTTTAATGGTATAAGGGTTTCAATCAGTCGTTTTTAACATACCCAGCAACGGCAAGGATAGCGGCGACAGAGATGATCTGCATTTTGAATGTTGTTTTTAAAAAAGAGTGTGTAATATAAAGAACGTAAACTCAGGAAGAGAGTGTGAGAGAGAAAGGGGACGACAATTCAACGAATGTGCTAGTCTACTACGATGCAGAAAGAAAAGAATTCGAGGAAAGCGTAGTAGGAAAAATCAGCTTTATATAACAGAAAATAAGACAAGATATTAAGGACTAAAATGATTTGCTTTTGAAGATTTTCTTTTTTATCCTTCGACGTTTATGTGAACGTGAGCGGAAACGGCACCTCAGACCACAATTAGTGTAACGAAGGGAGGTATAACACAAAACTCGTTCGTCGATGCGTTTGCAACGTAGATGCCAAGGGCCCACTTGCATCCGACAAGCCCAGGTTTCTAACCAAGAAGGAAAAGTTACCCCATTCAGCGGACCACCAGCCCGCCCTGCTTCTAGACTACCCTATTCATAATTTCGAGCTTTAAGTAGTATGCGGTAATCCTTGCGAATGGTATACGTCAAGCCAGCTTATTGATGCTATTATCAACTGTAATATTTTTCAATCCTAATCAAAATCGAGGGACTTTTCTATACCAAGCATATCAGCCCGCACGCAGCCTCTTATCTGGTTTGTTGGAGCGAGACAAATTACGTTGCGTTGCGGGGAAGGTTTGAGGAAAACAGAAGATGTCTATTCGAGCCGTAAGAGTTTAAAGCTTCAAAAAGTGTCCATGGGTTGCATCGGTTAGGAATGCCAAAATACAGTGATACCGAACAGTCGAAACCAATATCAGACTGACTCTTGCACACATGTTGTGGTATTGGGTATCTAATACCGGTCCTCAGCAGCAATTTGTGCAGCACCTGCTTTGCATGCAATTGTGGGCTCTCGAGCTCTCGATCTCGGCCTTAGCATAATGTGAATTTCCTGAGCAGCAACCAGGACAGGTATTTCTTTTGTGGTTGGTAGCTTAAACGGTATATATATGCAATCTCTGCGGAGTCTGATATCAAAACATGAAAACCGACCTCCGATATGGTGTAGTGGTTAACATCGTTCGCTCTCATTAGGATCTCATCCGACTTGGACCGAACAGCCCCGGGTTCGATTCCCGGTGTCGGAATTCATCTTTTTGTTTTTTTTGCTTGTCAAAACCTTCATTGAAATTTTTTGGTTTTGTGCCAGGTTAGTCGACCATTATCGTGATGGTTTGAGGAAGGTGGCGTGCCGACACTTTTGAATTCGGTGCGAAATCCAGCGTTCCGTTTTATGGTATCAGTATTTGCAATATACATTAATATTGGAGTTACTGAAACATAAAGACGCCGTAGTAGCCGTTCTGTGCCATTTTGATAATCAAGCTCAAAGTAGTCCGTTCTAGTCTCCCAGCTCTAGTTTTTTTTCTACTTCATAGGTAACTTACAGATCCCGATCTCACACCACGCAAAACTTTTCATTGGCAGTCGGCATACTAAAAATTTTCAATGCCTTGATCCCATGCCAAGAAATACTGGCCCTGTTGTATTTCTCAATTTGGCAAATATACAATTCCGCGTTGTCCGCCACAACACATAGGTAGCTTTAGATCGATCATGCAAATATATTAACTGCGTGCTGCATGATGAAGGCACAGCATGTAGCAGTATTTCAGGCAGCATAAAAGAGCGCCTTATAAAACAGCCTTTTCAAATATAGATTATAGGCAGCTACATAGATTCAAAAGTTGCCAGCCTTCCAAATTTTTCGGTACGTTCGGTCGAGTATAAATAGGGCATAAAAGCAGCTCTACTTCTTCTCCTTTGTCATGTCAGGCTTTCACAACTGCACAACATCGTCTCCCACTACATATCATCCCTACATACAAACAGCTTTCACCCTTAATAGTAGAACTAATCCACTTCGCCATGGAGAGTACTGGAAAGCGTCAGAAACACAAGGCTGGGACAGCCATACCAGCTGCAGAACAGAATAAGAGTCGCAAGCGGAAGGCGACGGTCAACCCGAGTATGATCCCCATGGCCTTGCGAACTGCTTCCAAAGCCACACCCATATATAAGAAATAATGCTCATCGGAATAGGTGATACCATACCACGTGCAAAGCGAAGCAGTCAGCGAAACAAAGACAGGGAGCCGGGAGTCATCCCCGCACAGAATGTCGGAGACGACGATGGCGACGATGGTGACGACATCGGAGGAGAGGACGAAGACGAGGAAAAGGAAGGATATGGTGACGAACACGAATTTGGGAGCGATTTCGAAGATGGAATCGAAGAAGAAGTAGAGGAAAGGGTATATGAGTTTGGACCTGAGAGATCCAAGCTATCTTTCAGGATATATACGCAGAATGATCCTGAGGATGACTCCAGAACCTGGCTGAAAAATATTCATGTCAATGTCAACTTCGAAGGCAAAACTATCGGATACGGTTTGGGCCGATACGTAAATAGAGGTATCTTTCGAAGTCGTTTCCGGGCTGAGATGGAAGGGCCCTCTCAGGAGCTTTGCGATGTTGCTTTCGATTTATTCAACTCTCACGCCCGTCTCAAACGAGAGCTCATCAATCATCCCGTCCGTAAGGGAACAGGAGTCTGGGGTAAAGAACTCGATCATGGAAATTTTCTCGTGATCGAAAACGTTCACATTTATGATGCTAGTTGGCGCAGAAAGGGGATCGGCACAAGAATCGTCAGGGACGTTATCGACAAATCACGCAGAGAAAATCGAACTCCAGCCTTTTCTCTCGTCAGTCCAGCATATCTCAACTCTGAACTTGAGAAAGCAACCATTGAGAAGACAAAATTAGAAAAGCACGAAATTAGAATCCATATGCAAAACGGAAATGTTGCTTTCTGGCGCTGCCAAGGGTTTCGTCGAATCGGCGCTTCTGATTTTTTCGGCCTTGCAACAGACACAAGCCACCCAGCAAATACGATTTCTTTAGCTCAAGATTTTGATCCAGCAGATCCGGAGCCTGATCTCGATGATAGTCTAAGTATCGAAGAGAAATTATTCTCAATAGGTCTCTTTGACACGTCCGAAAGCCACACCCGACAGCTAGAGCTACTTAAGGAGCGACTTCCTCTTCACCATGCTGTTGCTACCCTCTCTGATGATGACTGCGTCCAATTTTTCAGCGATTTCAAGGCCAATATCGATAACAAATCATATAACTGGAATAAGGTGGACCGGCATTCTAAAAACGTTTTACACGTAGCGGCGCAAGAACTCAAAGTCAAGAGTGTGCGCTGGTTGTTGGAGAACGTGAATGAAGAACAAATCCTTTCCTCGCATCGGACCGTCGACGGTTATACTCCACAAGAATGTCTCGAATCCCAGCTTGATTCGGCTAGATCAAAGTTACAGTTGGGGGGCATGACAATCGATGTATCCGAAAAATTCGAGGGCTACCCCGCAAGTGCTATCGAGTGTCTCGCCGCCTTCCAGGGACTCAACAATCTCTCTAGAGTACAACACGAACGCCTGAAATTCGGGTGTACATGCGGGTCATGTATAGACGGCTTCTTATCTACCCGCATGAGACGTACGCTCCGACGACACGCCGAACTTATACATGATTTTTTGGAAGAGGATATCGATGATGGAAAGATATGGGCCGATTCATCTGAAAACTATACACAATACGTAGCCCCAGGCCTTCGAGAAAGGTTTAAAACCAACAAATCTCTAAGGCAAGGGTTTTCGAACCTTTTTCTTTACGTAGCCGAAGTTTTACGAAAAGATACACCGGCAGCTCCGTATGTCGAGAGTGTTGAGGCCCAAGTAAGGTCCAGTAGCGAATGGCCTCCTTGTACCAGGAACTTCCTAGAAAGAGGCCGTGTCGAGAGTGTCTTACGAACTCTTTTCACTAACGCGAAGGCGCTAGACTACGGGTTGAGGGACGACGAGCTGGCCCAGGATCCCGTGGAAAATTTTCCCGAGTGCCGCAATGACCACGAATTTGAGTTTGTGATCTCAATGTGTGAAACCCACTAAGCCGCAGGTCGGCAAGACGTTAGTTACTAAGAATTTCACTGATCACAGCTGACAGCGGGAAATGGCTCTTATATGCATGCACAACCAAATTCTTTTTAAAAAAAAATTTGAAAAAGGAAAGAAGGGGGAAAAAAATTAAATGGCCTGTATTATCTAATAATCCACTACGCTTTTCGTAAGATTGCCTATTTGATTGATATCGAGATTTTTACCTTTGCGACCACCCGCATAGTAGTCGTGCGTCGCGATTCTGTCTATACTCTTGTCATTAATAATTATCGACTTCTTAATCCATCACCTCAAACTCGTGAACCAATGTGACAATTTCAACAAAACTTGTGACTATATAGTAGTGTTACACCCTCAAACTAGCTTGAAATCATATGCATATATGGTAGAAGCTAGCTATATTATAAGTTTGATCTTCACAAACGTTCCGGTATAATTAAGATGTCGACTTCGTCGACTGGCCTATTGACTGGCATTGCTATGACTCTTTCTAATAAATATGGTAAACTTGAATAGGTGCATTTACGAAGTTTCGACACCTCAAAACAGTACCCAATCACAAAACGACTTAGACTTGCATGCATATGAGCATGAATATTAAAGCCGGTCCATTCTCACATGCACATCCAATTAAATTGACCTATAGCTATAGATGGTCGATATACCCTTGTTCTTAAAAGACGTAATAGGTGTATATACCTAGTAACATTGGTTTTTACACTACACCAAGCATCTCTCGTACGGTATTGACCTGGTGGAATATTCGACCAACAGTATATATATATAAACCCTGAGCCTACTCACAATACATGAATACATGGTATGCAACATGCAGTCAGCCCCAGTCTCTTCCATCGTTGTTATGCATACTGCAGTATATATACTAGTATTGACAACCATCGCTACTAACCTCGCAGTCCGCAGATCAAGGGTTGTACGATTTGGGATTGCGCGCCTGTGCGAGGATATCCCTTCCTGTTAGCTGTCAGCTGTCAACATCCATATGGCAATCACGTGGACGTAGTATGCGAGCAGGATTTGATATATATAGATGGTGCTAGGAAGGCTAGCCCCCAGACCTTGTATAATCTCAAACCTAATAGTAACAATCTTTTAATACAAATTGACAGGCCCCGATTAATCATAAGAAATGCAAGCTTCCAGTTACCCGGGAAGAAATGATCAACGTAGATGAGGATTGTGAAATCTGAATCTTGCATGGAAATCGACAATTTAACAACAGATTCCCTGGGTCGATCAGCCTACTACTGCAGGAGTAAACTTATATTCATGAGCTCCTTGATTGTCTCTTGGGCCCAAGTTCTTCGGAACGAAGAAACTCCACGTCGCCGTTTTCCTGCAATGCTCATATGTGTGTAGGGTTTCCTGTCTTATCACGCGATGTAATATAGCCTATTACCTAACCCAGTAAGAAACGCCATGGTGGAATTTTATAATTTATCCGCAAATTTAGCAGCCGGAAGTGTGGAGACATCAGAAAAATACGAACAACAAAACGCCCACCAAAAAAAAAAAAAAAGTATCTGCACATGAGCTCGAGCTCGAGCCTATGCCTTGCAGTTTCCCATGCACTATGGCTCACGCAACCAACATAATGGGTTTTTCATTTTGGCACTACTGTGTATACTACCCCAGGCTTGGCTACTGAGGGGTTTTCGTTCGCCTTTTCTTTCTTTCTTTGGCTTCTATATAGTTTCTGGCACACGTGGTAGCGGTTAAGTGTGGCATCTCTAACCAGCCAAGATGGGTTGGCGGAAACAGAACTTTTGTTCAATACTCACCTGGCCAGTTAATTGTGTTCGATGGCTGGGGAAGGAAAATGTGGAGAAGTGATAGAATTTTCTTTCCATCCTGTCAGCCTGAATGGGCCGTGTGCTAAGCATACTATACTCCAGTATACTTTTACGAGAGATGTGGAGTGGTGAACTCTTTTCTAGAATGCTTCTCCCGGTAATCTACATTAAAGGTGTGGCAAACAGAATGTCTACCTAGTTGCTGTGGAATTCAACGTGATAGTAGCGTTACTCAGAGACCCCCCCAATTGCAATTGCAATACGAGATCGACGGTTGCACAAAACCATTTATCGTGTAATAAATATCCCAATTAATTGATTGATGAGCGCGCATACGCCCCCAACCACAATGCGCATTAGAACAGGATTTCTGTCACACAAGACAGGCAGTCGAATGTACCACAAGACTGGCTGGAACGATTTCGAAGGTGAAAATAAGAGAGAACAACAGAGAGCAGACTTTCTCTATCTCGAATTCTTTAGAAACCTTAGGTATCATATTTGTAGATCTCCGCCAGCGCAATGCAACGCCTGAACTCATATACAGTACATCCCGAAATGCCTTCGTGACAAATGACTAAATACATCAAAGAAAAATGTAGTAAATTGGCAATACCGTGGGCCAAAAAGAAGATAATACAAAAAAAGGGGGGAATGAAAATGAAAATGAAAATAAAAAAACAACTCCTTTCAGAAATCATTAGACAGTTCTTGTTTCTTTCCGCATACAAGAGAGCCATTATATGCTTTTTATCGTGCGTGCCCGCAATTAAAACAAAATTTCAAGTGGAAACTATGTGCAGTGAAGAGAAGAGAGAAAACTCTGTAAAAAAACGAAAAAGGGAACGTTCGAACGTTCCCTAGGAACAAGAAAGAACTTAACTCATATAGTAATCAAAAAAGATTCCCCCGTGGTAACCCAATAAAAATCCCAATATACGCCAGACCTACCACAGATGATACGACGAAACTTTGTTTAGAAATAACTCTTTGTACACGTTTAACTTCCTTCTCTTCGACTTCTGTTCTTCGTTCATACATCCGCCTGAGAAGTGTTGTATTATTTTCGTAGTTCTCAACCCACTCTTCAATGCCGTATTCCTCTGCTTCACTGCTGTCGTGTTCGCTTTTTGACATCCCTGAAAAGAAGCTGTTTACTTCGTCTGCGGGGAATAATTCCCAGGGGAGCATTTCTCGTTTAAAACCGAGATAGACAAGCCAGAAACATATCCCTTTGCTAGCATTTAGCATAGCAAAAAGACCAAGAACGAACGGGACGACACCAAATAGCCTCCACCAGCGTGCTTGTCGACTCAAAGTCAACAATAAACCGAATACTATCGATGATAGCAGCACTAAACCGGCAAGCAGACGGATCGCTCTGATACGGGCTCTTCCCGCATTTGATAACGAGTGTTGAACAAAATTCGGATGGGATTGATATCTTAAAGATTCTAAGACTGAGTTGACTGCAGGGTCGAAGGCTGAAGGATGAGTCGTGTGAGCTAATGCCTCAAGTACCGCCAGGCGCTCTCTAGACGTTAAGTTTAATTCGTAAGGTGATTGAGCGGAGATATATAGCTGAGCGACAAGCGATACTTCATTGCGGAAAGGTTGGAAAGAGGCAGAACTGCCTATTGGGGGTAATGGTGTGACTTCGTGATGAGATACTGTTACGACAGAATTCTGTCGTAGCTTTTCGTCTATTGTTCCTATCGAGTTTCCAGGTAGAAAGGATGAATGCTTCCGACCAGACGTGCTGGCAGATGCATGGGAGATGTGTGTATGTGCTTTCTCAAGTGTATCTGGAACGTTCAGTTCCCAAGGAGGCGAGAGATCTTGATCTTCCCGAGACAACGAGTTAAATTTATTGGTATAGTCTCGATGCCAAAGGAAAAATCGGAGGGTTTCAGGACTATGTTCCACAAAGCGTAGATAGTTTAAGAAGTCCCGCGTCGAACATGGCTAAAGCAATATTAGCATATATCCTTGAATGAATTTGTCTTGAAACTGAGCGATGTCTGCTAAAGCAGCTATCCGAGGTGAAGAGGTTCTATCTTACCGAGCAGGTCGACCCAGCTATGACCTTGTCAAAAGACAGAGCTTTGGGTACCACAACCAATCGTTCCTTAAGATGTGCCGGACGTTTCTGACGACTATAAAAGACCCAGTCCATGGTTTCGCCGTCGAACTATACACCGTCTAGTCTTCCGACGACCTTTCCTCTTCATAGTAACACCGACATCCGCGAATATCAAGTGAAGGAGCCAGAGTTATCGGGAATCCCTCGACCCCAAAGTCTCGATTAATATATGTTTCCAGATATTCCGTCGGTATGGACAAGTTGGATAGCCACAAATCTAACCAAATATTTGGAGCTAATCCAAGTGCGACAGTCGACCCTTTCCCGCCGCGATTACCAGATTTTGATATCCGTGTCGCAGCCCTTTTTACAGCCCCTCAGGTTTCTAGAAACCGGATTATCCCAAATGCGAACAACAGCAACACAAATTCGGATCTTGTGGGTGGGTGCTGTGGTGTCGTGATATTGTTAAGTTGGGAAATTCGAACGCAGAAGGCTGAAGTAAAGAGCCCGAGTTGGCTAGTAAGCCAAAGCAACGTTGGAGATGTTGGAGTTGATCAAAAGCGGATATTCGGGGTCGTTGATAGTACTGCTTTAGATAAGACTTCCTAAAACTCGTCTCTTTTTTTCATAAACCAAGGTTCTGGAGGTCTACCCTACTTATGTGTAGAAGGGTACTAGGCCTGAGCTACCACACTAAGAAACAACCTCGAGACCGAAGACAAGAATGCACGACCGGATGCAGCCTCTACTGAGAAATAGCCAAAATTAAGCATTGATAAGGGAACCACCCTGTTATTCCCCACCATTATATTGGAATTTGCAGCGATGGAGTGCCTCCAGGGTGTGCCGCAAAAGGTGGTCTTGGTGTCTGACTTTGATTTTTGCGACGGTTCAATACAGGAAGCTAGGAATTACGGGATCTTTACGATGCCTTGGTAGCATTAGACTTAAAAAAGAATAGCCAGGGAAATTCTGGGGCAAGGTGGGTATGATGGTGTTAACAGTATCCAATGGAACGGTTGAACAATGACCGCCGATTTATCCGGTATATAACCCATCGGCGTGCAGATAGATCACCTCGGTCCTCAAGTTGGTGCTGCTCCACCTTGATTTCCTGTTTGATCACGTATTTGAAGGGCACGGATTTCTGTGGCCACAAAGATTACGCAGGAAATGGGGAGGAAAGACACAGATACGGATATACGAGATTGTCCGATGCAAGGTCACGCCTTTGTGGAGATGTCTTGCCCCGCCCACGGCCTAAGAGGATGTTAGGGAATTTTCCAGAGTAAGCCCACCTCTTGCAGATCATCCAAGCCAGTCTGGATGAGCCTTCATAACCTAAAGGTTCTGCTTGCAGTGGATGAGGATTAAAATGCGGAATATGGAAGAGGGTGTGGATAAACAGCCAAGCCATGCAAGGTTGTTACGCTTGGATCAACGCTTCGTGATGCGGACAAGGACGGTGGCATAGCCGTTGGGCATTTGTTTCTGTTTGGAAATGGGGAACTTCGATTTCCCCACCCCGCCTGAGATATAGTGATGGCATCACTTTCCGTTTGAATATTAAGTTGCCCTGTAATGTTGTCTGAACTTCCATGCGATGTTTTGAATACAAGTTTTAACAGTGAACATGCGACATTGTTTTTGCAAATGGTGGTGAAGACTAGCAAGGAAAGCAGCGAGGACAGCTTCCTGGACCCATGAATACAAGAAGCTGCGTGGAAGCCATGCAGGATGTTCTATGGATTCCTTGCCACCCTCCAAAAAACCATGGAATCGTTCCATTTGTTCTGGTCGCCCTGCCCCGTACATAACATCGTGGAACGCACATGACACTTTGCTGGCGTGTGGATCCACTCAGCTCGACATCACAGCGTATTTGCCAGAACCCATCCCCGCAATCGGAAAAAAGCGAGCCGGATGTGGAGACATTCAAACACCAGGATGATGTGCCAAACCAGAGTTCTGATTGGCCAGACCGCAGTCGTTGGCACGGTGGTGTGAGGGTCTGAGCACGAAGTTTTCGGAAACTGGCCCGTATTTACGCAAAGCCTTGTCAAAATATCTTCTTCCACAACGAGATTCTTCCCTGAGATATAAAATTTCAAAGCTTTGAAAAAGCTTTGACCTCTGGCCTCAGAGACACATCTTTCCCTGAGTCGTGACAAGTTTAAATTATTTAACCGGCCAATACCCCAAACCCAAGTTAGTTTGTGTTGGTTTATTTCTAGCCGCTCGTAATAGAAGCCACGAAATTCTATCATTCAGCCCAAAAAATGCCTTTAAAACCCCCACGCGATCGGATCAGACAGTCTCATGGTAGTGAGTGAATACCAAAAAATATGCCGCGGAAAGATTATGGCGCAAGATAGTTGAGCATTGGTATGAAAGGTTGAAGGAGAATGCTCACAATGGTATTATATTACCCTCTGCGCAGCTGCTAACTTCGGATTTGGGGACTGTGGCGTCCTTATGTTCGTATTTGTCCATCATTTCAAGCACGGTCTATCGGCACATCTTGTCGGCGGTATCAAGCTCCCGAATACGAGGCGCCAAGACTATCTCAGGTTTCTAACCTGGTATGCGAGGAGACACCTGCGAACGAGCCTTCTAGCCAGGAACGGTTAATATATTGATGTGTCGGCATTGATGCTCCACTTGATCTATGTCTCCACAGGATCAAAGACAGTTTAAACTTCAAGTCTTGCGATTATATCTTTCTTTTGGTGAATTTCCATGTACTGGTGTTATTATTTTTCTGGGATATTCACTATGTCGATGAGATCTCCTTGGGGTAGAAAATTTATTTTTTTCAAAAAAAAACTATAAACGTTAAGCAGCCTATGCACGAGTCAAACTTCGGCCACGGCGGGGATCCACAATGCCCATCTAGCTTCGATATTTGAACTACAAAAGAAACGTCCGAGCCCTCATATTAAGTTTAAAAGGCTATAGAAAGTTTTATAAACGCCATGACGAGCCTCCTAAAAACTACGGTACGCGTGCCTCTCACTGTACATGATTGCAACGTTGTGAAGTTTCGAAAGTCGGGTGCATATTGAAAAAAAAGAGGAGCGGCTGTGCCGATACGAGCTCTCATACTCCGGATCCACTTGTATAGTCTGTAGTGCGCAGAGGTTCCGACCTCTGCGCTTTGGTATATACGATATGAACTAGATCTTCTTTCCAGCATCTTTATGATAGTATAGAACCCTTGTGGATCCGTTAGTTGCAACGTTGGCTCGGTTCATCAGACGTAATGGCCATTGGTCCCGAGGATCCTTCTTACGCTTGGTTGATTTCCAGGCTCAAACCATTGCCACTATAAAATCTATAACCCATGATAGTGCTACCTTGAAAATCATCGCTCGTATATCATTCGGATCCTAAAGTTACCGAAGCCCATGTGTGGAAGCCACTCCACGAATGCGGAGTTACCGAGATTACTTCTAGAATAATCGCTAGCTTAATGAACTAGCTTAAAAAAAAAGTTAAAATGGGAAACAATTCAGGAACCAAGAATTCCTCTCGAGGTTATCCCGTAAACCAGAAATTAATGCTACTTCTCGAGCCCTTGTTGTGACACCTGGGAACAAGCCCAAGCTAAGAAGTATTGTCTATCAGACATTCAGATAGTGAGCGGGCATTCTCGCTGCTCTATCACCCTAGCTCGGTCTAGATGTGCACACGCCCATATGGATACTTGGCCCGTAAATTGTCACATTGCACATAATTATATTATGCATCGTTCTCCCTTACAGCTGCTCACGTTCCTTAAGCCTTATCAAAGCTTCCTATCGCTCCAGGACTATTTTTTTCAAAAGCTTTCATTTAGCTCTCAATAGTTACGTAACCATTCAATTGATCAAGTGGCCCAGCAATAAATCGTGGTACTAACCTCAAAAATATCCAACAAAATCAACACACTTCGACTATGCCCTCATAAATCCTGTATCGCATCGGTTAGACTATCCTTTCGAATTTAAAAGTGTCATTTTAAATCTGCCGTAACTTGAATTATAAATCTAACAACATTAATCTTTTCATGCTATTTTATAAGTCTTTGTTGCAGCGTTGACACAGATCATCCGGATTTGCGAAACGCGGGTTGGAAATGTTTCAAGGGTGGCGCATGGATAGCAGCGCCCAGTCTCGTAACCAAACTGTGCAGCGCCCCCTCCCTAGATATATTGCCGTATGAAACGCCTTATCGCAAATTTTTGGGTCATTTCTCAATCTTGACTATAACGACTTTGACGGGTGGGGTTTTCGTATCTGCTGTCACCAGTTGGTCAAAGCTATTGGTAACAATTTGTTTGCCTGTCCGAGGGAAGGTGGTGGGATGTGTATGTCCCTCTCTGATTCCGGCCAATTTTCTCTGGTCACAACAATATTCTGGCTATAAGATTCATGCTGGGTTTATCGAGGCAGTCAAACATCAACAATTATATAGAAGCATGGCATGGAGTTTTGCTCAGCAAGAAGTTGACTGAGTCGACTGGTACTGGCCTGGATTCCCAAAACAAGCACCGCCCCAGTGGCGAATCGATCAACGAGTTTGTCACGATAGGACGAGAGACAAAAATTAAATTAAATCATTACAGCCTATATATATTGAAGCGGAACTAGTTCTTTAGCAAAAAATAGTAGTAGTGTAGTTAGCCTCGAGTTCGGTCATATAATAGCTAGGACATGTAACATAGCACATGTGTGGATGTGAGCGATCTATACATGTAGTTATCCTTAAAACTACTGGCAAGAAATAAGTCTTTCAAAATCACTTAAATTCATTACCCAGCCTGGAGGTATAGTCTGGGGACGAGACAATCACCCAGCCAATTTAGCTCGGCTTAATACAAATATACGCGCTCAACAATATATATTAATCTTTTAGCGTCGGAGAATACAAGTTCAATAATTCGCATAAAGTGTATACGTGCGATCGAGCTGTCAAAACTCTATCCTCTGTCTTGTATAAAAACTTCGACGAACCCGCCAATCGATTGTCATATGTGCACTTTAAGGAGCGTTTACCGATCTATATTTCGAAATCCATATCATTAATTTGTGATCAGATCTCAAAAATG